TCCCCTCGATTGTAATATTGGGGTTCCTCGACATTCCAAAGTAATATAAGGTAGCTACGCGATAAATTGCAAAGAACAATGAAGAACAAAGGGTGGTTTATTTCACGATACAGCATTGTTTCTTGAGATTCGAACATGCTCTCGCAACTTCATGACGTCGTATGTTTGACGATGTACTTTTTGAGAGTTGTACCCAATATACGTACCTGGGCAGCGCAGATAAACGCGATTGCCGAAACCCGAGAGAAATATGACAAGTGGTATTGGGAGAGAAGGTAAGGTAATCGACGTGAGGATTGTGAGAATACGCGGGAAATACCCACCTTTGGTAGCTGAAGACCTACCTTTGAATGTCATGATATTATATGTTTCATTAAATTGTAACTGTTTTTTCGAAATATATTTTCCCAGCGCCGGGCATACGCCTCTGCAAACTGCAAGGACATTAATCTGCTTTTGTTTATGTTGATAAAATGGTCCATGGTCAAGACAAACAATGAATATTTATATATTCCCCTTAATCAGCTCCACTGCTAACTGTCACAACCTGGGGGAACACATTTTACCCAAACTCAGCTCAGCAGACTGGCCACCATATTTTATCGTAAGCAGAGGTCGCCAAATAAAACCATCGCACTTTTCCTACTAAATGAATACAAAGTCATGATATTTGTGAATATTACAGCTTTCGAAACAGTCGATAGGTGTCTTGTTTGTATACATTGTGATCTATTCAGAGTTTGGAAGATATGCAACCATCCAAACTTAAATTGTGAGAATTATAACGTTTTGGTCAAGAACTCGCGTCATCTTGTCAACAAAATTATCCACACTAATCACAAACCTCTTACAAAATGATGACATTTAAAAATATGTCATAAATGGAAATCATGAATGGAGAGTCACTCGGACAGTCTCCTCTACATCATAACGTTAATGGGCTAATCCAATAGGACTTTGTATCCAAGCTGCCATCATCCTAGAATTATGGAAGATCTGTTATTATTTACTTTGACTTTGACACACTAATGGTCTCAATTCACAATGATATAATATGACTCCTCTTGCATGGGACGCGGGGAAAAAAGAGACATGAGGTAGTTTTTTGCCTTGTACTGACAACATTCCAGATCAGATATATACTCTCAAAAACGTATGGGGTATTCGAAAATAACAGATGGTTACAGAAATACAAGGAGGTCTTTAGTGATGGAAATGAATAAGAAAATGAGAAGGAGTAGGTCCAACATGACAACCAACAGAACGGGCCCAAATTTTGTATTTTGTACCTACACCTATCTGCGTACATAACAGTCGCAGTCAAAACTTTTGCTCTATATAAGGTTCTAGTGCCAAAGTCGAACATATCAATATATATTTCATTAAAATAAACAACAGTCTAATTACCTGCACAGTGATGTAAACCGTAGTGTGCATATAGCTATCATTATATAATCAAGTCACCATTGTCCACCCGTATATCATCCAGTCACCATCATGGCAATAGCTGGATTGTGTATGAATGATATCGTATTGTAAACTAAGCGGCAAAAGAAAGTATAGGTTGGCAATTTGTAATTTTCCTAAAAACAGCGATAACTAGTGGAAAGTGGGTATTGGGAATATGACTGCCCAGGAACAGGTACCAAAAAACACCTCACCCGAACGCGCTCGTGCGGTGACAAAAAAAATGGTGAAACAGGTTTCCCGCCTATGGCATAAACTGCACGTGCATGTTAGCTGTATATAGAGATTACTACACGAGTGTCTGTCAGATACCATTGATCTTACAACGAGTTGTTTCAAAACGTATCTAACGAGCGAAAGCGAGTTAGATACGCTTTGTAACAACGAGGTGTAAGATCAATGGTATCTGACAGACACGAGTGCAGTAATCTGTTTCTTACACACCCTAAAATCGCACCTTTTTAACATCGAACCGATGAATTTTGTCTATTCTCATGATTGCAGTAGCGCATTAATACATGTAACACCACTGTCATAAGTGACGTCATCCCATGTGCTGCTTACTACTCATAAATAATGTGACCCTACACAAAAAGGTTTTCGTCCTATCTGTGGATTATCAAGGCGATGATGAAAATGCAAACTAGACAAAAACCAAGAACACGCTGGGTGCCAAGTTGAAAGTTTACACCGCAAAGAAATTACCAAATATGTCCAACAATGTTTACTTCCGTATGACATCACTACCGGTGACCGACTTTTACAAAATGGCGTGTTCACTGACAACAGTACTCGGGATTTCCAGAGGAGGTTTTCGTTGATTAAGAGATCGTATACACATAAATGTGTCACGTAAGTATTCAGAAACATTCTGACAATCTGCGTACTGTTATTTGTTTACCATGTTTTCCAATGTAACAGAGAATTAGTCAGAAATGCAGATAACTAGGCCTACCGTCATCGTTGTGCGTGATTTAGCGTCAGTCATGGCGTCACACAGGACGGAAACTTTTACGGCTTCTGTTGAATTTACCACATCATTGTAATGTAAATATGTGTAATTCCATAATAAGTGCAACGATACTCTTCCCATGAATATTCTCAAACGCGTGATCGAGCAATGTATGCAACAATTAGACGAAAGTACCTCTTTTAATGCTACAGTGTAAAATCTGAACTTTGCTTTGTTTACATTTCAGCAAGTACAATTTTCCGAGCACAGTTTTCGTGTCCATACCTAATTTATTTCGCATGATTTCATCTAGATAATTTACATTGGTGACAAAGACCATTTATCCATTGTTTCGAAAATGTATGAGGAATTCAGGGATGCATGTATAGCAGCTGAGTTTGAAATATACCTGATCGAATATAGGCGTCTCATAATCGACATTTTGTAAACACAATCCAATATGGCGGAACGTACACTTCGGCGTTCGTGTGTGCATATTTTCCAAAACATTCTAAACTATTCTAGGCTTATCAGCGACGTTTCGGAGTTATCATTAGTGATTTGATACCCGTGATCGCTAATATGCTATTTTTCTACTTTAATTATTCGAGTAAATATCCGATATTTAGATTTCTAAACACACAGTAAATATTTATATAACGCCGTGAATTGTGATTTGGCGAGTTTACAATGTACCTAACTTTCAGTCACTTTCAGTAATTTTGAATTGCCTAAAATGACAGTAAATGATAAACAGAAGGGGGAATTCAAAACTGTGAAGTGTCTGCGTGATGTATTTTGAATTTTATTCGATTTCGAAGTGAGGGTTGAAGAGAAGGGACATGTGTCGCTGTGGCAGCCAGGGGGTTTACGCTCTGAAAAAACGATAATGTTGACATAAGAACAGATATAATGTAACTGATAATAATAATAACAAACAAACTCGCAGACGAGGACGAGTTTGTTTATTTTTATTTTTAATTACACGGTCCTGTTGTTCAATACAGACGTAGGTGAACATTCGACTGAAGCACGAGCAACTTATGAATGACTTACACTCAGGAAAGTAGTCCGTCATCATCTGACCCCAGGTCATCACCATGGAGTAGCCAATCACGGGCCTGGAATTCGATCTCACACATATGTTTGATACCAGTTATCTCAAATGGGTTTCTCACCCACAGGTGTGTAAGAAAAGTGCTTTCGTCTGCAGGGTATAACCACATGTGATGAAAGCACACAATAGAAATGCCACGACTGTCACCGGAGCACAGAGAGAGAGAGAGCCATGGCATGGCCGAAGTGGGGGCAACCCAGGTCCAAATTGCCAGAAGGTTTGGTTGTACACTATTGACAGTGGGCAAGCTGATTCAACGGTACAGGCAGACAGGGAGGACACAAGACAGGCCTAGAACCGGACGACCCCGAGTGACAACACCACTGGAAGACGGTCAGATACGGCTCATTCACCTGCGAAACAGATTCGTAACGGCGACGGCGACGGCAGCAGCAGCAGCAGCGTTGGGACATCCCATCAGCCAACGTACAGTAGTACTACGACGACTTCGTGCTGCTGGAATCCGAGCGTATCGTCCTTTCCGAGGAATAGTACTGACTGCTCAACATCGACGCCTGCGACTGCAATGGGCGAGGCAGGTTCGACGCTGGCAGGTGAGAAATTGGCGTCGAGTGCTGTTTACTGATGAAAGTCGGTTTAACTTGTTTCGAAATGACGGCAGAGAACGAGTTTATCGACGCAGAGGGGAACGTTTGGCTCCGGCGTGTATTCGAGAGGTCCATCCAGTCGGCGGGGGAGGTGTCATGGTGTGGGGCGGTATTTCCGGAGATCAGAAGTCTGATTTGGTGATTATACAGGGAAACCTGAACGCTGTGCAGTACAGAGAACAAGTGTTGCAGCCAGTTGTGCTTCCGTTCTTACAAAACCAACAGCAGAGGACATTGTTTCAACACGACAATGCCAGGCTCTATAGTGCAAGACTGACTGGGAACTTTCTAAACCAGCAGAACGTTGACCTTTTGCCCTGGCCTGCCCACTCACCCGATTTGAATCCTATTGATCATCTGTGGGACCATCTTGACAGATAGATTAGAGCACGCCATCAGCCTCCCGTCAACAGATAAGAATTGCAGCAGGCCCTGAGAGACGAGTGGCAACGGATTCCAGTCCACGTCAACAGAAGACTGACGTCATCGATGAGGCTGCGTATCACAGCATGCATTGAGGCAGCTGGAGGTCATACACGCTATTGAAGGCAACTGTGTCAACAATGAACATGAAGTGTGTCTGACAATTTATTTGTGACATTTCAGACAACTTTTGAAAATGAAATTTCTTACCCCACCATTGTTTACCTTGAGCTTGCATTACCTGTGATTGCACAATTTCATTCTAACTGTGCTTGATCAATCATATGTTACCCATCCCTAGATTATATTATAATTCACAACAAAACCTCTTCTTGTTATTTTTTGATCGATCATTGAATTCGACCTACACTTTCTTTTGCCGCCCAGTTTATATTGGATTAGAATGTTACTGGGTTTTTTAATTACATGTTACCTTGACACCCCTGTCCTTGTTTCCTTGCAGCACATCCACTCTTACAGTATCCAGTGTCCTTGTCGCATACTTCAGTTGTATTTAGACACTGACACTGCTTGTCACAGTCAGAGCCAAACCAACCATCACTGCAAACTGCAAGACATCAATCTGTTTTTGTTAATGTTTTTCAAGTACTTGTAATAATCAAGACTAACAAACATTATTTGTAAGTTTTCCATTATCTAATGCACTGATAGTATGCCTGGGTGAATATCACTGAAACTCACCCTAAAAGACTGCCCAGGGCTACTAAAATACAAAGTCCGGAGTTTTGGGAATATTACCTTTATTACTCTTTTGAAACTGTGGATCCCCGGTTGAGTTTTTACATATTATGACATATTCAGAATGTCAAAGTCTCCACCTATCAAAACTTTAACCAAATGAAATTATTATAATTTGGAGAAGAATTCACATCGTACAATTAACGTAATTATCAACACAAATATATTAGCTCTAACTGAAAGATGATATTAAATATTTTTTCACCACCTTGGACTGGGTTGCATATGGACACATCAAAACTTAAGCAGTAAATCACACTTGAAATTTCTAAATAAAGCTGGACCCAATGCACTACGAAAGTAATCAACAAAATAATCAACACTCTTACTCAAAGACGGCAATTTATCTTCCCTTCACTGACCGCGTTGATCTACCCGGTTCGACATTAAACTGACAGCGCAAGTGGTTTTGTCGATACGCGATACGTTTTAGTATCACACCTTCTGATGGTTAACCAGCTCAGGCCTCGCCTTTTTTTAGTAACATTCACGCTGGTATATGGGCAGGATATCCTTTCGCCTATACAATATATCTAATGTCATGTCCGGGATATATGTACCGTAATTCAGTGATGCATCAGGGATCACCACGACTGGTTATATTAAAAGCCCAATGTCAAATCTTGAAACGTAAATTCGCTCTACCTAGCATTCCTCTGTGTGTTTACAGTGTGTGTGTGTGTGTGTGTGTGTGTGTGTGTGTGTGTGTGTGTGTGACACAGGATATTCGCCTGAGGGTGAGTTCGTGTGTACGACACAGGGGAGTGGACAATGTAACGTTGCGAATGTCACCAAGAACTGTAACTATCAAGAACTGTTATCGTAATAAGTATAATAAATAAGGTTAATGAAGTATAATCGTCTATATTTTACTTAAGTTGTCTATAGTTTACCATAGTTGTCTATTGTTTACAGTAGTTATTGGAATAAAAGCTTGAAGTATTTTGGTGTAAATCTATGTATGTGCGAGATGCGAAATTGATGGGAAGATATTCATGTGATTGTTGGAGTAAATAAATTAATTCAATACAAATATCATGTGCTGTTGTCAGTTGGTGGGCAGCCATTGTGTGACAATGATCCATCTTTGGTAGCTGGGGATCAACTGGCGAACTTAATATTGTGTTGTTGTTTGATAGTTCACACTGTTAATGTTCTGCAACCTGTTTTAATGTAATTCTGTGGCATTTTACTGGTTATTTTGCTGTCCTTTGTTGACAGGATATTATATGACATAAAAATTGATACATGATGTTGTCACAATTGCAATGAGGTTGAAATATTGCCAATGTGACTCAATCACTCATTCCTATGACACTTACCAAAAACTTGAACCTCGCACAATGTTAGAAATCGTCCACTCATAGTAATGGTAACATTGTTCCCTTTCAGGACTTGTGTACATGTGACGTTAAAGGGGTTTGAGCCAGATCTAAGTTTCCCTTGAAGTGTTGTCTCACTCACAGAGTTGCACACACCACCATTCACCAGCACCGTCATGTTCTTGTTGTGATCCCACTCTTGAAACCATTAAGTAGAAATGAAACATGAATCAATGTCAACGTTATATTAATTTATATAATTTTATTATATTAATTATACGTCTCTCCCTAGATGTAAAAGTATGACTCTAAGCATTTTTATATTATTCCATTAGTATAAATTCCAGTTTTTGCCATTTACTTCGTCAGACAAGGACATCAAATGAGGACACGACAAAGTAATCTGCACATGACTAACGTTCTGTACATTTGGCATTACCAGTCAGTGACCAAATCACGATGTCTTCAAAATAGCCCAGTGAGACAATCCGGGAGCTGTAGTGTCAGAAATGATATTTGAATTTCCTCACTCTACAACTACAAGTGTTTTCTATATTTCAATTCAAGCCAAATCATGCAAGCATTTGTATCAGAACCCCCTGTGGTTGTATTATATAAAATTCAGAGTTTACAAGTAACCCCAGTTTAACTTTTTTGTTGCATAATATAATTCTTTCAAGTGGTTTTTGTGATGTCATGTGGAACACAGCTGAGTTACCCATCGTTCTAGCTACAAGAACAGGACGAATTATTGTATGTGTCTTACGATCACCGCGCAGGAAGATTCTGATCCTGCTGATGTTAAACATCTGGTGACCATCAAGGAGAACCTGCCAGCTTGCTTTCACTGCAACTGTATCTGTTTCATCTGTGTGAGAACAACTCCTTTGACTGATGTTTGTGGCAGTGTTCCCATCTACTGCATGCGCAGCACAATAGAGGCCACCGGTATCGTTATACGTGCTACTCTGTCTTGCTGTCTTTTGAAACGCAATGTTTTCTGTAATCACATGAATAGAACCAGTTTTGAAGCACACCTGTGTGTCATTACATTTATATTCATTTAGGATAGGATAAGTTTTATTACATACTGAAAGCAGAATTGTACTATGGGCCTGAGGCCTTTCAGTATGGAATAAAACTTATCCTATCCTATCCTATATTCATTTTACTTTGGCTACTTTCATCCAATCTGGGATTCTGGGTTAGACCATTTGATATACGGTATGTGTGTGCTTGTGGCTGGGATTTTGTTTCGAGATTAGATATTTTATTTTTTCAGTTACAGCTACAAACCGAGCGTGTGTGTGTGTGCATAACCTGCAGAAACCAATTAAAATATATGCCTTCTTCACCAATACAGTGAATGATTCGCATAGACCTATATTCATAAGAATCGTAATTTACATATCACACCCATATGCGTTTCAAGCTCAACTGCCATCATAAGTGTTGTAACATGTAATAGTCTATGTACATGCAAACCCCAATGACACAAACGCCGGATCTTCATTACATACCTTCATGTACGTGCAAGTGTATCCAGCAGCAAAATTAAATCATTACGAAGATTACCATACCCGTGCAAGGTATTCGATTAATCTGTCCTTATCTTGATTTGTCTCACCCTTTTGGCAAAAGCTTCCGAACCATGGTGATTTACAAACTGGGCCCGATGGAGATGTTGAACATGCAATATTCGGAAAGTCTGAGCAGCCATTAGAGCAGTGACAGGATTCTGCAACATAGAAAGTGTTCCTTGTAATACAACCTTGAGCATAGTATCAAAACAGCAGAATAATATCTACGTCTAGAATGACATACACTGTTCAAGATTGGTTTGCATGAGGTTTTGCATAGCTCGGAGTGTGTTTATTGTACAAAGGAAATTTGAAGTTAGGGTTGCCCTTTGAACATCATGATCTGTTGATGGATGAATGTTGATAAAATACCTACTGGGGGGAGTTTGTGTGGTGAGACATTCGGGTGGTGCTGAGAGGTTAGGGTGCTGAGAGGTTTGGGTGGTGAGGGGTTTGGGTGGATAGGGGTTTGGGTGATGAGGGGTTAGGGTGGTGATGAGTTAAGGTGGTGATGGGTTAGGGTGGTGAGAGTTTCGGGTGGTGAGGGGTTTGGGTGGTGAGTGTTCATGATGGTGAGAATGTTTTTGTGGTGAGTGAGGGGTTTAGAGTGGTGAAGGGTCTTGGTGGTGAGGGGTCTTGGTGGAAAGAGGTTTGGGTTGTGAGGGGTAAGGGTGGTGAGGGGTAAGGGTGGTGAGGGGTACGGGTGGTGAGCTGTAAGGGTTGTGAGGGGTAAGGGTGGTGAGGTGTAAGGATGGTGAGGTGTAAGGGTGGTGAGGTGTAAGGGTGGTGAGGGGTAAGGGTGGTGAGGTGTAAGGGTGGTGAGGGTAAGGGTGGTGAGGTGTAAGGGTGGTGAGGGGTAAGGGTGGTGAGGTGTAAGGGTGGTGAGTGGTAAGGGTGGTGAGGGGTTTGGGTGGTGAGGGGTAAGGGTGGTGAGGTGTAAGGGTGGTGAGGGGTTAGGTTGCTGAGAGTTTCGGTCGGTGAGGGGTAAGGGTGGTGAGGTGTAAGGGTGGTGAGGGGTAAGGGTGGTGAGGTGTAAGGGTGGTGAGGGGTAGGGGTGGTGAGGGGTAGGGGTGGTGAGGGGTAGGGGTGGTGAGTGGTAGGGGTGGTGAGGTGTAAGGGTGGTGAGGTGTAATGGTGGTGAGGTGTAAGGGTGGTGAGGGGTAGGGGTGGTGAGGGGTAGGGGTGGTGAGGGGTTTTCGTGGAAAGAAGTTTGGGTGGCGAAGGGTAAGGATGGTGAGAACTTTTTTTGTGGTGAGGGGTTAAGGTGCTGAGGGATTAGAGTGGTGAGGGGTTTGGGTGTTGAAGAGTTTTGCGTGGTGAGGGCTTTGTGTGGGTGGTTGGAGGTAACCAGTACGTTTATTATTTTTATCTCGGGTCAACATTATCTGCTCCAGACAATAAACTCATATCCCAATCTGTATATAACGTGATCCATTTTGTAAAAGAAATCATCAAATCGAGTGAAAGCTGACAATAGATACGTTAGAGGCACAACGCACCATAACTAACCTCAAAACACCAAACGCTGAATAATTTCCTATGATTCCGATTACAGATTATTCATCTATTTCATATCTCAGGGAAGCTGCTCGCCCGAAAATAGCCCTTTTAGTAATTCGTCACAGGACGTGTATCTGAGGAATCTGTTTTCCAATTTATACATACTTTTTGAGGATTTTAGAAATCTATTCAAATCTGCCTTCTCTCCTAAATCTATAGGAAAACATTGCATTCAGGCACATTACCACCTTTTCAGAGGGGCCCGGTCACAGTCTACATTTTTAAATACATATGCATATTTTTAGGATCTGGACATTTGAGCAGTTGGATCGTCATTGTTTGGAAGGATTCAGTCAACATTGTAATAGTGAAACAAAGTTTGCCCAGGCGCTTGGCCTGTGTATAGTCTTCGGGGGCAGTGTTCGTGGGGAGGGATGGGAAGGCTGTTTCCAGGGGCAACTGTCGGGGGATTAATTTCCCTGATACCTAGTTCAACATGCGAAAATTTTAAAGAAATAGCGTCATTCGTATATAAGTTCAACATTTGCATTTGTTATCTGGCGTGTATGTATTATTACCTTTCTTTTTACCAAACACCTGCACCTCACAAAGTGCTAAATACGGTCCTGCCATTACAATTGTGACATTGTCGCCCTCTGTAGGTTCCGTACAGCTGAGTGTCACCGGGTTAGTTCTCAGATGAGTTGTAGAATCTCTGATGTCTGTGACCGTTAACGTTCTGCATGTATTACCACTGACCAGTATTTCCATTGCTTCATTGTGGTCAATGGCTGAAATAAATAATGCGTATAAACTTTACTGTATTGTCGGAGTTTTCACAGTTGGTTCATTAATCAAACGCTAGGTAACATAACTTACTGTCATCACGGAGATAGATCGTTATCCGGCTGATTAGGAACGTTCCACCAAGGAGAACTTGCCAGCTTGCAGGCCCGCCATTTGTGTGTGAACAACTCCCATGATCAAAGTGTGTGGTGACATCCCCATCAACAGCTTTACTGGCATCATATGTACCAGTAGTGTCTGACCACGTGCTGCTCTGACTGGCAGTTTTACCACGTGCGATGTTATCTGTAAGCAAAACGATAGTTTGTTATCACATTAATGATATGAAGTGTGCATACCTCTATGTATGTTGGTGATAGCTAGGCGATAAACATGAACACATACTTCATGTGTATTGAAACATAATACATATATCAAACCTAGGTATAAGATTTGATAAATGTGTGCTTCAGCGCACACCGTAATAGCTCATAAAACATACCTTTGTAAAATCAAGGTAAATGATTAGTTAAGAACTGACTTCAATATTCTATGGCCTTTATGGATGATAAACATTAGAACCGGTGTGCACACCTCCATAAACACAAAAATCGAATTCCAATAAATAATCAAGTCAACAATAATAACATCACAGACTATAACTCAAAATGACATCGTTCCGCGCAATTATGCCACACGAGGCTATGCGTACATGGGCTAGACTCGGGGAATGCTGAACACGTCTCAATGTAGCCTACATTAGCAGTCCACTGCTGGACGTGGCCTGCTGCTTTAAGGTTTATGAAATCATAACGCAAAAATGTTAGCCAATCAAATGTCATGGAATCGCCTGCACTTTATATTTTTTGCTTAAACCTGGTTTAGTTGGGCAAGATTCGTGTTTTGAAAAGTAGCCTTATGACTCTTCCGTGAACAGATCACCCGGTGAATAACTTCACGTGTGTACTGTGCGACTGTTTTCTGCAAGGTCTGCCCTACACCTAGACATAGGATCTACTCACGATAGACACTATTATTTGTCACAAAACACCAAAGATACATAAACACACTTTGCATACTTTTCAAAACCGTATTATTAGAACTGTATGAGTCAATGGTCTCGGGGACTCCCCTCACCTACACTGAACTGAGTTTGAAGCTAGATTTCCCGTTGAAATCGATCTCGGAGAAAGCTATTGCAAGGTTGCATCTTGAGAGAACACTCTATGGTCGAATCATCATGTCCAAATGCCAAAAGCCGAATACAAACAACGTCTTTTTTCAACGTTGAATTTGAATAATATGTAAAGACAAAGTGCGTAATAAAGACAATTACTAAACACGCGCTGGTTAGATACAATGTTTTTTACTACTTGTCTATTTCAAACGTGTCTGGCTCGTTCGTCAGAAACGCTTTGTAATATACTGGTAATAAAAATGGTATTTTATGGTGACTCGTTTAGTATTTACATGAACAAAGTAACCTGATGTGATTTAACATATTCCTTATTGTATATCTATTGTAATAATTGAGATTGTGTGTTTATGTATATAATCCAATGGTTATTCTGATTAGACCATTGCAAAATTCAGACTTACGCATTTGACAGTAGTGTCCAAACCAGTCTGTCACACAAACAGGAGGTGGCACTGAACACACATCAGGGAGAGGACTGCATCCATTCTTGTAGTGGCAACTTGATCCTGTTTCAAAAGTATAATATGAGTAATGTACATGTATTGACAGAGTTCATGAAAAATGAAATACTTAGAAATGACATGAAACACATGGAATGTACATGTAGGGCAAGATTCGAATAGTTTACTCTCTTTGTCATACGATAGCACACAACCAACCATGTTATTATCTAGTCGCCCCTGACAGCATAGGTTAGGGACCAACCCCATTATATTAAGAACAAGGAATAATGCTGACAAAATAAAACATATCATACCTTGTGCAGCTGTGACAGACACAGCGTGCATGATCACGAGAAGATAGATAACAAAACACATCTTACACAGGCCAGGTACTGAAAAATACCAAATTATCTAAACGAAAACACAAAAGAGAAAATTGAAATATATATTACAACGGTGACAATAATGAATGAGGTGAGGTGAAATGGGGTTTACCGTCGCGTCCAAGATTATTGCCCTTATATAGCGACGTGCATGTACGTGTGTGTGTTTGTGTGGCTGCTTGTACTAGACCGGACTAATGCCGATTTATAGTGCTAGCTCACTGAGATACCATGCCGCAGTTTAACATGAATACCCCACTCAAACACAGTATACTGACTCATAGCCGACCAGTCCTTGTTTTAGCCCCTTAATGCCGAGCGCCAGACAGGGTAACACCAAGTACCATCTTTTAACAACTTTTGGTATGACGCGGCCGGCGATCGAACCCCGGACCTTCCGCTCTCCGGGCGGACGCTCTACCACTAGACCACGGAGGCGGTCCAATAATGAATGAAAGTAAATATCATATATAGATTAGTAAACGTATCCGGTTGTATCTTACGAGCTAAAAGAAAGGAAGAGACAGTGTACAGCGTGTACACGACGTTGTAAATATTTCTACACATACTTTTGTTTCTTTGTGGTTTTAACGCTGCGTTATGCAAAGTATTCAAGCTATATGCCGGTGTAGAAGGCTCAAATCAATCCCCCAACAATCACTCTAGAGTGGGCTAGAGCTGGGCTGAAGTCATCCCTGTCTACTCGACCCAAAACACCCACTCCAGGCTCAGATCACGCCTCTCTAATTGGCCCAATACACTCACTCCAGGCTCAGATCACTCCCCGTGGGGCTCACATCAATCCCCTACATTTTTTACAGGATTTTACTTCTACTGTTCTGTTTCGGTGTCCAGTTTCAGAATGTTTCAGATGTTTATGTTACCTTCTTCTTACCTGAAAAGGTAGTTGTGATTTTCGACAAACATTCTTATGGTATCATCGGTATTATGTCTACTTGGCCCAAAGCATTCACTCGAGGCTCAGGTCACTCATCTTTACTTGGCCCAAAACACACACTCCAGCCTCAGGTCACTCATCTTTACTTTGCCCAAAACACTCACTCCAGGCTCAGGTCACTCCTCTTTACTTGGCCCAAAACACCCACTCCAGGCTCAGGTCACTCCTCTCTACTAGGCCCAAAATACTCACTCCAGGCTCATGTCACTCCTCTCTACTAGGCCCAAAACACTCATTCCAGGCTCATGTCATTCCTCTCTACTTGGCCCATAACATTCACCCCTGGCCCATGTCATTCCTCGCTGCTAGGCCCAAAACATTCACTCCAGGCTCAAGTCATTCCTCTCTACTTGGCCCATAACATTCACCCCAGGCCCATGTCATTCCTCGCTGCTAGGCCTAAAACATTCACTCCAGGCTCAAGTCACTCCTCTCTGCTAGGCCCAAAACACTCACTCCAGGCTCATGTCACTCCTCTCTACTTGGCCCAAAACATTCACTCCAGGCTCATGTCAATCCTCTCTGCTTGGCCCAAAATGTTTCAGATGTATATGTGACCTTCTTACCTGAAAATTTATTTGTGATTGTCGACATACATTCTTATGGTATCATCGGTATTACGTATGAAAAACACTATCAGATCAGTTGGACAAATCTTCTAAGGCCGGATGTGAACTCATCAGCCTAGGCCCAAGCCACTCCAGGGTGATTTGAGCTGGGGATTGAGTTGAGCCTCCAACACCGGCGGTATGTAAAGAATCGCGTCTGGACAAGACCATCCGGTGATTGACATAAATGGCATGGGTGCTGGAGATGCTTAAACTGTTACCTATGGTGAATATGGCAGGTATCCTCTGCATGTTAAATATTTTGTTAACAGTGTTAAATATCGATTGTGCATTACATCAATGCTGACAAACAGATATTCTTTACAATGTAACTCTGTGTTAATACATTTTATGAGAGAATCGTCCTAATTGTGCATTTTCTGATTTAGCAAGTATTCGGATAAAATAATGTTTTGTCAAATTATCGAAATAAAGAGTTACCTATTGGTCAGTTCATAGATCATCGGAAGAATTCTCTTTAAAATACACCTTTCTTTTTAGTTTATGCTTTATCACTTTTAGAACATGAATTATATTTAACTTAATGTAGCAACAGTCATTGTTTCAACGTATTTGGGCACACAAAATATTCGCAGAAGCATATTTACTTTGGATGGTAAAGCGTCTTAAATCTAACAATTGCTTGACGTATCAATTGTGAAGTTGTCAAAAAAATATTTTGTTTTGATCAAAAGATAAACACGTGAAAATACTGGAATCACACAAAAACAAGCTTCATTTTATGTAACATTGGTTCAGAGTTGGTTGTGGGAGTCCGATAAAAGATCCAGTAATATCCATTTGACCATATGATGTTCGAGAGCTACATGCCATATGTAATTTATTGCAATTATCGCTAAGTACTGGAACATCGAAAAAGACTGCATCGGTGACAGAATTGGGGATAATAGTTCTAACGTGGTTTACTTGAAATACAATATTTCAAGATAATAAATACTGCCGCATGCTTGTTGTCTCAGAAGGAACTATCCCTATTCCCATTGGACTCCAAATATTCGTCTAGCGATAGATCAAAGTTTACAGCCAAAGATCTCGGACCTAATAAAATCAATTAAAATGTTTCAATAAGTATCCGTTTTGGGGCAACTGAAACAAACATATGAAGAAGGTCTACATCTCCATGCCTGTCTCTACTCTATGTAGACATATCAGACAAATGGATATCAGACACATTGCGTGTAGAGATGATAGATAACTGAGAGGATCTTATGCACACCAGATGACCCCAGTCACCATGTTGCTAGGTCATATGACATTGTTTGGTTGTATCTTGCAACAGCATTTCCAAAATGACGTCATATGGTATTGTGGTGCAGGGCCCGGTCCACAAAGTGGTCGTAGCGCAACTCCCGTCGTCTGTTTATGTTAAAGTATGGGAGTTGCATTACGATTATTCTAACGCTGCGATAGCTTTGTGGGACAGATCCCTCAATTCTAATAGTTCTGTTCTGGGGTATCAAATCAATACGTATCAAATTTTAATGTGTTTGAAGTATCATACTGTAAACCTCATTTGGATTATGATGTGGATCGCGTAGATGTCTGCCTATTTACAGACGATAATGACACCTACAGAAGGTTTAAACGTGAAGTAATACATAAAATACTGAACTCGCTCCCATGTCATACCAATTTTATGAAATGTGTGAGTGAAATCGAGTCAGATACTAGAACTATTCACGATTTCCATAACATTGGTATGAAACGAGATCGAGTTTAGTATTTTATACCTATGTGATGTTATTTACAATAGTTTTAGGCAAAACAGCTTCAGAAGACATAAAAATAGTTTTAGGACCCTTCCGTATAATTACTGAAACAATCATATTGGTGATCATGTCAGTGCTTGATCAAAACTCCAATAACCGTTATAAAATGTCGCCAATAATAATACGTCTTGTATGCTTTAGAAAATACGAAAACACGAAAGCCTATGATCACTTTCCTTCATGTTGAAAAGTGTCACAATTTGGAGCTTAATATAGAGCAAATCTATTCAAAAGACATCCACTTATCAAAGGTTCTGACAATATATTGATTTGAAAGAGTGACTGATCTTTCGGTGAGTGCGTTTTGTTTGAGGCCGCTTTCATCAGTATTATATACTGAACCGCAAAAGAAACGTCACCCCAAGTAACATTACCTTGTCCGGAAAAATGAAATTTGATGGTAAAAAAACCCAAAGCAGATGACAATAAAACCGATCGTCCAAACGCATCACAGCAACGGCCATGATAACCCGTTGCACGTGCAAATTGAAGTGCCCCATAAAAATCCACCCAGATCGGATAACATTCATTCGTGATTGAATTGCTACCACATGCCAAGATTGACAAATAACCAGCGACACCAAGCCCTTGGACGATTGCAAGCTGGACAAACCGCCCAGCAAGTAGCCAATGCATTTCAAGTCCACGTAAGGACAATATACAGGCTCCAGGAACGGTACCAGACCACCAACACCACAGATGACCGACCCCGTAGTGGAAGACCAAGGGTCACCACCCGACGTCAGGATCGTCAAATTGTGCGACAGCATCTTCAGGATCACTTTGTTACTGCTGCGGAAACTGCTCGACAGACCATGGGGACACACCAGCGACAAATGAGTGCGTCGACGATTGACGAGCGGACACCTCCACTGTCACAGGCCACACCGAGGATCAATTCTGACACCGCGTTATCACCGGGACCGTCTTCAGTGGGCAACACAGCACCAGCATTGGCGGTGGAGAAGAGTTCCTTCTCAGGCGAGAGCCGTTACTGCATCTCAACAGCAGATGGCAGAGAGAGAGTCTGGCGACGCCGTTGGGAACGTTATTCGCATGCTTGTGTTGTTGAGAGAGACTGGTGGGGTGGTCCGAGCACCATGGTGTGTGGAATTGGTCTTGCACAGAGGGTCGGTCCTGTGGTCTTCCATCACATCGGTCCAGGGAGACGCAATGGCGTCACAGCAGCTCGGTACATTGATCAAATCTTGCGACCACACGCCCTACCTCATTTGGCACGTCGCCGCAACCACGAGTTTCAGAATGATAACGCCCGTGCCCACACTGCGAGAGCAACAGGAGACTACTTCAAGCAGAATGGCATCAGAACCATGCAGTGGCCTGAAATCTGTAGTGTGGGCTCAAGTGCCTATGACCTTCATCAACCGCCTCATCCATTCCATGTATCGACGTTGCACGGCAGTCATCAATGCACCTGGCGGACACCCGAGATACTGACTTGTGATGCCATTTTCCCAGAGACTAGTGGTGGGTTTCACTTCAAGAACGTTCGATACTTTAATTTCCGTTTTGCCAAGTTTCATCTATTTAATATTTCTCAAAGCATGTTTACAGTGTTTGGACAAATAAGGTTTCTGATATATCTATCCATGGTGACGTTTCTTTTGCAGTTTAGTATATAATGGCATCTCAACTTGATGCGGGAGGAAATCCCCAAATGATACAGGTCTCAGATGTTTACCACTCACGAGCACGGGTATGATGCAGACAAACCAAGAAACATAATTAAGGAGAATCTGGGATTCGAGCCCTCCATCATATGTTTCTGGCATGCAAAATTACCTCAACTCGAATTGCAGAGTCTATTTTGTCTGGTCCATCGATCACTTGATTCGTTTGGTTAAAAGCCGCCGTCGCATGGCAAGAGTATTGGCCTGCGGGTTCAGGCAACAAACTCAGTGATCCTTCACTTAATTTCATCGCTATTTGCCTTTAACGCCGAATGAAATCTGTTTCGGGGGATAATTGAGACTGGTTATTCTCTGGCGTTGACGTATTACAACGACTGCGCCACCCGTGCCCTTTACAGATGTTGGAAGTAGTACTATGAAGTATAAAGGTGACAAAGTTTGTGTTTGCTCAACGCCGGTGCTGAGCATGTATGTACTCGTCGTAAGATGACTCAGTAAAACTCAGTAAAAGATATGGAAAGAAAATGTTTTCCCTGTGCTACAGTGGAATGTACGTCCTGTTACTGGCTTACAGATAAAACGTTGAACATCCCTGTTGCCACAGTATTGGACTAAAATTGCATTTGCTATGCATGGTATGCAAGCTAGAAAGTATTTTAAAAGTTTAAAGTACCAAGGTTAGTATAACTATCACATGACACATAAGGGATCTCACGAAATCGAAACTAAACCAATTGGTAGAAGCAAACTAAACTGTAATATTAGAAAGATAATACCAGATGCTCTACAACATGGCTGTTGTGTCCCACCTTAGCGTCCAGCTTGCTTTCCATATGACATAACATTGTCTTTTCCTTCCTAGTTTTAAGCTCAACCCCACCGTCACGCATTTGTTACACACAAAAGGCCAAAGGTGTGGAACCCATACGTAGATTCCCTTGCCGCGATATTGATTGAATATTGCTAAACGCGGCGTAGATCCATACTCTTTCACCGACTCTTACTTACATCACCACGACAAAATACCTCGAATACCGTGACCTTTCTGTTCCATCATCAGTACAAACACAACTGTGACACTTTTGAGACATAAGCCTCAAATACTAGTATATGGAATTTCATATGTATGTTTACAATGTACACGGTCACTCTAACCCAACTCACAAAACTTTCTCTAAACAGAGAACTGTCTATGCATTTATGGATCCATGACGGTCGCATATATTACAGTCATTGACTGTCACGGCTTCTTGAACATATGGATGCACCTGTTTTCTCACAAATACGTTACTGGCACTTTGAGATACTGTGATAGGGTGTATGCAAATGAGGGTCAAAGTGAAATGGATTTCTCACAATATATTTACATTTGGTCAAGGAGCGAGTACTGGGTCTTGAAACCCTCAACACGTCATTTGTATAACTGCACATAAATTCTTATCACAGGACTTTACCACATTAACAGGATCTCTACTCGTACAGGACAGTAGATGCAGTTGTGTCATGTTGACATTATGATTCATTATCATGGAAATCAGTAAAGCAAGTGCAGCTTGAAACCGATTTGTACTGATTATTGTGAAAGGAATATCATATTTTGTATGATGCCAGATATTGTGTACTCACCATTAATGATGGATTTGGTGTTTAATACCTCCCTGAGTAGTACCTCAGTTATATCACAGTGTACCAGCTCAAAGTGACAGGAAAGCTCAAGGTGAATCAGGTCAGAGACTTTACCACCTTTCTGAAACCCAAGAGAGGCGCTGGCAAACAATGGTAACGAAGAGACTTACCTGTTCTCACATAACCTGAATCACACCGAGCCAGTTTGTGTTGAACAAGGAAGTAAATTAGTCTCTTATCACGATGTGGGGTCAGGATGTACGGCCCTTGTTGATAAAATATGGTGTCAGACTGCAAAGTTCGCCCGACAATGTAGCCACACATGACGTTTTAATAGACAATAGAACCATGTGGGCTTTATTAACACCCGAACGAAACACGTATCCGTCTTATATTAATTGTGGTGTTCATAAATCGTCTGTCGTGTTTTAAATAATTGAATTGATGACGCGTAATCTAAATGTATGACAAAGAATACTGCTTTCAAAATATGTGATAATTCCAATACATGGACACAGGCTTATACAGTAAACAAAGAGTATACTAATATTTATCGGATTCGTGTCAGCGATATGGGACACAAATTTAACCTGAAAATGATAACGCTGAGTAAACACGCGACGCAACAGGCAGTACTGATGACCACATAGGAGTCAGTGAGAAAGAACGCACCAACCTCAAGAAAAGGGAAAACTGTGTGTACAGCTTTCATATTCGAAATACTGTTGCAAGTTTGGAAATAAAGAGAGTCGATTGCTTAATGCTCGGAGGTAAAATGTGCTGTCATCTTCGCGTACTTCAACGAATTAAGGGTCAACATGGTTAACCCTTCTGTATAAAGGAATTAGTTTCGTGATGAACGTGTATGCGTATGTTTTGCATAAATCTCGAAGTGTTCGTCTCTGCCTAGGACACCATTTAGTGAACGCGATAATAGCGACAAAATGGTTCCATAATCATGAAAAAATCTCTCCTTAGAAGTGTCCTTTGTACTAGTGAGTAGTGAGTTTGACTATATCATCAAAATATGTTATGAGTCACTATACAACAATCATGTTGTTCCCGATGAGGTCACCACAAAAACATGAAAAGCAAGTCGGGTATTCACCTGAACAAACACGAGAAAAACAATTTATACAGAAGGATTGAAGAATTGAACAAGTTAACAAGGTATACTTCCGTCATTAATTTGTAATAGAGATTACATTAACAAGTTTCGTTCAAGCTTGCATGCTTTGTTTCTGTGAATATATTGTCATGCACAACCATGTAATTGCTCCAGGAAAATAAACAAATTGTAAAAAAATACCCTTTCGTCCAGGTGCATAAGTGGGGTATTCATGGTCAATTGTGGCATAGTATCTAAATCGGAAAGCGCTGTATTAACGTCGCTACAACATGAATTATCCAGCCCATGAGGAGAAAAAGGCACTTGTTCCCATGCTTGGCTGATGATTGTCGGGTGGTTACAATGTGTGACCTGGCTGATTGTGTGTCATCGCTCCCACGCAGCGTGATTCGTTGCTGCCAAACACTGGAGAGCTCCATAACGATTATCTAGAGATCTTTCATGGAGATTATATTATACATTTCGTTAGAAATATGCGTCTGGTGTCGTTGAGGTAGGTATTGTTGGCAAAAATAATTATCGTTGAATAATAACTGAATCCAGTATCATATATCTCATTGTCACGCAATCACATTTGTATTGAATCCTTTCACGGCAAAAACAGTCCCTGATAGTTGATGCATTGTTTATGATACATTATGCAAAAACAAAGTAACAAGTAAACATAATACACGTTTTTATTACTGGAAATTGCTGTCATCATTATCAAGACATTTCAGAGAAAACTTACTTAAAGATACAGATGTAATCAGTTTTAGAAGGATGACTACAAGAATGAATAGAACAATATATACGTAACACTTTAACATGATTAGACTTAGTTATTCTTCTGCTGACTGTCCTCACATAAACTGCTGTTGCGTTCATTCAAACTTTTGTAAGATTACTCGATACATTGCACATATCTAACATTATGACCCGAGAAAAACTGTATTTGAATTTGAAAGACGGGGGAACGTACATTTAATTTTTTTTATCCAAAATGCACCGCCTTTGATCAATCTTGAAGCACACACCAAACACACCACTCGACTTGACACGCGACATACACCGACATACCCCTGATCACTGAACCCCTCCCAACGGTCACAATGCTAATTCTCCGTGTCAAGTGGAGTCGGTCTGTTCAAGAAAATATTGATGTGATGTAATGAATCGCCAAGGCGTGAAATGTGAGATCGGCGGTACCTTGTGTACCTTTTCATGTTGAAAATTCGGGGGTATGGGACTCAAGAGGAGTTGGTCAAACTTGAATTCCCTCTGTGTGTCAGGGGGTGGTGGGGTAGCCTAGTGGGTAAAGCGTTCATACGTCACGCCGAAGGTCCGTGTTCGATTCCCCACATGGGTACACTGTGTGAAGCCCGTTTCTGGTGCCCCCCGCCGTGATATTGCTGGAATATTGCTAAAAGCGATGTAAAACCATTCTCACTCACTCACTGTTTATCCTAATAGTCGAATATAAGTGCATGCCTTAAGTATTATTGTCTTTCATTTTGAGACAATTCATCTTCAGGACCACACATGACATGGGTCTTCTTCAAGATCATCTTTGATTTCAATATGGACTTGGACATGACATCTGTCACGTGTGTCTCCATCATGTTGACTGTTCTCGTGAAGGCATCAGGCATGCTATAATGAATGTTCATCGCGTTTCATGACACGCCTGGTCGTGTTTTCATAAACACTGTTCTCAGGTTGTACGTCATTGATGTATGTATGAGTTCCGTCAATGACGTCATAGACGGAGGATCCCCCCCGAGTCTCCAGTGACATATACTGCTTCTCTAGTTCAGCTTGGGTTTTGGCATTTTTTCGTTTAAGTCTGAAAAAATGTAAAACACGAACAATTCAATTTTTATGTGAGTAATTGCTATTGTTGATTTTGGAACTGATTCGGTACTGAAAGCATGAAAAGAATAGACACGGGTTTTTTCAGATGGTAGAATTGCAAAACAAACACTCAGGAAATAAAAGTGAGTATATGCCCAGAACTTTACAATGAATTTTCAATACAGAAAGCTCATATTTAAAAATGAGTAACAGACTGATAAACGAATGTGTATAGATGACAATTGAATAAGTATTAGTAAACTATAATTGATAGGTCCAGTATAATACGATAAGCACAATTAAAGTGTCACCATTTAAGGTGTAACTTATCTTTGGTATCTTGGCAACATTACAATCAGAACTTGATATACTAGTACACCAGGAAGTAAAATCTTACCTGAAAACGAGAGTCGTGGCTGCAGCTGAGTAAACGCCAAGCACCACCATCAGACAACACACTACGATGAAACGAACATCTGAAACAGGGTAAATATCAGTGAAAAGAGTATATGCATATGCTTAACATGTCTCCTATATTTATGGGGGAACCTCGATTTATCGAGGAAATGTTTTTCCTCAATGCTGCTGGCTAGTCGTCATGACACCATCTTATATATAGCATAATATATGTATTGATCATATGAGTTGAAATGTCAATACCTGTCTTGTGTCCAATATTTTCGTTCTTCAAAGGAATCGCTGTGCCTATTTGGATAAAATAATATATAAACCAAGCATGGCAACATATGTGAACGATACAACGCTAAATCTACGTTTGAACTGGTTTCTTCAGTATTATCATATCGATGTGATCTTAATCTATGTATTTGCTTTTGTTGCTTGTCCTCAATAACATGTTTGACACGTGTACGTACTGCCGTGCGGCGTCAGGCAACAAACAAACACTTTCTATGCAAATTGTGTGAGTGATCGGTACTACTCGTGGAGCGTACCAGTTTCCTGAACACTGGGTGTCTTCACTGATTTTCAGTCATCCATTCATATAATTTTTTACCACTAATTTGCCTTTTACGTTCAATGGATTCTGCATATGCTCTTGAATTGACTTTTTAAATCATCTGCTGATTGTTTCGCTTATATTTCAAGCAGATATTCGTGAACACAAAATAAAGACTTTATTGTGAAGAAAGGCGTATGTGTTTACCAAATTGTGTTTGTTTCTTATAATTTCAGATGTCTGTTACATTAATCATGATTCAATTCGCTTTATAAGCATCCAAATGAACTGACTCTTCTCCGCTGTTGTAGTGTGATATCCAGTTTGACATTCCCCCGTCATCTTCTCACACACCTCACACTGGTTCAGACAGCTGCAGACACCGGAACAGTTGAAGCCGTATGTGTAGTCCGCACATTCTGTAATCAAATATGTTTGTAACAAAATCATGTTCACGAAAGTAGTCACAATGTAGTACCTACAGAATACACTTAAGCCATCCCTATAAACGTATATGACTGCCATGGGGTTGGCTCATTTTTTCAATAAAATAATAAGTCACCTGCTTTATTCCATTTACTAGACATATGTCATGGTTGAGATTGAAAGTCAAGGTATATGATTCTTTATGAACCATGCCACATGTCATTGTTGAGTGTATTTCAAATGAAAGCGGCAAATGTTTCCAGCTACATAACATTCTGTGAGCAACACAACACGTTATTTGAATCCATGAGCATTTGGCGAAGAGACTATTATCTAATATTGTAAGTCGATTAATATGTGATTAGTTTACGTGTGTAGATACGAGAGCCGCACAATCACCGTGCATATGTCCCAAACTCTTACAATAGCAGACAGGATAAATGGAGATGTATCAACCTTGTCGTTTCTCACTATTATGGGCAGAACGTGTCAGTCGGTCTGTCCTGTTATAACTTTACGTTAAGTCCTGTCAAATGTACACACCGCGACATAACGAAACAAGGGAACAATTGGGACATATTTCGTATCCAACTGTTTTAATTTGTGGAAAAGGTTCCAAGCCCAAAAGGTCTACAAGCATAGATATGAAAACTGATCTCATTTGGCTAGTGCTCTCGAAAAATCGTTTCGCAATTTATGTCTGCAAAGTTGCCAAAACTTGTAAAACGCCTGAGCTTCCTCACATTTAGAGACTGCTTTTCAGCATATTATACTATTCTGGTAGCTGGTAGGATCATTCAAACAAAGCTTAAGCTCCAAAGGCGAGGGGTTTCAGAGAAGTATGTTGTGAATGAAAAGGTAATGCAGGATAATCATTTTGCAAACTGAAAACCAAAGTACAAACGTATGTTAAATTTCGCTGCAATTTTTGTCCTACTAATAGCAGCATGCAATTAATTTAATTTTATGATGTTTTATTCATTGTTTACATCCGCTTCTGGTTCCCAAGTCCATGTTTCGCATCAATTTATCCACTCCTGAAAAGCCAGTTGGTTTCATACGCATTACTTATAACTTGCTTTTTGTGAATATAGTGGCCTTTAACCACTACAAGACTTCAAATGATATATTGTAGAAATGTATTTGATAAAAACATCACCAGTGCCATAACTACATTTTGTAACAAGAATCACTTAATCATATCCTACCCTCCTGGCATCCAGATCCGCGTATCCCAGCAGGACATCCACTTCTACAGTTACCTGTCACCTTGTCACATGTTTCAGTTCTATTTCTGCATTTACAGTGTTTGCTACAGTCAGTGCCAAACACGCCATCCTTGCAAACTGAAAAAGACGAAAAAAGCCTTATCAAGTAATCACATGTAATTATACAAACGATCAGCAAAGTGGAGAACGATGCCCGTGGGGATACCCACTTCTTGATCAAATTTCACATTGGTGCTACAAATATTCTACAGAAGGCCTCTCCAGATTCGGCTCACTTTGTCTCACGCTTACAGTCCAGGGTAACACATAAACATTGTTCTGAGTCAGATACTGCTGTGCAACTCTGTCGACTTGTTTTCTGGCGTGATCGTGCCAGGGCCAGGGCCGTTCGATTGCAAAAAAACGGTAACACGGCCATCAGCAAAATCTCATCCTAGTATGTCGCAGGATCTAAATTCACATTATTCATTAATATTAAATTTCTTCCTTTAACCAATAGTCCACCAAGATCAAAAGGCTCCTCCTAAAGCGATTACCGTAACGTTTTCATAGACGCCTTTTAGATATGTGACTCATGAGTGAAATTGTGATATAAGGTCCCTGCTCTAAAGTAATAATAGGTGAGGTGAGGTGAAATTGGGTTTAACGACGCGTCCAAGATTATTGCACTTATAAAGCGACGTCCATGTACGTGTGTGTGTTTGTGTGGCTGCTTGTACTAGTCCGGACTGATGCCGATTTATAGTGCTAGCCCACTGAGATACCATGCCGCAGTTTAACATGAATACCCCACTCAGACACAGTATACTGACTCCGAGCCGACCAGTCCTTGTTTTAGGCCCTTAATGCCGAGCGCCAGACAGGGTAACACCAAGTACCATCTTTAAACGTCTTTTGGTATGACGCGGCCGGGGATCGAACCCCGGACCTTCCGCTCTCCGGGCGGACGCTCTACCACTAGACCACGGAGGCGGTCCTAGAGTATTAATAATGACAACACAAACTAGCATGTTCATAGAGCTACAACTTATTTTAATGGGTCGGTATGCTCTCTAATGTCATTGTAGGCTCACTGAGGAGTACACAACATAAGCTGACTATGTGGATCTAGAAGATCAACATTCACATTAAAAATACCTAATCTTTCTTTATCGATTCACTTCCTTTTATGGCATAAAAAGTTTTGAGAGCTGCCATAGGCCTTTCTTTTCTAAAGCCGAAGTTCATGTGGCATGCCTCTTCCAAATGGAAGGTGCATATAATGTCCTTGTAGGGAAAGCTACAGCAATGATACATTCTGTTTAAAGGTGAGTTGACTTTCTATAACGGTAGCTACAGACATTGCAGTGTATCTTTTTAAAGTGAAGCTGCATCACATACGATGTTTCAAAAGTGGAGGTGATGTCATTTACAAGAAAATGTACATTACTTTAGTAAAGGGTAACTAGATGCATGATACCCTTTGTTTAAATACGTACAACATATGACATGTGGTTTCCTGGACTGGAAATGAAGTCATTAAACTGGAAGTGCACTCTTTTTTATTATGCAGAGGGAATGCCATGACTCTGATGTGATGTATAATTTCCTTATTGAAGTTAGCGCAATCGGATACGCAGGATATATGTCATGTTTTGTTTGAGACCATAAGTGATGTCAATAGTACAGAAATCTGTTGAAAATTGTTGAACTTTTATTACACAGAGATTATTAGAATTAGAGATTATTCTTCCATGGACTCTTGCTAATTTATTTGGTCTATGTCATGAGGAAGTCAAAGGTCAAGGTCGTTATATCTAACAAATCTCATAAAAAAGTTTCCATTACACTTTCTAAAATGTTTTCAGGCATTATCAATACATTTAGTAAATACCTTGTCCGGGATGGTGCTCTGGTTTAAAACGTTATAAGGTCAAGGTCAATGTTAGCTTTCCGATTTTGATAAAGGTTTTATCTTTACCGATTGCTGGGGCCTGGTTATTTTTTTTTGCATGTAACCTTACAAACCTTACTACATCCATAAAGGTCAATGTCGAGGTTATTGCCAGGCATTCACTATTTGCTAGTTATGTCTTTACAATCGTGAGACTTGGGTCACTGCTGGATCTTTCGAATTGTTTCGATTAAGATCAATGTCTGGAAGTAATGTTTCAGACTTGAAGTACACGATATTTCTGATGTTGAAATATTTGACGGAAATGAAAGTGAAGGTGGTGTTTCTGCTTCTGCAAGTAGTTTTAAATGCCTCTAACGAAATATGACCATTCATAGCACATACATGTATATGCATATTTATCTGATAGAGAACAAACAAACCCCTTGTCTATAAAGCTATATTCAATACATTGAGAAAAGCCTTTTAAAAGTAGGAAATTGATACTCTGCAAAAAAAACAAAAAACAACAACGTAAAAGTGATTTTAGATGTATATTTTATGTATATCACATTAATTATGAACAGATGGTAATCGATTGTTCAAAATTGGCACACATCATTCTCATTGACTCAGGTTCCATATGGAACACATGGAACAGTAGATTTTCAAGGTGAAGGACGTCTGTGTTGTGATTACTCAAAATGGCTGTTGTCAGTGTGAGGGCGGGCGTTGTCTTGTTGGAAAATCACTTTCCCTTGCTGCATCATTGGAAGGACGTGTGGCCGATTCATCTCATTTGTGCATCCGTGTAACGTTGTGATGCTAAATTACCTTGAAGTTGCACCAATTGTGTTATATATGTGTAGGAGATGGCTGTCCACATCATCACTCAACCACCGCCAAATCTGTCAGCTTCCTGAATGCAGTTTCGGGCATAACATTCCCCGCGACGCCTGTAAACATGACGTCTCCCATACTCTGTGACTTTGACACAGCCGACGATGCAGGTCCGTCAAAATGACACCTCAAACGGAACGTCTTGCGCGAATACCTTCAGCGCGGAAGCGGTTTCTCACTGTCTGAGCTGATATCCTCCACATTTTGCAGAGGTGGCCGTTGTGGTTCCATCACGGAAGTGACGTGGTCGTATGAATCTGTCCGGTGCTCTGGTAGTGATCTGGGAAGGCCACGTGTTGTCTCGGGTGTCTGATAATGGCTCCGCAGTGTCTTGTAATGGTGCTTGGTCCTACGTGGGATAACCTGACTTCGGCCGAAGATGATTCGCCTGTATGTGTATGCAGTCGGCGGATGGCGTTGTTGCGTTGGGCTTCTGTCAGTCGTGGCGTGTTATTGCCGTTCACTGTTCAAGGTTGTGATGCCATCCAAATGAAAACCCAACGTTTTTATAGCCCTACATGTCATGTTGGTGTGTTTTGGTGCCATGCCCTCAGATGTTTGTGGTTTTTTTCTTTTCACCAAATTTTGGCAGTACCTTATTTTTCCACACTCATGAAAACCAAGCAATGTGTTAAACACAATTCATTCACAACACTTACCTTTGCAAAATGGTGTTTTGAAGTTGGTCTTACATCCCTGTGGACATTCACCATTACTTTTGTTGCAATAAGTACCATCTTTGCAAGAACCACACTGATGTAAACAGTTTCCTCCGTAATATCCATCTTTACAGTCTAAAATGGAAATTTTGAACATCAATACAGGTTTCTCTCAATAGCCTTTTCGCATTTGTTTTCTTCATTGTCTTGTGCAGATTTGAAATGTAAATGTATGTTTTTACCGAAATGTATCAAAACGTAAATTTAGAAACAATTGAACCAGATAAGTTAAAAAATGTACTATTAGCTTCATAACAGAAGTGGTGCTTGGTGATTTTCTGATGGTTTGACACATTATGATACACGACATCATATCGTGAGTATAACCATTCAAAACTTGGTTGGATTGTGAGAGTAAATATCTCACGTGTACCTCGATATCTACGTTAGTCATGAAAAATACCAAATTTTAGAAAATATCTGTAAAATATATTGTAACATGAAATATACCGAAAACATTCATTTGATCACAATGTGCCATGTGTTAAACACAATACATTCACTACACTTACCTTTGCAATGTGGTGCTTTGAAGTTGGTCTTACATCCCTGTGGACATTCACCATTACTTTTGTTGCAATAAGTACCATCTTTGCAAGAACCACACTGCTGTAAACAGTTTCCTCCGTAATATCCGTCTTCACAGCCTAAAATGGAAATATTGAACATCAATGTACCTTTTGTCAATAGCTTATTTCTCATTTGTTTTCTTAATCGTCTTGTACAGATTTGAAATGTACGTCTTTTTTCAAGAATGTATGAAAAGGTAAATTTAGAAATAATTGAACCAATAAGGTACTAAGGTGCTATGGTTTGTCTATTACAGCAGTGGCTCTTGGAGATTTTCTGATAGTTTGACACATTATGATACACGACATAATATCGTCAGTTTTCCCATTCACAGCTTGCTGGGATTGTGAGAGCAAATCACTCACGTCTAGATCGGTAGCCACGTTGGCCATGAACAATTACAAATTGCCATTAGTGCATTTAGCAAAGATCTGTAAAATATATTGTAACATGAAATAAACCGAAAACATTCATTTGATTACAATGTGCCATGTGTTAAACACAATTCATTCAGTTGTTTGATAGGCATTTAGAAGTTGGAGTACTACGTAAGGATAAGACATTTATGGATGAACAACTTCTTTATTACAATTAAGAGCGACGATTCGGTGTAGGTTCTAACACCGTTATCAAGCAAGTGATTATACAGAGTGCAGTAAGCAAGTATACTCTAAATCAGCTCTATCAGACCACATCCGTGACAACCCGAGCCACAGCATCCAGTGGGAGAGAGTTACAACCCTCGCCTACTTACTTACTTACTTTGGAGATTTAACGTGCGCTTTCCGACTGATGCGTATTTCGCACACGGGCCGGCCAGGCCATTTAATGTGTTTCCGAAAGGGGCGAAGGTGGTCTGTGCAACCCAAGAGGGGGGTTTTAGGGGTTGCTTATATAGAATTTGGGAATTTTGAGATTTGGAATAGATGCCGATGGGATTGGGGAGGAGAACTAAGGGAGCTGGGTATGGTGGATGTTTGTTTGTTTATGTGATTTTGATTTGGTGAGTTATTGTGTTTTTAGATGCGTTTTATTAGTTCCGTTTTTATTAAGAATACGCCTAAGGCCTTGAAGTTTTCTAGTTTATTTTGTGGGTTTAGTATTGCTTCTAGAGTTAGAGCCTTGTTTAGATTGAGGGTGGTTTGTAATGCGGTTCGATGTGTTAGGTAGTGTGTGCACCAACCTCAAAGACTTCAAGATCAGGAAACTACAAGAAGCCATCAACATCAAAAGACTTCAGCCCTCAATCAACCGTGACCAAGGCTATTACATACCCCTGGCGTTCCATCAACTCATCAAAGACCCCAAAGACCCCAATCAGCCATAATCCCGTTGTTTACATTACTGGCTTCATCCTTTGTTTCATGGCACTGACTTCACCGATGGTTATCATCACTGCCCTTGTGTGTACACAACAGGCTTCTCTACCCCAGTATAACAATATCTACCCTACTGTATAAACATTGCCTCCTACGTGTATATATACTTGCTTACTGCACTCTGTAGCCTCCTCAAGCCCACGCACAGCACCGCTGATAGCAAGCCCAGGGAGAACTTCAAAGGTAATTATATAACCACTCACCCATCCATTCACAACAACCCAAAGGTAATTATATAACCACTCACCCATCCATTCACAACAACCTACACCTCCTAATCAACGCTCACACCCAAGCCCAAACCTAAAACTACATTAAAAAAGCCCACCTAAACAAACTCAAACACTTGAAATTAAAACACAAGCCCTCTAATTAATCTCTTAAAGCTGTAAACAACTCACAAACCCAAAACAACCAAAACACCGCAAACACTACTCACCCCTTCCAAACACTCCACCCACAACCCCTCACCTCAAACACCACAACAACACACACTCATCCTATACACCCAATCCCAGCATGGCAGACCAAAGACAAATCGAGATAAGCGAAATCTCTGGCATTACTTCCCCTACACCTGCGGAGGCGCACAACACCTCCGACAGGGAAACACCCTCACTCATTCCAACAGGCTACGGCGATCAAGACCCTCAAGCCTCCTACATGGAAACTCAACCCAGCACCCCACCTCCCCAAGCATGCAACTCAAAAAAACGCAAACTAGACGCATCGGCATCACCTACCTCACACACCCTCTCACCCGCAGCCCTCATCACCACATGGGCCCTCTACTTTTTTTCGGCCACCCCCTCAGTACAACTAGCTCCAACACTAACCATAAATAAAATAGGCATGTGGCTAAGGCAACAAAAAATCAATTACCTAAACATCAAACGTAGCTTCAAAGGATATCAGATAATCTTCCCAAATCAGGAATCCTACATAGCCGCAACTAAAATTAAACAAATATTCCAATTCACCGTAAATAGCTCTAAACCTAACTGGCAAATATACACTAGGGGAGTTATTCGAGTGCACCCAAGGGAAACCGACGAGGACCTCGACATATACGCCAAAGAAGCTAACACTATCCAAACCCAACCACAAATAACTAGCCTCCGCAGGATTAAATCAAACAGAAACGGGAAAACCACCCCCACACCTATTGTAATAATAAACTTAAAAAAAACAGCTAAACACCCTGAAGCCCCCAAACATATCATTTTCGGCGCTAACCATAACTTAGAGGTCAAACCATACATCAAGCAAGTAAAGCAATGTTCAAATTGCCTCCAATATAATCACACCGCTTACAAATGTACTTTCAAAAAAACTAAATGCAAAAACTGTGCCCAAACGGACTGCCCAGGGATATGCACACCCTGGTGCATCCACTGCAAATCCATAAAACACTCATCACTCTCGAACCAATGCCCCCACAGACTATCACTCACCCAACAGGCCAACAAACATATAGACATAAACACGGCCAAAATCCAAACCAAAAAACCCACACCGCAAGCATACAAACCACTACTACCAACACCCCCCCCAAACAACAACACTCACGCACGCAAAACAGTATACCCAGTCTCCGTATGGGACCAAAATCAGCGAGACGCATACATCGCAAATGAAACAAACACCCTACACATCCCACAAACTCACACTCTCACCCTCCCCGCCTCTCACCCTACAATTACCACATCTACACCCGCAAGCAAAACCCAACGCACAACGACCACCACACAACCAGCACCAACACAAGCCATCACAGCCACAAGGGCAACAACACTCCAAAACCTACAGGCACCCCCCGAACACCCAGTCAACAGGGAAACTACAGAAACCACTCAGACTCTCGCACCCAAACCCAGCATGCAACCCACCACCGAACAGAGTGACCAAACTAAAGATAACTTAACCGAAGAGGACGAGTACACATCCTCAGAGGAAATAAACGATCTTACCTTGTCAGCCCCAAAAACCAAAAGCTATAGAAAAAAACTCACCCAAAACGTAGCAAGCAAAAAACTAAACAACTTAGTCCTCCTTCTAGCTTACATGTTAAAGCAGTCTAATCCAGAAGCCAGCTCCAAAGCCTTCTTTGGTGTAGCACATAAACTAAAACTCGTCACCACCTCTTTCGACCGTTTCAGCAGCAACCTTAATAACCTACTAAAGTAAATACCTAAACCAAGCCTAAACCAAACATAAATCCACCCAGTTTCCCAATGGAAGGCCTAAACATTTTTCAATGGAATGCCAATGGCCTCGCCGGCCATGGTTCTGAACTTAAAGCTAAATTCAAAATAGATAAAGGTCCCCATGTAACTTGTATTCAAGAAACCAAATACTCACATAAAACTAAATTCAACCTACCAAATTATAACGCAGTGAGAACCGACAGGTCCAAAACCATCCCAGGCAGAACAGGAGGAGGTCTAATCATCTACGTTAGAGAGGATATAAACTACGAGGAAGTTAAAGTAAACACTCCTAATCTAGAAGCTAATGGAATCCAAGTCACCATCAATAACCAAAAAAAAAAAATCATTAACATTTATCACTCAACACTAAAACCAATTAAAGATACAGACCTAGATATCCTTTACCAATTAGGAAATAAATCAACCATCTTCCTAGTAGACTTCAATGCCCATCATCCTACCTGGGGCATTGCAGATAAACTAGACAACCATGGACAACTAATATCAGAGTGGATCGAAAAAAATGACCTAATATTATTAAACAATAACCAACCAACTAGATACGACAAAATCCACCACACCATGTCGGCTATCGACTTAACAATATGTACGCCAGACTTAGCACAAAGTCTGATGTGGGACGTCTACTCAGTACCTCTAGGCAGCGACCACTTTCCCATAAATATAACCCTAGGAAATATAAAAATACCAAATCAAACCCCTAAACAGGAACCTAAATTTCAGTACAAAAACGCCAACTGGGACCAATTCCAAGAATTATGCAACGAAGCTAATCTAAACGATTTAGAAACAACAGACCCCGAAACATTCTGTCAAAACCTAACTAACTTCATAATCAACGCAGCCAAATCCGCAATCCCCTTCAAATCATCCAACCCAGGAAAACCCACTGTCCCTTGGTGGAATGAGGAAATAGAGCTAACTAGACTAAAACGCAACTCAGCTTTCAACAGAGCTAAACGAGACCCCTCTCATCTAAAAACAGCTCATGAACTAAACCACCAAGTCCAAAACCTAGTTAAAACTGCTAAAACCAAAAACTGGAAAAAATTCTGTGAGGAGCTAAACCACCACACCGACGCTAGGAAGGTGTGGCGCAAAATTCACGCCATCCGAGGCATCAAACGGCACAAAAAAAGCCCCAATATAAACAACTCAACTAACCCCACCCAAAAGGCCAACAACCTAGCCAAACACTTCTCTAAAGTTAGTAGCAACAGTAACTTCAGTAAGAAATTCCAAGATAAACTAAATAAAGAAATAAAATTCTCCAAAGAAATCAGACAAGACAACCTAGAAATAAATCAACCTTACACCATAGAAGAACTAAATCACGTACTAAACAATAGAAAAAAAGGAACAGCACCTGGCCTAGACCTCACCTCTTACCAAATAATCAAACACTTACCTACCAAACTACTCCAAACTTTACTTAAACTATACAACCTAGTTTACCTAAACGGACAGGTCCCATCCTCATGGAAGGAAGCTCTAGTAATCCCAATACCTAAACCAAATAAACCAGCAGATCAGGCAAACTCCTATAGGCCCATATCCCTAACCTCAAATCTCTGCAAAATAATGGAACTTAGGACGAAAAATAGGCTACAGCACTACCTAGACCAAAACAACATCATAAACCCCGACCAAAGCGGCTTCACTCCTGGCCGATCAACTCTCGATAACCTTGCCCGACTAGAACAGGATATAAAAACAGGACAGCTAAACAAGCAATACACCAATATACGACCTAACAAAAGCAGGCAAACAAATAACCTTCTTGTGGATCCCCGCCCACGTAGGAATTTACAGCAACGAAAGCGCCGATAAAGCAGCTAAATTATCTCTCAAAATACCAGAAATAAGCCTAAACCTACCCATCTCAAAATCAGAAATTAAAAGTGTAAACAAACAAAAAATAACCAAAAAATGGCATAATCAATATCAAAACTCAAATAGCCAAATCCAAAAAGTGCTCAGAAAACCACTAGCCAAACCTAAAATCCTACACCCCTCTAAAAAAATTGACAGATTAATTACAAAACTCCAAACAGGACACACGAACCTAAATAACCACCTAAAACAACTTAAAAGACACACCACAGGCAACTGCCCCCACTGCAAACAACCCGAAACCACAGAACACGCACTCATCCACTGCACCCACTACCAAACACACAGAACCACACTACAAACCAACCTCAATCTAAATAAGGTTCCTACTCTAGATGAAATACTAAACCCCCAAAATAAACTAGAAAACTTCAAGGCCCTAGGCGTATTCCTAATCAAAACAGGCCTAATTAAGCGCATCTAAAAACTAATTAATCTACCAATCCAAAATCCAATAAACATACAAACACCCACCTCACCCGGCTCCCTTAGTTCCCTCCTCCACCCACCTCGGCATTTATTCCAAATTTTAAAACGTCCAAAAATCGATATAAGCAACCCCTAAAAGCCCCCTCTTGTGTTGCACACACCACTTTCACCCTTCTCGGAATACACTAAATGGTCTGGCCAGGCCCGTGTGCGAAAAACGCTGCAGTCGGAAAGCGCACATTAAATCTTCTATATCAGTCAGTCAGTCAGTCACTCTGTATAATCACTTGCTTGATAACGGTGTTAGAACCTACACCGAAACGTCGCTCTTAATTGTAATAAAGAAGTTGTTCATCCATAAATTTCTTATCCTTACACAATTCATTCACTATACTTACCTTTGCAATATGGTGTTTGGAAGTTGGTCTTACATCCCTGTGGACATTCACCATTACTTTTGTTGCAATGAGTACCATCTTTACAAGAACCACACTGCTGTGAACAGTTTCCTCCGTAATATCCATCTACACAGTCTAAAATGGAAATATTGAACATCAATGTAGATTTCTCTCAATAGCTTATTTCTCATTTGTTTTCTTAATCGTCTTGTGCAGATTTGAAATGAACATGGTTTTTTTTCAGGAATGAATTATGAGGTAAATTTAGAAATAATTGAACCAGATAAGTTACAAAATGTACTATAGTTTGCCCCATTACAGCAGTGACGCTTGGAGATTTTCTGATAGTTTGACACATTATGATACACGACATAATATTGTCAGTTTTCCCATTCACAGCTTGCTGGGATTGTGAGAGCAAATCACTCACGTCTAGATCGGTAGCCACGTTGGCCATGAACAATTACAAATTGCCATTAGTGCATTTAGCAAAGATCTGTAAAATATATTGTAACATGAAACATACCGAAAACATTCATTTGATCACAATGTGCCATGTGTTAAACACAGTTCATTCACTACATTTACCTTTGCAATGTGGTGCTTCGAAGTTGGTCTTACATCCCTGTGGACATTCACCATTACTTTTGTTGCAACGAGTACCATCTTTACAAGAACCACACAGCTGTGAACAGTTTCCTCCGTAATATCCATCTTCACAGTCTAAAATGGAAATATTGAACATCAAAAAACCTATTTTTCAATAACTTATTTCTCATTTGTTTTCTTAATCGTCTTGTGCAGATTTGAAATGTACGTCTTTTTTCAAGAATGTATGAAAAGGTAAATTTAGAAATAATTGAACCAGATAAGTTACAACAGGTGCTATGGTTTGTCTATTACATCAGTGGCGCTTGGAGATTTTCTGATAGTTTGACACATTATGATACACGACATAATATCGTCAGTTTTCCCATTCACAGCTTGCTGGGATTGTGAGAGCAAATCACTCACGTTTAGATCGGTAGCCACGTTGGCCATGAACAATTACAAATTGTCATTAGTGCATTTAGCAAAGATCTGTAAAATATATTGTAACATGAAACATACCGAAAACATTCATTTGATTACAATGTGCCATGTGTTAAACACAATTCATTCACTACATTTACCTTTGCAATATGGTGTTTGGAAGTTGGTCTTACATCCCTGTGGACATTCACCATTACTTTTGTTGCAATAAGTACCATCTTTGCAAGAACCACACTGCTGTAAACAGTTTCCTCCGTAATATCCATCTTCACAGTCTAAAATGGAAATATTGAACATCAATGTAGATTTCTCTCAATAGCTTATTTCTCATTTGTTTTCTTAATCGTCTTGTGCAGATTTGAAATGAACATGGTTTTTTTTCAGGAATGAATTATGAGGTAAATTGAGAAATAATTGAACCAGATAAGTTACAAAATGTACTATAGTTTGCCCCATTACAGCGTGACGCTTGGAGATTTTCTGATAGTTTGACACATTATGATACACGACATAATATCATCAGTTTTCCCATTCACAACTTGGTGGGATTATGAGAGCAAATCACTCACGTCTAGATCGGTAGCCACGTTGGTCATGAGCATTACCAAAGTACCATTAGTGCATTGAGATAAGGACTGTAAAATATATTGTAACATGAAATACACCGAAAACATTCATCTGATCACAATGTGCCATGTGTTAAACACAATTCATTCACTACATTTACCTTTGCAATATGGTGTTTGGAAGTTGGTCTTACATCCCTGTGGACATTCACCATTACTTTTGTTGCAACGAGTACCATCTTTACAAGAACCACACTGCTGTAAACAGTTTCCTCCGTAATATCCATCTTCACAGTCTAAAATGGAAACATTGAACATCAAAAAACCTATTTTTCAATAACTTATTTCTCATTTGTTTTCTTAATCGTCTTGTGCAGATTTGAAATGTACGTCTTTTTTCAAGAATGTATGAAAAGGTAAATTTAGAAATAATTGAACCAGATAAGTTACAACAGGTGCTATGGTTTGTCTATTACATCAGTGGCGCTTGGAGATTTTCTGATAGTTTGACACATTATGATACACGACATAATATCGTCAGTTTTCCCATTCACAGCTTGCTGGGATTGTGAGAGCAAATCACTCACGTCTAGATCGGTAGCCACGTTGGCCATGAACAATTACAAATTGCCATTAGTGCATTTAGCAAAGATCTGTAAAATATATTGTAACATGAAACATACCGAAAACATTCATTTGATTACAATGTGCCATGTGTTAAACACAATTCATTCACTACACTTACCTTTGCAATATGGTGTTTGGAAGTTGGTCTTACATCCCTGTGGACATTCACCATTACTTTTGTTGCAATGAGTACCATCTTTGCAAGAACCACACTGCTGTGAACAGTTTCCTCCGTAATATCCATCTACACAGTCTAAAATGGAAATATTGAACATCAATGTAGATTTCTCTCAATAGCTTATTTCTCATTTGTTTTCTTAATCGTCTTGTGCAGATTTGAAATGAACATGTGTTTTTTTCAGGAATGAATTATGAGGTAAATTGAGAAATAATTGAACCAGATAAGTTACAAAATGTACTATAGTTTGCCCCATTACAGCAGTGACGCTTGGAGATTTTCTGATAGTTTGACACATTATGATACACGACATAATATCGTCAGTTTTCCCATTCACAACTTGGTGGGATTGTGAGAGCAAATCACTCACGTCTAGATCGGTAGCCACGTTGGTCATGAGCATTACCAAAGTACCATTAGTGCATTGAGATAAGGACTGTTAAATATATTGTAACATGAAATATACCGAAAACATTCATTTGATCACAATGTGCCATGTGTTAAACACAATTCATTCACTACATTTACCTTTGCAATATGGTGTTTGGAAGTTGGTCTTACATCCCTGTGGACATTCACCATTACTTTTGTTGCAATGAGTACCATCTTTACAAGAACCACACTGCTGTAAACAGTTTCCTCCGTAATATCCATCTTCACAGTCTAAAATGGAAACATTGAACATCAAAAAACCTATTTTTCAATAACTTATTTCTCATTTGTTTTCTTAATCGTCTTGTGCAGATTTGAAATGTACGTCTTTTTTCAAGAATGTATGAAAAGGTAAATTTAGAAATAATTGAACCAGATAAGTTACAACAGGTGCTATGGTTTGTCTATTACATCAGTGGCGCTTGGAGATTTTCTGATAGTTTGACACATTATGATACACGACATAATATCGTCAGTTTTCCCATTCACAGCTTGCTGGGATTGTGAGAGCAAATCACTCACGTCTAGATCGGTAGCCACGTTGGCCATGAACAATTACAAATTGCCATTAGTGCATTTAGCAAAGATCTGTAAAATATATTGTAACATGAAACATACCGAAAACATTCATTTGATTACAATGTGCCATGTGTTAAACACAATTCATTCACTACACTTACCTTTGCAATATGGTGTTTGGAAGTTGGTCTTACATCCCTGTGGACATTCACCATTACTTTTGTTGCAATGAGTACCATCTTTGCAAGAACCACACTGCTGTGAACAGTTTCCTCCGTAATATCCATCTACACAGTCTAAAATGGAAATATTGAACATCAATGTAGATTTCTCTCAATAGCTTATTTCTCATTTGTTTTCTTAATCGTCTTGTGCAGATTTGAAATGAACATGTGTTTTTTTCAGGAATGAATTATGAGGTAAATTGAGAAATAATTGAACCAGATAAGTTACAAAATGTACTATAGTTTGCCCCATTACAGCAGTGACGCTTGGAGATTTTCTGATAGTTTGACACATTATGATACACGACATAATATCGTCAGTTTTCCCATTCACAACTTGGTGGGATTGTGAGAGCAAATCACTCACGTCTAGATCGGTAGCCACGTTGGTCATGAGCATTACCAAAGTACCATTAGTGCATTGAGATAAGGACTGTTAAATATATTGTAACATGAAATATACCGAAAACATTCATTTGATCACAATGTGCCATGTCTTAAACACAATTCATTCACTATATCGTACCTTGCGCAGCTATGACCGACATTGCGTGCATGATCATGAGAAGACAGACAACAAAACACATCTTGCACAGGTCAGGTGCTGAAAAATACCGAATTATCTAAATGAAAACACAAATGAGAAAATTGAAACATATATTACAACGGTAACAATAAAGAATGAAAGTAAACACTATATACAGATTACTAAACGACCTCCATTTTGGTACAATGGGTGTTGTTTTATGTTTAAATGTATCTAACGAGCTGAAAGAAAGGAAGAGACAGTGTGGAGCATGCCCACGAAAATGTAAATATTTCTAAAAAAGCTTTCTTTCTTATCGTTACCGCTCCGGTATGCAAAATGTTCCAGCTGCACTTCGGTTTAGCAGGCTCTAATCATTCCCTTAAAAAATCACTCTAGAGTGATTTGAACCCTGTCTGAGATCACTTGAGAGTGTTTTTAGCCTAGGCTAAGGTCACTCCTCTCTACTAGGCCCAAAACAATCACTCCAGGTTCTGATCACTCCCCTTTGAGCTCAAATCAATTCCCCACATTTTTAAATGATTCTACTCTTCTGTTCTGTTTCGGTGTACAATTCTGAAGGTTTCAGATGTTTATGTGACCTTCTTCTTACCTGAAAAGGTAATTGTGATTGTCGACATACATTCTTATGGTATTACCGGTGTTATGAATAAACATGAACTCATCAGTCTAGGCCCAAGTCACTCCAGATATTGGTTGTGCATTATTATGCCAACAAACAGATATTTTTTTACAATTTAACTCTATGTAAAGACATTTTGTGAGAGAATACGTCCTAATTGGTGCATTTGCGGAATTAGCAAGTATTCGGATATAATAATGTTTTGTCAAATTATTAAAAGAAAGAGTTCCCTATTGAAGAGTTCTCTTAAAAAATACACCTTCACAATTCCATGTTATACTTCAGTTGTAACATCGATATGCAATCTCAACAATCAACAGTCTTGGCGTCTTTATATCAATCATTCATGTGTAATAGCATTTCGTATAAACATGACTTTTAACGTTCTATATGTATTTCTGAATGACAGCTTATTCGTGATGCAAATGCGTGACAGCGGGTTTGAGCTTTATACCATGGCCAGGAAGGAAAGGACAATGCTAGGTCACGCCGATAGCAAGCTAGACCTTTATGCGGGACACAACAACAATCTTTGTATTATTACAGTTTAGTTTGGTTCTAGGAATTGGGTCAGTTTTATTTTCGTAAGATCTCATATGTTTCATGTGATAGTTATATATTGGCATTTTAGAACTGTTAAAAGACTTTTAGCCTGCATTCCATGCATAGCAATGTTGATTCGTAATATTTGCAAAATAACGAAAATCACAGAATTGTAGGATGGCATCCCATATCTCCACCAGTCTGTCTCTCAGTCCCTGTACTGTAGTCGGAGCACGTGGTAAAAGTCGGAGACGGCGTTCCATTTCATCACGCACGTGTTCAATTGGAGAAGATCTGGAGAGCGAGCAGGCCATGGGATCACATTCACGTTGTTCTGTTCAAGTGCGTGTTAAACAATCAGGGCTTCATTGGGTCGGGCGTTGTCGCGCTGAAAACTCATCCCAACACCATAACACTGCCTCCTCCGAAACGGTCTTCCTCCAGAACACAGTTCTGAGCGTAACGTTCGCCACGACGTCGGTATACTCGTATTCGGCCATCACTGTGATGGAGGTCAAAACGAGACTCATCGGTGAACAGAACCTGCCTGCACTGAATTTCCGTCAAACGCACTCGCTGTCTACACCCCTGCAGACCCAATCGGCGGTGATTGTTGGTCAGAACTGGACGTCTGGCTGGTTTCCTCGCAACAATCTCGTAACGTCTAAGATGGCGACGTACAGTCTGTGCCGATATTCGACAAAGGCCAGGGATGGTTCTCGCAGTGATTGTTGTAGGCTAGAACGGTTTCGCAGATGGGTGGTGAGAATCCAACGATCTTGACGGACGCTCGTAACGGAGGACCCTGCCGCTCCTTGGTCGGTCTTTGACAGTGTTTGTTTGCTGCTAACGCTGCCAAAACGTCCAAATGGTGTTTATGTGCACGTTCACTCGCCAGGCTACTTCAGGATGCGACGTTCCTGACTGGAGCATACCAATGGCTCTCAAGCGGTAATTTTCAGAAAGGCGTGGCATCTCGAAACTTCAAATAATGATTGAAATTTGTTATTTTTTCCTGGTTGCAGGTGCTAAGACAAGCAGAAACCATTCATACCGAATCTTTACAACACGCATGCTTTCATACCCTGGTGTATATCATCAATTGCACGATTGCTGCGTGAAAGACACTTTTTGCCATCAGATCATGCTTGTCTGCTCAGGTTTTGCGTTTGTGATACAATTTATATATTTTTGTATCCCATTTGAGCACTAGGAAGGTTGTGTCACAGGAACTTTCGTTGTTGAGTATGTTTACACTTGTTTTTGTAGTAGATGAAGCGTCCGCTCCGGAGGGCAAGTTTCAGTTACTCACATAAGTAAAAGGTGTGAATCCCATACCTGTTTACCTTCGCCGTGAAATTCATTGAATATTACTAAACGTAGAGGAAATCAATACCCGTTCCCCGAGATTTACTTACATGTAGATAGATCACCACGATCAAATACCTCGAATACCTTGACCTTTCTGTTTCACAGAAAAAAAACCTGTGACACTTTTGAGAAATATGCCTCAAATACTTGTATACGGAATCTTAGTAATTACATTTACATTATTCACGCTTACTCTAACCCAACTTTCTAAACGTGCTCTAAACACGAACACAGAGAACTGTATTGTAGTCTTTGCATTTATGGATCCATGACGGTCCCATATATCACAGCTATTGGTTGTCACTGCTTCTTGGACATAAGCATGCACCCGTTTTCTCACAAATGCGGTACTGGCACTTTGAGATACTGTGATAGGGCGTACTCAAATGAGGGTCAAACTGAAATAGACTTCTCAAAATACATTTACATTTCGTCAAGGAACGTTTACTGGGTCTTTAAACCCTCAACAAGTCAATTGTGTAACTGCACATAAATTCTTATCACAGGACTTCATCCCCTCAACAAGATCTCTACTGTTACAGGACAGTGCATGTAATTGTCATGATGACATTATGATCCATTATCATGAAAATCAGTAACCAAATTGCTGCTTTAAACCGACTTGTACAGAATATTGTGAAAGGAATAGAAATTATTATGATGACAGATATTGTGTTCTCAGTGTTAATGATGGATTTGGGGTTTAACACCTCCCTGAACAGTATCTCAGTTATATCATAGTCTGCCAGCTCAATGTGAGACGAAAGCTCAAGGTGAATCAGGTCAGAGACTTGTACCACCTTTGTGAAACTCAAGCAAGGTGCTGACAAATAATAGTAACGAAAAGGCTCACCTGTTCTCCTCACATCACTTGAATCACCCCGAGCCAGCTTGTGTTGAACAAGGAAGTAAATTAGTTTCTTATCACGGTGTGGGGTCAGGATGTACGACCTATCACTGATAAAATATGTAGTCAGTCGGCAATGTTCGTCCGACAATGTAGCCACACACGACCCTTTAATAATGATAATATAACCATGTGTACTTTATTAACACATGAACGGACTCCAATTTTCAACGTGCAGGCATTGATAAAACACATACTCACTTATCCCTCTTACTCACTTGTCCCTCTTATATTAACTGTAGTGTTCATAAATCGTCTGAAGTGTATGAAATAATTGATGACGCGTCTTAATCTACATATATAAAAAAGAATACTGCTTTCAAAATTTGATGGCAATACCTGGACTTATACAGTAAACAAACAGTATATTTATCGGAATCGTGTCAGCGATATGGGACCGAAGCAAGGCTAGACACGTCCGAGTTGGAACTAACAACAACAGAAAGTGCGGGTGTTGTTTTCTGTACGAGACACATTATGTTGTTCCAACAACATGTACACGAAGACCGTTCCCTGTTTCTGCTGTAACAGGAATCTACTTTATCCATCAGTCAGATACCTCAATTACTGCACTGTTTGTAAGTTGGAGCAGTGTTCACAGCAGTGAGCTTCAAGTAACGTCGTTCGTTACATACAGTCAGGCACTCAGACAAATGTACTCAGAAACCACATGGTCCAGAATATAAACATATTCTTTAACAACTATACAGATTAATACAGGCAAAGAATACAGCTAGGTCTTTCAAGATTGCAGAACCACAACGAAGAGTTTTTATGTGCTTGGATGAACTATACTGTTATTGTACATATTCATACAAACATAATTGTTCCAAATAACAAGATAGTAACGAATCAAAACATCAGGATTAAAATGTTTATCACTGAACGGATAATGCAAAATATAAAAAAAACAGCTTACCACTAACTACTTATTTGGATCAAATAATGGAAAGAATAATGTGCTGATCTAAAGATACATCACTTTATACACGATGGGGACACATGATGATTCAACAACAAAGCCACACGATAACGGCCAGCTATAGATGGATGGGCAACGTCAGTCATGCTCATTTGTGGTCGTGCTTGGTGTGTGGGGGTGATGGTGGAATTGGGTGTTGGGGAGGGCTAGGTTTTGTTGATGGATTTTCAAGCGAATTCCGGTGTTACTATTCGACATGGCGTAAAATCGACGTTTATGTTTCAATATCACCATACCGCAGTGTAATTTGAAAACAATCCATTTAACTTAGAGCTCAAGTACATTTTAAGGCAGCATTATTTTACAACTAGTCATGTTTATGACCCGCACATAACGTCTTTTGTTTGCTTCGCTGGATTGGTAACAAACCAACATGCTATTCTTTGTGAGTTAAGGGTTAACAGGGAAGGGAAGGGAAGGGAAGGGAAGGAGGGCAAACCACAAATCTATCCTGAACATGATAACGCTGAGTGAACACGCGACACAACAGGCAGCCCACAGCACTAATGGCCACATAGGAATCAATGAGAAAGAACGCACCAAGCTAAAGTATAAGGAAAATGTTTAACCCTTCTGTTTTAAGGAATTAGCTTCCTGGTATGTGACAAAACGTGTATGTGTATGTTTTGCATAAATCTCGAACTGTTCCTGTTTGCCTAGGACACCATTTAGTGAACGTGATAAAAGCGACAAAATGGTTTCCATAATAATAAGAAATCTCTCCTTAGAAGTGTCCATTGTATGATTCTGACAATATCATTAAAATGTGTTTATGAATTACCATAAAAGAATGATGATACACGTTGTTCGCGATAAGGGCACCACAAAAGCATGCAAGCCAAGTTTTGTATTCACCTGAACAAACACGAGAATAACAAATCAAACGAAATCTCAAGTGTGTCTGACAGGTCGGGTGGTTACAATGTGGCAGTTACAGGTTTTGTTTAACTGTCAACTAACCAGTAATATACCAGTAGTATATAGTGTATATAATACATAGTGTAGTTAGTATTAGTATTAATATTAGCATTAGTTATTTGTGTCAGCATTAGTATATAGTGTAAATAATGCATACTGTAGTTAGTATTTAGTATTTAGTATTAGTATTTATCATTAATATTAGTATTTAGTATTAGTATTTAATATTAGTATTTAGTATTAGTATTTATTATTAGTATTTAGTATTAGTTTGCAGTATGGGTTTTAGTGAATTTAATGAAGATTTGATACAACACCTTTTAACTTAGTTATGCTTGGGTCAGTCACTACCCTATCAGCTCCTTTGTGTCAGCCAGGGCAAATGTTCTGGTTGAGTGGTTGACCCTATTGTTTTCCTTAGGGTCAGCTTTGCATGCTTTTTAACCCTCACTTGCACCTCAGTCACTACACAGACAAGTCACTGACAGGCGACAGCAAGTGGGCACATTTTACAGATTTTGTAAAGTCAAGGTATGTTTCCAATTTAATACGTAAACATATATAAATCTATCTTTTCATAAATAAGATTATATAAATAGGTGTACGTTAAATAAGGTATTTGTTATGATGTGTGTGAGATTTAGTCAATGTCTGATTCTCCTGGACAGAGTGTTGTTTGACTATGTTTATGAGGCTATTATCATATATGTGTTAAATGTATTGTAAGTGTGTGGACATTTATGATAGTTTTAGGATGTTTAGTAATTTATTGTGTTTTATGGTAGTGCTGTGTTCAGATCTGTAAATATGTATAAACAATAGCACTGATTTGATAATAATGTCCACACGTGCAAGAGCATTGTGTAAGGAAGCTAGTTTTATTGTACATTTAGAATAACTTCCATATTTATAGGTACTTTGATGTCACTGTAGCCCTGGCCATGTAGTCGTGAAAGACTAAAGTGTCACCTACACCTAGAGGCCATACTTCTGGTATGTTTACTTATCACCACATGTAAATAGATATTATTATTATTATGTTTATCTATTGATCACGTTTTACACCACCTAAGAAGTATTTTGATTTGATGTATGCATATACTATATGTATGTATAATGTAATTCTAATGATGTAACATGTTAGGACGTATACATACCCTCCATATATGTATAAGGTAATCCTAATGAAGTATCATGTTCTCATTTTAATTGTCATAATTTACAAGATTCTTATTGAGTGTTATTGTGCATTTCAGGGTGTGAAAGAAAGGTTTACCACTCGTCATCTAATAAAACGAATCACACCCGTAGCTGTGTTTTTGACATCATTTATCGATGCACACACATATTCTGCTACAACAATGTGTGACTTGGCTGATTGTGTGTCATCGCTCTAAAGCAGCGTGATTCGTTGCTGCCAAACACTGTATGGCTACATAACGATTATCTAGAGATGTAAAGCTGATTATCGTTGTATACTAACTGAATCCAATAGTTCGTGTCTTTTTCAGAATACGTTATTTAAAAACAAAGAACAACTAAACACAAAAGCAACTGTGTTACTTGAACTTGCTACAATCATTGTTAGCACATTACAGAGAATACATATGTTACCAGTTTTAAAAAAGATGACAAGAACAATCAAAAGAACAAGAATATCACTTTTACGATGTAACGTGACGTCATACGTAAATGTGACAAGACCATGTCATGCTTCGACTGACTGCTTTCATAAACTACATTTGAGTTCATTCAAGCTTTTGTAAATTGCATACATGTAACGTTATGATCCTAGTAGAACTCATATTGATATTGAATGACTGGGGTACCTGCATGTTTTAAACTATATCTATATAAATCGCCTTTGAGAATCTGAAAAGAAACGCACCACTCGACTATATTTGTATATCATCCCAGACAATCCAACGTTCCTGGGCGTTACCTGTTTACGTTATCTCATGGGCGTGACATTATACGTGGCGACCTCGGATATCATAAGCATTCTAACATGAGGGTTTGGGGGATAGTCATTTTTTATGTCAAACGAGTGAACAGGCAACCTTAGATGCCTTTCTAAGATTAACCTCCAACGTAACTATTCTGTGTTTAAGTGATCTAGCTCTATCGTTTTCGGTGATTGAATAATATATACTTTTCTTAAATCTGTTGCAGAACCAATCATAGAGGGCTGGTAAAAAAGTCTGAGCCTGACTAACTTTCAACTATGGGCCATAACAAAGTGAGCTACTAGTAGTAGTACATTGCAAGTGTACTTGGTCTGTTGAGACCGTTTGGATATGAGTGACAGCCAGTTGAACGTGATAGGGGTCTAAATAGACACAGAAATGGAAAAGGAGAACCATGCAGTCATCAAGTTTTTGACTTAAGAGAAAAGTACTCCCCTGAGGACTCATTCATGACTGGGGATAAGTGCCCTAGCTATTCCACTCTTAAACTTTGGACAGCTATAGTTAAGGCTGGGAGAAAAAGCCTTGATGATGATCCTAGGTCTGAACGTCCCTCAACTTCCACCATTTAAGATTCAATGAAGGATATAGAAAACCCTAAACTGTCAGACAGACGTATTACCATTGATGAACTTTAGGAAGACACAGGTCTCAGCCATGGATCCATTGAAACTATTATTCATGAACATTTACAGATGAATAAGATATTTGCTCGTTTGGTGCCAAAGTTTCTAAATTCTGATCTTAAGGAAAAAAGAAGTAACATTGCAAAAGAAGATTTAGAGCTAATTGAGGAGGATTTTATCAAATTAAAAAAAAGATAAGTAACGGATGATGAAATTAACCAAAGAAATTCAAGTCTTCAAGATCAATGAAGAAAGTTATGTCAACTGCATTCTGGGATGCAAAGGATGTGAACATTGTTGATTACTTAGAAAGTCAAAAGACAATACAGGTGCCTACTATGCTGACTTGCTCCATCGCCTGAAAGATTCTATCAAAGAAAAGCGGCAATGAATGCTGACTGTTGGGGTTCATGACAATGCCTCTTCCTACTCCTCTTGACTTGCAAAGGATGCAATGCGACAATGTGGGCTCGATTCCTCACCCTCCATACTCGCCAGACCTTGCACCAAGGGATTTCCTGAACTGAAGGAAACCCTTTGTGGAAAGCGCTAGAACAACGATGACCTAAAAGCTGCCGTGAATGGGTTTTTCAGGGTGGCTTTAGAAAACCTCTCCCTGACTTGAATTGAAAAGCTCCATTATCGAAATGAGAAGTGTATTGAAAAGAGATTATGTTGAAAAATAAAAGTAGAAACACTTTCACAATTGTTGCTTTTATCTGTTAGGCTGAGAACTTTTGACCGGCCGTCGTATACACAATAACTTGAGCATTTACATTTGGAATTTGACGAAACTATACATGGTTTGTGTAGAGGGATCTAGGTCACCAGGAACATTGAATACTTTCCATGATAATACAAAATATTTTATGGTGACACGTATCAAGGACAATGGCAAGGTCATAGGGCATCTGGAAAGGGTTTAGTTGCTTTCGTGTTCCATAACAGAAATAATGTCATCACAAAGGACCTGCATCCGGGCTCTTAATCACTAGGTAAGGTTCTTTAATTTAGCATGATGTTGTAGTATGTAATGATAACCCACTGGACATGCCTTGTTTTGTTTATCATTAAGCATGCGTACATCCCTCTTACATAAACATTCTTTTTCACAATTGCTCTGAATAAACAAAACGGAAATGATATAACTACCCTAAAAGCTACTTAGGTATTACTTTAACACCTGCTTTTAGAAAACTATTGGCGAAAATGATCAAGAAAAGTACCAATTGAAACATGACATTTCCAACCTTCAGTTTGGCTTCCAGAAGAACACTGGCAGACTCAATGTACTCTACATGAGTGTGTCATGTACTTCAAACTGTTTGTAACAGTCCTGTGTAGTACTTGTTTGTTAATAATGCAAGACATGGCAACATGAACTGTTATCCAAACTTTTTAGTCTTGCTGATAATAAAGAATAGAGAGCTAGATTTTTGTAAGAGCTGTCATAATTCAAAACATGTCATACACATTTCATTATTTTGAATTCATATCATTGTCTCAATTGATTTTTTTGGATAGTCTTATGTTTGTAATTAAAGTTTGCACACAAGCAAGACATGCACAACCATCCAGTAGATTACATTAAATACCAACTCTGTTGCATTGATCACTGCGTTGTGTATTTCATTACTACCAGGTGTGACTACCCTTGAAGCTTTACTGATTCTATATGTGTATTGAAAATCTGATATACACCAACATTTCTCAAATCTGAGACTTGTGTAGATTCACTGATGAACATGACGCAGAATAGAATTGATAAAGATTTATTTCCGCAAAAAAGTATACATTTGTAAATGAATAAGGCTGTCGGTGCTGTCATTACTTCTTCCTTTATTACTTTCTCTTCGTGCCCTATCAAGCAAAAACATGTTTCTTTTGTGTAAGCAGCGTGAAAACCCAAATCCATCTCTGGTTTCTAAACAAGTGAAAATAAATCATTTACAAATATGTCTATAAGTTATCAAAATGTACTTTTCTGTTTTATATACAAATGTAAAAATCTGTTTAAACCTTTCTTAATTATAAATAACATAGACGACGCATTAGAGATTTTTAGCTTAACATTTCCCTTTTGTGATTACAATATAGGATAAAACAAACAAATGCATGATTGTAAAATGTCAGAGAAAATACTAAAACAGCATACCAACAGCAAGTAAGTAACACAATGTGCACTAAATAAACTGTTCCCAAAGTAAAGCAAACATTAAATCTCTGAAATACATGTACAACATTATCACTATGTGAAACTATAAGTATTGAACATAGTGTAGTCAAGCATTCCCATGTAGTTTACATACATGTTGAAGACAAGTGAGAGCATGCACGTCGCATGTCGCGTTTTACATACTTCTTGGACACACTTACAGAAATAACAGGTTTCTGTTCCTCCCGAGACATGGCAAGCGATTTACACACATCTTGCAGTATGTTTGTAAACATGGGGGTACCGTTACTTGTCAGGGCATTATCATATGCAGAAGACAATGTCCTGAAAAAATAACGTTACCATTGTTATAGCTAACGTGGATAGAATTTGTAGCTAATCCGAAAATGAACAAAACAGCAAACAGCTGCATAAGTTTAGTGGCTGCATAAACCTTAAGACGGAGTTCATTGATTTACAAATATCAACGTCATGGAACATAATTATAGGATGGCGTCACAAACAAACACGCCCTTATTATGATGTCACATAAGAATTGAATAATTAGCACCCTGTCGTTGGGGAAATGCGGGCTGATATCAAGTTACAGTGACCCGCAGAACATGTTGGCGTTTTTGTGATAATTCTATCCATTTTAACTACAATTTAGTGTGAAACACCTACAAATATGTGAAAATAACCAACATATTTGAAGATTATTTAAGAAATTCAGAGGCAATTTTTCTGAGAATATTCGGGACTATCTGCAGATGCCTCATAAACCCAGTTTAACTACGTTTACCAGAAACACAAATTGAGATAAGTAACTGGCATAATTCAAGGAGATTCACACATTCAGTGTCGATGAACACCACATATATATAATAACACTGTTTTGACATTATGCTTGGACATAATTCATTCAGATTCATAATGTCAATGTCGGTGTAAACCACCCTGACATTGTCACACAGCAAGGGCACAATTCATTCAGATTCACATAGTCAGTGTCGGTGTCAACCACCTAGATACAGTCACACCTCTGTGTAATAATTCGTGGAGATTCATACAGTCAGAGGCCGTGTAAACAACCCAGACATTGACACACTGCTGTGGTATTAAGGGATCAGAACGATCGGTGTCATTAGCTCTTATTCCATCTGTTTGTGACAGTTTCTGAAAGATACCAATATTGTTCATATCATTTTAAACAGGCCTGTGTTGATATAACATTTTGGGAAAATGATCGTATTGTAAATTTAAATTTTACCGGCGTGTTGACCAAACTTTTCTTGTTCTTCTATGAATTTCTTCCATATCACCCTTGGAAATAAGAGAGATAGTTGCAATTCACAGCATTTTGAGGTTACCCTTTCTCAAAAGTGTCATTGCATTTATCATTTAACTTGGTACAGACCTTGTCCAGCATGGGGGTCTGCTTTGAAAAAAGTATGGGTCATGATTAGTCACGTGACGCGTAGGTCATTGTAGAACATAGCCATGTCATTGTCTGTTTCTCAGGAATAATAAATTCCCTCTGTAAGTACACTGATAGAGATATGACAGTCATCCTAAGATAAACACATTTTTAAAACCAATTTATACTAAAATTGTTTAAAAACTTCCGTCATTGGCTTTCAATGTTTACTCACAAAGGCAATACAATCTTTGTTATTATTATTTTTCTGGTCCAAGCTCGAATATTTTCAGGCCACCTACATAAATCTGGTATATGACTGAGGGCGATCCTTAACAAAAATACACACATCAATATCAAAAATAGAATAGTCTTACAGTTATTGACTTAGCATCCCATTCGACCACATTCTCATACCATTATTCTATTTACGAGAGGTGGGTGGAACGTTCTGAGTCTAACTACGATGGACTGCGTTGATTGAGCTGGCTGCTACTTTTCAATATAATCCCCTCCGAGGTTCACACAATATCTCCAAAGATGCTGGAGTGCTTGAATCCGACGTGTGTAGAAGGCCCTGGCAGTGTAAAACTTTCTCCGCATCAGAACCGACGTCATCTTCGTGTGCATGAAATGCTTGTCAGACATTTCCTTCGTCAAGTTTTGGAACAGCTGGAAATCTTATGGTGCCAAACCTGGTGAATAGGGAGGATTTTCAGTGAATTCAAATCCAGAGTCATACATTACAGCCATGGCGATAATAGACTTGTGCACAGGTTTATGTCCCGGAGAAACAACACCCCTTCCACAACGTTTAGCCTTGAGCAGTTTAGTGGTCATATTGTCTATTAATGGTCTGACTTTTCGGGAGGTTGTCAACCAGTAAGATTCCTTTAAAATCCCGGAAAACCGAAGCCATCGCCTTTCCAGCTAGTTGAACAGACTTTGCTTCTTCGGATGAGACGTTAAATGCTTCAACCGCTTTGATTGTTGTTTAGTCTCTGTCTGACAGTGGTGAATCCTAGATTCAGCCATGGCTGCTAAGTACTCAAAAAAATCAGCTACGTACATTTTCAAGAGAAATGATGAACATGGACCGTTTCTGAGCAGGAGTCAGGAGTCCTGAAACCTAGCATGCTGAAACTGTTGTTATTTCCAAATCATTTTTCAGAATGTTCTAAACTCTCTCATAAAAGATAAAACGATAAAAAGTGTTGGCTGTGTGACCTGTAGTGTGACGTCGCCCATCCACAATCATATCATGTATTTTACCCCATCTTTTCTCAGTGGTGGCAGTTGAAGGTCTTCTTGATCTTTGATCACATTCGAAGCTCTCTCTCTTCCCCTCTTGAACTCCGCTGCCCACTTCAGTGAGAACTGGAGTATTATCATCTATTGACAACATGTTTGCGTGGATGGCTGTTGGAGTTAGCCCTTTCAGTTGAAGATACATGGTGAAAGCACGGTAGCTTATTTTCGTCCATTTCATTAACAGTCACTTAGTCCCTTTCATACTTGCAGAACTATGCTGCCTCGTTGTGTATTAGGTTATGCAGCCTGTACGCATGGAATGTATTGTACTTAAGACATGCAAACTATGCATCCGTGCTTAGACAGTTTTCAGCCACCGTCGTAGATATTCGGCTGTATAATCTATGTTATTTGCTAAATTTCGACCAGATCAATTTTTTTTTTCATGAAATACCCGTAGGCAGGAGTTAAAAATAAAAATGAACATAGTCGTCAAAATTTTGGTTATTTCATGTTACATATTTCAAGGGAGTATTGGCAACAAAAAGCGACAGGCCAGCGGGATCTGTGAATCATTTCATCACATTAGGCGGGGATATATACAATGTATTTCAAGCATATTATTTTAGAAAATTGTTTCCTATGGAATACTTTGCGAGTGTGCATGCTTATGCGTGTGTACGTTATGTATTATATCAGTGATGGGTGACATCACAAATCAGTTTCCGATTCCATGTCACCATCACGTAAACAGTATAACCTCTGAAATGAACAGTTATTATTCAGTAGATCTTAATGATATTTATGGGTGTTGCCTAATTTGTCATAGAATCTCGCCTGGACAGAACGTGTATGCGTTTTTACTCAGAACATGTATGACTATTAAACTTTATTAAGGAGATTTGATCGACAAAATGATTCATATGTGTATATGGTATTAAAATGCCCGCACTAAATAAATGAAACTTCCCAGAACAGGAACAGGAGCTTTCTCTTTTTGCGGTAGGGGAGACTAGTGGTTAGAGCTTAACTCAATGTGATGTTATCGTGGAATAATCTGACATAGAAAAGTACTTACTTATATATTGAGATAAACAGATGAGTACAAGGTACAAGATACAGTCAGTTAGAGCTCAACTCAATGTGATGTTATCGTGGAATAATCTGACATAGAAAATTACTTACTTATATATTGAGATAAACCATGGAGTACAAGGTACAAGATACAGTCAGTTAGAGCTCAACTCAATGTGATGTTATCGTGGAATAATCTGACATAGAAAATTTCTTACTTATATATTGAGATAAACAGTGGAGTACGAGGTACAAGATTCAGTCAGTCAGAGCTCAACTCAATGTGATGTTATCGTGGAATAATCTGACATAGAAAATTACTTACTTATATATTGAGATAAACAGATGAGTACAAGGTACAAGATACAGTCAGTCAGAGCTCAACTCAATGTGATGTTATCGTGGAATAATCTGACATAGAAAATTACTTACTTATATATTGAGATAAACAGTGGAGTACAAGGTACAAGATTCAGTCAGTCAGAGCTCAACTCAATGTGATGTTATCGTGGAATAATCTGACATAGAAAATTACTTACTTATATATTGAGATAAACAGTGGAGTACAAGGTACAAGATACAGTCAGTTAGAGCTCAACTCAATGTGATGTTATCGTGGAATAATCTGACATAGAAAATTACTTACTTATATATTGAGATAAACAGATGAGTACAAGGTACAAGATACAGTCAGTTAGAGCTCAACTCAATGTGATGTTATCGTGGAATAATCTGACATAGAAAATTACTTACTTATATATTGAGATAAACAGATGAGTACAAGGTACAAGATACAGTCAGTCAGAGCTCAACTCAATGTGATGTTATCGTGGAATAATCTGACATAGAAAATTACTTACTTATATATTGAGATAAACAGTGGAGTACAAGGTACAAGATTCAGTCAGTCAGAGCTCAACTCAATGTGATGTTATCGTGGAATAATCTGACATAGAAAATTACTTACTTATATATTGAGATAAACAGATGAGTACAAGGTACAAGATACAGTCAGTTAGAGCTCAACTCAATGTGATGTTATCGTGGAATAATCTGACATAGAAAATTACTTACTTATATATTGAGATAAACAGATGAGTACAAGGTACAAGATACAGTCAGTCAGAGCTCAACTCAATGTGATGTTATCGTGGAATAATCTGACATAGAAAATTACTTACTTATATATTGAGATAAACAGTGGAGTACAAGGTACAAGATTCAGTCAGTCAGAGCTCAACTCAATGTGATGTTATCGTGGAATAATCTGACATAGAAAATTACTTACTTATATATTGAGATAAACAGATGAGTACAAGGTACAAGATACAGTCAGTCAGAGCTCAACTCAATGTGATGTTATCGTGGAATAATCTGACATAGAAAATTACTTACTTATATATTGAGATAAACAGTGGAGTACAAGGTACAAGATTCAGTCAGTCAGAGCTCAACTCAATGTGATGTTATCGTGGAATAATCTGACATAGAAAATTACTTACTTATATATTGAGATAAACAGTGGAGTACAAGGTACAAGATTCAGTCAGTCAGAGCTCAACTCAATGTGATGTTATCGTGGAATAATCTGACATAGAAAATTACTTACTTATATATTGAGATAAACAGTGGAGTACAAGGTACAAGATTCAGTCAGTCAGAGCTCAACTCAATGTGATGTTATCGTGGAATAATCTGACATAGAAAATTACTTACTTATATATTGAGATAAACAGTGGAGTACAAGGTACAAGATTCAGTCAGTCAGAGCTCAACTCAATGTGATGTTATCGTGGAATAATCTGACATAGAAAATCACTTACTTATATATTGAGATAAACAGTGGAGGACAAGGTACAAGATACAGTCAGTTAGAGCTCAACTCAATGTGATGTTATCGTGGAATAATCTGACATAGAAAATTACTTACTTATATATTGAGATAAACAGTGGAGGACAAGGTACAAGATACAGTCAGTTAGAGCTCAACTCAATGTGATGTTATCGTGGAATAATCTGACATAGAAAATTACTTACTTATATATTGAGATAAACAGTGGAGGACAAGGTACAAGATACAGTCAGTTAGAGCTCAACTCAATGTGATGTTATCGTGGAATAATCTGACATAGAAAATCACTTACTTATATATTGAGATAAACAGTGGAGGACAAGGTACAAGATACAGTCAGTTAGAGCTCAACTCAATGTGATGTTATCGTGGAATAATCTGACATAGAAAATTACTTACTTATATATTGAGATAAACAGATGAGTACAAGGTACAAGATACAGTCAGTTAGAGCTCAACTCAATGTGATGTTATCGTGGAATAATCTGACATAGAAAATCACTTACTTATATATTGAGATAAACAGTGGAGGACAAGATACAGTGAGTAGAAGGAAGGGAAGAGTTTACATTATTTGGACCATAGGCCTTCTAGGTAAAAGCATCTCAAGGCTTCCGGAAGGTTTTCGGAAACCTATCTTTCCATGCTGTGACACTGTTAACACGTGTTGGCGTAGATACTGGAATCCCCAGTCATATGTTGGCGTAGACACTGGTACCCCGCGTTACATGTTGGCGTACGTACTGGTATCGCGTAGGTACGCCTTCACTAAGTCGTAACATAACTTGTACTGGTTCTGGAAATAGAAGAACAGTAAAGTAACTCAGTTTGTTGTACTGTTGTTTCGTCAGACAATAAAGGATATTGTACAGTGCAATACAGCAATAATATTTGATAAACAAGTTTGATTGAACAAGGACAATAATTACACTCAATCTCGGGCTCGACACCTGAGACTCAGCAGTCTGAATATTTAAGGAACACAACATTGAATGACAGTTGTGTCTCTTCATGCAACTATGAATACAAGGCTTAGTATTGATACCGGGAGACACAACATATTTCCAAAATCTGAAAGATTGTGTACATATTGCAACTTAAACAATATCGAGGACCTGTATAATTTCACCTTTATATGGCAATCCTTAAAAGACGTTCGAAAGCAATACCAATTAAACATGTTATTCGAACATCAGTCCAACAAATTATTCGCCTTATGGCAACCTCAAATTATCAAGATTTAAAATCTGTTACGTCATGTTTCAAATATGCCTTCAAAACCAGAAATGTACTGAAATGAAACGTGTGAATCCATTTGTAAAATGATCCTGTACTGTATTGTATGCACGTAATGTATTTGGGCCTAGGGCCTTTCATAAATAAACATTTGAATTTAAATAGTGATAAATAATATAACATATTAATCACATTATATACAAGGAATAACCATTTCATATGTACTCATTCCCTCATGTGAGAAACGCATATAATGTATTATATATATATAAATGCTTTATGTCTAGAGTAATCGGAGTGTATATCAACCTTGATAGTTACATCATTTGAATGAAAATAAAGTTCTAACAGTCGCGTTTTGAAGGTGACATCACATATTAATGAAAGAGACTAAGTTTTAAGGACTACGTTGACATTTCTCACATTTATACACCTATATGACACAAAGTTTATTCTTAAAAAAACTATATTTATAGCACCGGCCATTCACATAATTTGTATGTATTGATGCTTTATATCTAGGGGGTAGTTTTAAAGTCTCGGCTCAAACATTTCTTTTGAAGTTGACTCAGCATAGATAAATGCTAGTGAGCTCAATGTGATAAAACTCGGGAACTTTAGTGCACCAACATGAACATCGACCCAGTTCTAGTTAATACAAATTGTCGATGCAAGAAAATAGCCATTTAAAGTCAGTGATGATGCCAGGTGTTCGCGAAGTTCAACTCTTGTGACATGGTTGTCTTTGTTCACTGTTTAGACTTATATTGCATTTTATCATTGTTGAAAGGTGAAAAATATGCTGTGTTTTGAAATCGCTAAATCCAACATCAGTATATGTGTGCATCAATATTCAGATGTAAGGATAACATAGCTCTACTTTGAGAACAACAATAATCCCATAATAGTCAACGAAATGATGCACAGACATGTTTTCTTACATAGGACTCGATGAACTGAGGTCTGATACACTGAAGTTCCCGGATGGTCAGGTAGATGTCTGCTTCCTTGTCAAGTCGGAGTCTGGTGATGATGTTGAGGGCGCTGCAGAACACTCCACACAGTCGGGCACCGTCACTGTTTAGGGTCAAGAAACATAATTGCAGTTACATTCTTCAAAGAAAAAAATATGTACGCGTTTTTGTATCAAACCAAATATCAACTTGGTGAGCCATAAACAACAACTGGAGTGCATACAAGTTCGATCTGTTTCATCTTCAATGCATGTGATATGCGGATAATTCTGCACACAAGCTATCGTTGTTCCAACATTCTACTAGGATACTACGAAATACGCCGATTGGGGCCATCACCTAGTACTTTCAAACTATGAAGCGGGAGACATTTTAATGTGAAACGGGAGTCGTATCAATGGTCAACATAATTTGGGGGCTGGGCTAAAGAAAGCACAGTTGTAAAGGGTCGAGATCAGCCTGAAACATACGGGCAATGTACAAGTGTCTTGTGTTCTTCAGAACAGCCTTGTGTTCCAACTTCATTCACAAAGTCTAGGATTGGTTCAGGAGGTCCAGGAATCTGTGATCTCAGATTAAACACGCGGATCTGTTGATGTGTGTTATCCTAAAAAGAAGACAGGCTATTAGAGAAGACCAGAGATACTTGACCAAGATAGTGTTTATTGACATGAGCTTTTAGAGAGGAAAGTGTTTAAAGACCCCAGTTGCAAATTAACTGGTTTCACGACGTGTCATCTTTATCCCACACCGGCTCGATCACAAAAATGTTGTTCGATATCAGATTTTGTCTGATCCTATTAACTATTAAAACAGGATTTTATTAAAATTGTACGGGGTGTACAGTGAAATCATGCACCAATATCACTATTCCATTACTCCCAGGGGCATTATGTAGGTCAACGAATTGGCCGGATGATGTAGCACTACCTGTTCCCGGAGAGCCAAGTTAAGCTGCATCTCAGTAAAACTGTCTCGGGATGCGTCCACCTGCAGTGTGGTGATGCGGAACGGTCCTATGTTCAACGTCTCATTCTGTCTTGGATATAAGGCCTTCAAGGTTAAAAAAAGACATAATTCAGTAATATATATATATAAAAACATAGTCCAGATATTAGTGCTTGTCAAAACTTCTTTATCCACACAAGATCTTTCCCGTTCAACGGCTCTATAGGTGTAATGAAAACTTTAACTTACATTGTAGTCCTAGGCGACGCATGATAGTACTATTTGTGGCGTCATAATGCCTATGATATATAAAATTCTATGTTTTGTATCCTATGATATATATATATATATATATATATATATATATATATATATATATATATATATATATATGATATGCTTGCATTGACTACTACTACTACTACTACTACTACGATGACGACTATTACCACTACTACTACTACTACTACTACTACTATCTGTGTCATCAACAATCTGATATGCATCATGGTAGTCTTTCTTACGTTTTATTTCAAGCATACAAAAGTCACTTCGATAACAACACGATCATCAAATTCAATTGATTCTATATGTGATATTTAAATGCAAACAGCAGTCAATGACTTTTGAACGTCTTCGGTAAAGATCCCATTATACATGTGTACAAAAGGAGCCTAATAGATACTGGTCAGGGAAATCTGTCGTTGTTATCCATGTTATTCATGTACCTGATTGTCCTCCATATCCTGAAGACACACGATGGTGAAACAGTCATGGTCATATACCAACCTCCAGAAGTCTACAACAGTCTGTGCCAGCGGTGTCTGAGTTGCTATCAGACCCAGGGGCTGTGTTGAAGACTGTAACCGAGATAATCAACTACAGGCGTTCAAATTTACAATGAGTCAGTCAATCAATCTCTATTCCTGACATCGGCAGGGTCATGTTCCTACAGTGTACTGATTACTCACATTAAGTAGATGGGGGGTAATTGAGAGCCCTATATTATAGCTCGGTACCAAGATTTCATATGTTTATGATATTAGGGTTAGGTACATATCGGTTGAAACATTTTGAAACTTTCCAAAATACAAGGCACGCACATATGAACATATCTCAATTATCATTACTGAATTTGTTGTTTACATTTCATTTCATGCAGTAAAACATAATGATTGACAACTTAAAGCGATTCCTCAAGTTTATGACATGAAAGTTATACTTGATCTGTTTTTATCATTAATAGATAAGTAAAAACATTCGACATACTTACTGGTAGTATGACAGCGTTGATGTAATTATTGTGATCTGCGACAGGAGTTGACAAAAAAGGCCGGCCCCTGTTCACTAGAATCAAATGATAGATGCAAATACCAACTTTGAACATAACCCATAAATTATCTTTAGAATAACTGCCTCATATTTGGGTGGATGAAGCAAATGGTACTAAATATTTTTAACATGTGGATTCTCAAAAACACAAAGGATTTGCTTGACTTTTTGCAATCTCAGGAAAGGCCTTTGTTACGTAACTGTATGTGTGGTCACCATGTTTTGTATCTATATTTATAGTTTCAGGACAATTTTTCAAAATTGCCATCTGAAGTTTACTGAGATAACAGTATGTGAAATGCTGGACTTCCTCATTGATAATATCAATGTAAAATTTGGGGGTAAAACATTGAGGCAAGAAGTGGGCATCCCCATGGGCACCAATTGTGTTCACTCCTTGCGGACCTGTGATGCATATGGACCAGTCTTCCTACTCGAAAATGTCAAAACAATGTAATTTGGCCAAGACGTTTAACTTAAGCTTCGTGTATATCGCTGATCTGATATCTTTCAGTACCCATCAAATAGCCAATTCCCTTCCACTTACTTACCCTCCTGAACTAGAAATAAAAGAGACCAGTGAGACCGTCTCATCTGTTTCATAGTTAGATCTATGCATAAATATTCAAAATGACAAAACACTCCCCACAAGACTGTATGACAAGAGGGATGACTCCAACGCTCCAGTAGTCAACTTTCCTTTCCCTTCATGTCCAGCAATATTCCAGCAGCTCCGGTCTTTGGTGTTTACATTTCACAATTTGTTTAGATACAATCGAGCATGCGCTTTCTACCACGATTTCGTCGTACGACGCTTGCTCAGAAGTTGTTATATCAATGTTACAACATTCAAGGCCTCGGTAAAGTTTCCAAAAGCTTTTATGGCAGCCATGTGGAAGACATTTCCAAATTTGACGCATCCGTGACAAATATGATGTCCTATTTTGACTTGAACCACATGTTCCCGTGTTTTTTCAGGTAAACACTTGACTTTCCTTTGCATGTGTTGGTGATGGGTGCCACTGGTGGGGCAGGATACGCTCACCTTTTCGCGAACCCCTGGTATCATCACTATTTAACAGTGATTCATAAGCACTTGCCCATGATAAAGTCGGAATCGTAAATCGATTTCTTTTGAATATGGAAAGGGTTTTGTCGCTTTTATTTACCACGACTGCTATTTTCTTTAGCATCTCTGTGGATTAAGTTTGCTGTAGGCACGTATACAATGGAGGTTTTTAAGACGTTATCAGCAAAAGAGACGAAATGCAAACCTGGTACAATATCCTTGTTTCTGTTTTTGCTGATATTATCTGGCAGATAAGCATCAGATGCCAACTTCTCTGGGATCTCCATCTTCATGGATTCAAGAGACTGATCAAACAAAATATAGACACGTCATAACATCATGCGTAGGAATGCATCTTTACAAAAGAGTGCTTTTGTCATGGAGTAATGATTGAGATAGAGGAAAAGCAATCGACTTCAAGAAATTGATAAATGCAACCTAGGAAATGGGGTTTTACTATTTGTATTACAAAAGATTGATGAGGCCTTGTGTTTTCAGCTTTCATACATATCAGGTAGTGATTCTGGCATCCCTGATATTTTGAATGAATAAATGCTCAAATATGGATATTGGCCATTTGTGTAGAAACACAATACATGTTTTAGCACAAGAGAAAAGGAAAACAATACCGATGTCAATGCATAAGTGGTAATTTAACCATATTTCTGGAAAGGTACAGAGATCAATCTACACATATAGTTTCACATTCAAAATAACCACTGTTAGATCCATGGTGTAGATCATTATACTTTACTAAACAAATTGCTACGGTTGGTTTCGGTCAGTGGGTACATAATGACAACAATTAAAACGAGTTGTAGTGCTTTTGATGGACCTTTTCTATACTAAGTTGACTTACAAACGCACCAATGTTACATGTATTGTTCACTCTGAGGGATTTCGGATGTAAACACAAGCTTGTACATAATACTTGTCATGAGGGCAAAATAAAATGGGGATCGGTTGGTCATGCTCTGTGACTCGGCCGATTGTTTGATGAATAAACGAGTCGGTTGTTGAAAATTGTGTCAAAAACTAAGTCCCCTGCCAATTTGAAGTTTTACAGTCCGACGTAAACAACGGTGATCAACAAACCAACATATTCAGCTCAAACACATAAATGCATACCAAATGAGTCGCTTGACTGTAAACTCTGACTGTAAACGTTCACATGTGGCGCAACATTTACGATATCGTGCGCAACATGTTCAACATATTCTTCTTTCAAAGCAAACTATACACAAACATAACAAGGAACAGTTTTCTGTCTGTAGTGATAATTCCCACCTGAAATTGTTTGTTCATCTCCATTTCCTGTCGTCTGGTATATTTCAGCTCGGTACCAAACATCTTCTCAAAGTCGGACAAAGTGTAGAGCGTGCCCCTACTCTCTATGGCTTCCATGACAGACTCGTGGACAAAACGGTACTGCTCCTATAAACACGGCATATTTGGCTTTCATTCAGTCTTCATACAACAGGCAACGCGATACACTGTGCAGAGTTGCGTCCCTTGGGCACGCCAGAAACCTATGATTGTGGGTTCGAATCCCGGTTCCCCCCCAGAATGTTTCTAGGTTTGTCAGCACCATACCCGTGCTCGTGGGTTTCACCGAACTGCTCAACGTCTGAGACCTGCATCACTTCGGGCTTTCCTCCCACATTATGCTCACACGCTGTGATATAACTGGAATAGTGTTAAAAGCGGCGTTAAACTAACTCACTCACTCATACAACAGTTGCAATATTCCTAAAGGTTCCAAAGCTCAATAATGACCATGACCATGCATGATATCCCTATTGATATTCCTCAAATACTTTGCATGTATGGTTCATCGTTCTTCTTCACACAATCCTTCAAAATCTCTCAACCATGTTAAACATTATATTAAACAGGACGAAGAGTCATTTTGTGAAGAATGTGTCCTTACCACAGTCTGCACCATGTTCATCCTCGCCTCTCTCATCTTGGACACACACGAGAACACGTTCACTTTGTTCAGAGATTCTGCTTCATCAAAAAGGTTGTCCAGAGCAATGAATGTTCCCGTCCTACCGACTCCAGCGCTACAAATGCAGTGAAAATACAACTAGTCTGCGATATGATCATTTATTTTCTGTACAGAATCGGAATATTTACTGGATGATTCTGATTTGTGACATTGTTATGTAACATAAGAATACACGTTACAATAATTAATTACGAAATCGAGTAGCATTGAATCTATTTCCTGCCATTTGTTTTTGGAAATTGATACGTTACGAGACTATTTGACATGTGATTACACACGCATGTATGTTTTGTACCTGCAGTGAACTACAACAGGTCCGGTGATGTCCTCCTCTGATGACGTCAGACTCCTGCACTGCTTCCAGAAGCCGACCAGAGCCGGCGCTGAAGGAACATCGTGGTCAGGCCAGGACGTGAAGTGAAGCTGGGTCACTGTCCTCTTGACAGAGGGCTTCAAATGAAGATATGAACATGAACATATATTTAATTTTACCCATAACGATACAGGACATAATTTTATTAGGTGGTCGACGCATATTGTCATTGTTACAGTCGCCAACAAACAACTGATGCAAAATGCAGATCACAAAAGGGCACATTCGTCAAAACGAATCAATGTGCAAAACGGGATCATTGCAAGTGCGCGATCTACATAAGTGACTCATGAGAACAAGTCCTAAACAGAAGCGTTGGGTTTGTGTTTACCTGTCCTCTTTTTCAATGAAATTGCACAATAACATACTGCAATGCCGCGACTGACTGAGGTAGAAAGAAAAAACACCATCAGTTGCTTGAATCAAGGTCGGCCATAGCAAGTGCGTGTCATATATCCCAAAGCACCAGCACGGGACTCTGGAATCGTAAACAACACGGAGGGACAACATGTACCCGTGACATTACCCTATCAGATCGATCAGGTGTGACCGCCATAGCCCCGTGCCGCTTCCACCGTGTTAGTCATCTACGGCAAACGTCCACCACCACATCCTCTGAAACATCCGCCTACGTGAGGTAAAGCTATATAGGTGTCTTTTGGAAGGCCCAACATTATTGACTATGACGTGGATAAATGTGGTCCAACGAGTTTTTTCTTCGTCGTTCAGATGGAAGATATCGAGTGTATGTAGACAACGACGTGAACGAGAGATTCGGCAGTAATAGTATAATGGTGTGGGCAACATTCTCGAATAATTGCAGGACCAACCTGGACCAGCAATGTAACGACACAACGGTACCGATATTAAATACACACAGCCACACGTCACTCCCAGTATGGAGAACTCAAATGCCGTATTCCAGTACGATAATGCCAGACCACACACAACAAGACGTCGTATGCTTGTTTGTTATCATTCAGCAATTTAGTTTTTATTTGTTATAATCAATAGATATACTTTGTAACCTGTATGTATTTAAGATTGCATATGAACTATATTCTGTAAACATATTGTTGGTGTACTCCAAAAAGAAATAAAATAGTAAAAAAAATATATATATATTTCAGTTACAGCAGCACATGCTAACTTACAAAGCTCTATGTACAACTACATTCTTGAACAGTGTGTGCCTTCCTAGTTATGAGTCAGTCTACGACTGCGTGTAAAGTTGTTCATGCTATCAGTCAATGATTTACAGTCAACAAAAGTCCCTCACAGATTATCCCCCAGTGATTAAGTATGCCCTGGTGTAATGCTTCAGTACTTCAGTCATGTCACTGCAAGCTTAATGGTGAATGTAGGAACACAAAGACTCATCTGACAGAAACAATACTCCTATCTGATGAAATCATTTAGAACTACCTTATTGGAATGCTGAACCAGGAACTTCCTGGTGGTAAAATCCGCCCTGACTGTTGACAGGAGTGGCTTGATTAGGATGTTTCCACATTTCTTGTCCTTCATGCCATCTGGCCAGTACAGTTCACACTTTTTCTATATAAAGACATAGGGTATGATATAAACAGTAACATGCTAACAATTTACACACTGAAACGCTTCGAAAACGCATTATGTCGATCACAAATATGTCAAGCAATAATGGCGATTTTATTCTGATTCACCAATATTACATTTGTAACGTTCTGCGACTGACTTCAATCAGCAAAATGTGTTGTGCTGATGTTGAAACCCGACACTATATCCAAAGATACAATAACAATAGCTGTGTTGATATAAAACACTGTGCATTATTAGTGTTCGAACTGAAACAAGTTGTCTATGGATGACAAATATATCGTGAAACATGAACATTGTGTTATCAAGGCTTGTCGGATAACATGCTTGTTGTAAGTAATAATACTATGAATGAAAGGTTTCTGTTTTATTATTCAAAGTGAAACGGATAATCTTAAAGGGACCTACCCTGTTGAGTTCCATTACCCTGGTCAGCATGACAATCTGTGACACATTCTCTTGCCATATCATTCTCCAGAAGTCATCCACAGTTACGTTATTTGGTCCTGCAATATGGAGAGTTTTTATTCACCTTTTCGCGTGTAACATAACGCTCCGGCAAATCAAATCTTTAACAATGTCTTTTTTAAAAAGGGAACGAGTTTTACGCCGTTGTTAGCAATATTCAAGCAATATCACAGCGGTCGAAACTAGAAATCGGTTTAACACATTGTAACCATGCGGGGATTCGTACCCTGGTCTTCGGCGTGACGAGCGAACGTTTTTAACCACAAAGCTCACTTACAAATTAGGTCTAAAGTAACGGTCTTTTATTCTTTTATAAAATTCAATTACAGTATCGGTTTATCATTTGGAATATACCAGTATTTTAAGGCAGGCAGAATTCATTACGTAGGACATACCTTGAGCAGCTATGAACTTGCTGCTTTCATGAAAGCCCTGAAACAAATTAACTGTTATCGAAACGATTTAAAAACTAAATAAGCTTTGAAATGGGTGTGTCATGGTGCTACCATGTAATATTAAAAATATCACACCAACGACAAACGTTCGTTTCCGATGTAAATTCACTAATCCAGGTGCGCTTTCAAAAGTGAAGTGTGTCATCGATGAGATATATATGATAATAGATATACATTTTCCAATATGCTTTTCATCCTAAGAGTAAGCATCTTCCCGAGTTAACTGACTTTAAAAGTCCCGTTTCAACCCTTGCCGAACTAGGCTGGTATTGTGGAGCTACATTTTGGCTGGACTAACGAGTCTATGCATAGTCCAATCAAAATCGCGCACCGAAATCGAAATCCGGTTCGTAAAGTGTCATGCAGATTTCGCTCGACTGCAAGATTTGCAAGGCATGTGCACCGCTAACTCGTTGTTAACAGATACTTTCTAAATCTTTTCATGCTTTTAATCAAGGTGCTCGCGTGATTTGATGCATTTCGCGATGTAAGACCCGTTTTATCACAATATAGATCTTGATTATCGATCAGATTGTCCTGACCAGGCGCAACCATTTTGTGTGAAGCAAACGCAAGTGATACGAGAGGTGGAATTTGATTGGTCGATAGGAGAGGTTTAGAAGGAACATAACTGCTTATAGCCACTGGTTTCGCTACGATCGAGCCCAGTAATTCCCAGTAATTCTTTTTAAGTCAGTTAACTCCCTCGCCTCGGGAAGATTAAGAGTAAGTAAAGAGTGAGTGTCGTTTTACACCGCATTTAGCAACATTCCAGCAATATCATGGCGGGGGACACCAGACATGGGATTAACACATTGTACCCATGTCGGGAATCGAACCCGGGGCTTCGGCGTGACGAGCGAACGCGTTCGCCACTAGGCTACCCGGCCGCCCACCATGAGTAAGTAAGGTCCCAATAGAAAGGTTTACATTTATGAAAATTTTTATATTTAGAAAAAAGTCACAGCCACTATGTGTTTTGCAAACGAATTAATGACTCATGAATAATGTTAATATGTTTCTTCGGAAACAAACCCAAGCTTTTATCTATAGTGGCCCAGTAATCACTAGAGATTCTCAACAGTGATAACTGACCTGTAGATAGCTGGCGTGGATGTAGTCACACGTAGCGTCACCATCAGGGGACAGGACAACTCGACTGGCATCATCTGTTATAGGAATTCCAAACACTTAATGTGGGTGGAAGTTTAAGAAGCATGTCACATGAATTGCTGTAAGTATTTTGCTGACAAACGAAACATCAGAATCAGAGCAAATATTCAGGGCCATCTTCAGTTGGACCAAACTACTTGCGAATCCTGACAGTTAAGGTGCGCCACTCTGTATTCATACACAGAAACTGATAACATTACAGAAACGTGCAGACTGAATCATGTTTGAACTAGAATATCTTTACTTTATGCACATTGTTTTTATTTATTGTCTGTATTGTCCACTAAAGGGACCTGTCCTTATTCTAGTAATCTCGTACCTTTATGCTTTTGTGTCATTGATAATTTAATTAATTAACCTACACATGGTGTCATTTTGAAGGTGTTGAAGTCGTTAGTTTGCATAGGAAGATATGTCTGTGCAGGATTGAAAAAACAAAAATTCAACCTATGAAATGTTGTTTGTGTACACATGAATACATCATGTACTTACATGTCACACTTTCCCCTTTTTAGAGATTTGGAAATCTGTCTTATAATGACATTCAAATAAAAACATTTACTTTTATTTCCATCTAACTATATCTTCAAATATAAGCATGGTTCTTAATAAAGTAGTATGAATAATATCGGTATAGCAGACAACTCACAGGGAAACAGAGCCAGAAATCTGTTTCTCTTCTTATTTTCAGGTTTCTTCCCCTCCGTGTGCTCTGCATTCAGTCCATGGTGTAGTAGCTTGTCGAAAAAATGAAGTACACGTACAACCGAGAGGAATATGTAGATAATATTCCATGCAAAATATACCCTTCCAAAACAGAAATGCAAAGCCAGATTTGTGTGAGGTAGGAAAATACATTTATACGAGGAACCGTACAAGGTATTGAGCCTAAATGTTGTGGAGAGAACACTTGGTGATTGTAGTCATTTCAGATATCGGTACATGGGAAAATTCCAAGAGGACGGTCAGCTACAACCAATAACGCGTATGTACCCCGTTGGAATCGAGGCCCTGGGGAGAACATCAACGTTGCTGTTGTGTAGACAGGTTCCTGTGATCCGTGTTGTATGCGGTCGAGCGTTGTCCTGCTGGAATACACCGTTGCCGTTGGCTGAAAATGGGAGCCATCTTATCGTTGAGCCGTAAGACTGCCCTGGATATGGATCAAACCTGTCCTGCCATGATGAGAGATAGACGTCCACATCATAACGCTACCCCCACCAAACCCCACCAGTTTCCGGCGTAACGTTCTCCAAGGCTGTAGACTGTGCTCTTCCATACTCTCGACGGAGGAGAAATCTTGATTCGTCGCTGAACCAGACATCTCTCCATCGGAGTTGAGGCCATACCCTGTGTTGACGACACCAAAGGAGTCGTTGTTGACAGTGTTGTCGACTCACTGTGACGCGTCGAACAGGACGTCTTGCTCGAAGACCTGCTTTTCTTAAACGGTTTTGTACGGTCTGGTCGGAGATTCTGTGCAGTCCGGGCATTTGGGATGCGGTTGAGGTGGCTGTAGTCGTCCTTTCACGTAGGTGGCGCAGTCGGATGTAACGATCTGAGGCGGGGATGGTTACTCTTGGTCGTCCCGACCTTGGCCGATCACGTGTTGACGATGCTGTTAAAACCGATCCCATAGCCTTGTGATGGTGTTTTCCGCTATACTGAAAATCCTGGCTACAGCTGATCGGGACTCCTCTGCCTCCTCGCGGGCTATGACATTGTTTCTTTGCACTTCTGTTAATCTTGGCATGTTATTGAACTGTCATTGTTCGATTGACGCAGATGCCAAGCAACCAAAAACCCCGCACTTTAATACCGTTCATAGTGCTGCTGCACGTGCAGTACGTGCAGCTCCATGGCCCTTTTGAAAATGCACTGGGTGCGTGTTTCCAAATTGTTTGCATGTCCGTGTTATGATCATTTTGATCCGGGAAACTTGTCACTGACACTATAACACATTAAACCTCTTCATTTATGGCCGCAAATATCCGTTTTGCGTTTCTTTTTTGAAGAGTATATCTGGTATAACCTGTTTTGCGTTTCAACTTGCATGTGAAATTCAAAGTTTATCTTTTTCTATCTAAATTATTCTGACCTTGTATTCGTGCTCGAATCCGTCGCTTGCCAGTCTCTCCCTGACATACTGCATGAGTCTCTCCAGGGGAACAGGGGCTGGGACGACGTTATAGTAGGGGTCCGAGTTCTCATACACGTTGTCGCCGGGAGGTTTGGGTTTCTTTGGTGGCTGAACAAGCTTTGTGGACTGCATGGATGTAGATGCTGTTCTTTCGCCTAAAACACACGTGACATCGTCATATTTCATAACAAACACATTCATGTATTACATGATAGTATAAGTAGCAGACTCTTACCTTTAACCATTACCAGATCTTCATAAAGGCATCAATGCAAAGAATCAACGCATTTCTATATAGATTTGAATAAGTGAGTTTGTTTTGTGCATTTATTAGATATATTCCAACAAAGTAACGCCACATTGACAAAATACCCGAGAAATGAGAAATGACCCTTTGTGTAACAAACGAACGCTTTAAATACTACGCTATCCAAATGCAAACTTTCAAACAACTCACTGGACGCTGCACTGAAGGAACTCTTAATTGTATCCTCCTCCAGTTGTTGTTCCTTGTTAGGTTTCTGTAAACTCCTTCTTCTAATAGTTATCAAGATATATACATAAGCTAATAACGAAAACCAGAAGTTCAAAACATAAATATGTAATCAGATACTAAATATTTAATGAAATAGTTGAACTCAAACACAAATGATAGAACCTTTGAAGACGTTGAGTTACCACTTTTTTTCACATTATTCTTTTAATTTGTGAGAAGACGAGGTTCCTTTGAGCGTAATGAAGACACACAACTGCACCTACACATATACACATTCAAAACCTTGTTCAAGGTAAGAGGCATTCAGCTGGTTTCATATATAACTGACCAGTAGTATCATCAAATGTAAACACAAAATATTGTCCTATCACGACATAACACAGTTAATTCATAAATACCATTTGGGATTACGTTAAGAAACTAGTTAAATCTCATTTAACTCCAGTTTTCTGCTTGGGTATACGATGGATGGGAAACATCTGAGAGTGTCTCAATAGCCTATGATGTTGAAGACTGACCGTCGTATGTAAACCAACACAGCGACGAGGGCGGCAACTGAAAGCACTCCGATTACAGCACCTACAGCAGCTCCAGTCACAGATTGTGATTCTTGTTTGTTGCCCGTCGCTGTTGATAAAGGAAACTATTATTGATCAATAAGGATATTTTGAAACTTATCACATATTCATAAATATGAATTAGCATTGTTTCTGATTGATTAACACAGTACCTGCCAGTTTTGCATTTTTGCATATTTTTGAAGTAATGAAAACGCTTATTCTACGTTCTTTTTTAGTATACCAACCATTGTAAAGTAGATATCTTTATGTATAACTTCATTACTAATAATTTTCCAAGAGAAAGGTGATGGGTACCCATTTGTTTGGAAATTTTATCGAGACCGATTATTGTCTGGCGTTGACGGTAAATACCTTCACGTATTGCATAAGAACAACTCTACTACAGGTTGTATGACAAAAGAATGGCATGCAACATTCCAAGACACCAGAGACATTTGTGCAACCTGAGATACACCCACTGTCACTAAATATACAACACTTTTGTCTGTCGTACTGTGAGGCCACATAAACATAACTTGGTTCTCATCATTTACTCACTTTAATTGTTCAATAGAAAACTATTGCATGCTAAGTTCGAAACCCAGCAGCATTTATATAAAGCTATTTACCATTCCGAAACTGGAAATGAAAGAAATTATTTTGGCTGATTTGATTCCTTGAAAAAAGTCTGTTTTATAATAAAATCCATGTTAACAAACTCTTTACATCTGTGTACCATCAATTAGTTTCAATTCGACCAACCAACCAATGTCAAAAGAAATAATGGGATACACAATATGTGTTTATATAAAAAAAACAAAAAACGATGGTATTGCTGCATTCATCCGTCCTCTATTGCACAGGTAGAAAGTACCCACCATGCAATGTTGACCCAAACATGTACGCGTTAACTATTTCCAAGGAAAGAAGGAGTATTTCTCTGAAATCAACGCACCTGGCACGCATCGATCGCCCACAAATCCCGGCTCACATCCATGTATACACGCCCCGTCAGTACTATTGCATGTCCCGTTCAGGCATCTACCACAGGCCAAGCTGCAGTCTGGGCCATATGTCTTGTTGAGGCATTCTGTACATACGAGTTTGCATAGTTTATACAGTCCATATCATCAAAGAATTATCCAAATATCAACTATGTGAAAAGGTATCAAAGTCGGTCAAATACAAATATTTAATGTGAAATTCGTGCTTATGTGAATGCGTTACGGTCCGTCACAGTGCATTGCAACTTTTGGGAATTTGGAACACAATTTGTCCTTTTGTTTTCATAATAGGCATGTTTTCCTCGGTACCTGGTCTTTTTAATAATCGTCTTTCATGGAGTACATATTGGAGGTGTGTGAGATAAGTGACCAAACTAGTAAACAAAACAAGGAAAAGCTATCAAGTAGAGACGGATGATTCGCTAATCTCACCGTCAGTGCATCGTGGTTTTTCATATCCCGGTATACATCCGTCTTCACAATGCCCTGTGTTTTGGTTACATGCATGTCCATCTTTACAGTGACCACAAAGGGACCTGCAGTTGTTACCATATCGCTCCTGTACGCATTCTCGAAAGGGAAATGAGAATTACTTTACTCGTGCAGCATTGCAAAAGTAGATTCCTTGATGAAAATATATAAGAATCAGAAAATCGCCATATTTATCACCATAATGTTACTGTTTGGATTGGTTATTTCTTCTCCTCACACCTGTACATGACATATATATGTGCTCCAAGCACTACAGTAAAATAGGATAGAATATATTTCAATAGCATTAAGACTTCATATATGCTTCGTATAGACGGTTACTTTTTACAGTTTGTTGACTTTTTTGGGCAGATGGTTAAAACAGTGATGTTTTAGATCGCCATTAGAACAAAGTTAAACCACCTTGTCCAGGTGAGGTTACAGGAATGTTTAGAGTGAGCAGAGAACAAAAGCATGCAGGTAACAGGATCATTGTGGTTTCATAGATCAGTTGAATCAGGATTAAAGTGCACATTAAGTTAACGTGAAGGAATTGCGATAATTTTCTTGTAGAGAGATATCCCTAGACATACCACGCTGATGGTCAGGTGGTTGATTGTCAAGTGCATGGCATGATGGCGAAAACAGATGGATGTTTCTACAAAGCAATTCAATTCGCCCATGGACGAAATATTTCAATAACGCTATATAAGTTAAGTTAAAATGAGCTAAATTATGTGTCATGAAACTTGTAAGAACACATGTATGTATTTGCGACACTAAAACACGAGTTTTGAGCTGAGGAGCAAAAGCATGCAGGTAACAGGATTATTGTGGTTTCAAAGCAATTCAATCACACAAAAGTATTAATAAAACGACTTTATATTTCACTTGAAATATGTAGTTGAAATTGTCACTTACTTTTGCAATAAGGTCGTTCAAAATTATCCATACAACCCAGTGCACAGGAACCATTAGTTTTATTGCACGATATGCCATCTTTGCAAGATCCACACAGTTGGGAACAATTAACACCATATCGTTCCCTTTCGCAGCCTAATATGAACAGAAATCAAATAATTGAGAAGTCATACAACATTGAAGTAGAAATCCAAGTTTTATACACTACCAGCTATGGAAGTTAAAAATACAACAGCTTTTCTCTGCCACTTTCCATAGTAGTAGCCGATCGGTTGCTATTGTCAAAACATGGGAAGGATGTGTTCCCAGTTCGTTGAGTTTGTTACCAACCCTGGAAATTGAGGTAGCAAATGAATGAAAAGACGTTTGCTTCGTGTCTGTCGCTTCATGATGATCTAGAAATTACAACGATTTACGCCAGAGCAGCACAAGGGTCATGAGTCTGGCTGCCGCGGAATAAACTGCCTGGCAGACAAAATATACACTTGACACATATTCACCTGTTTGATGGTGGCTAAAATGAAACAAGTAAGAAATGTTTTTTCGATGGTTATGAATTTAATACAGGTATCATAGGTGACATTACGTGTACTATATCAATGAGTATGTCACATCATGACGTCATAAGGAACATGGCGTCGCTGTTTCACAGTACACAGTAATAAGCAAAGCGTAATAATCAAAGGCATTGTCATGAATAGTAGAGTTGGTTGGCAGACACCAGATAATCTCAATAGCGAAAATGACTGAACCGAACACCAATGTCGTCAGCAACCTGATCACGGCATTGGAATCGGTTGTCACTCGTCCGTCAGTGCGGCTTCCAGCTTCTGTGGTAGATGAGGATACCCCATGACCTTATGCTCCCATATGTGTCCAATGGTTTAAGTCTGGTGAGCAGGCTGGCCAGGGAAGAATGGCGACGTTGTGTGCAGTGACTAAATCCTGGGTCTGTGCGGCCTAGCGTTGTCGTGCGGTGACATTGTGCCCTGCTGCTGTTGGTAACAAATGGTAGCACCACAGGTTAAAGAACAGCATCACTTGCCGTCGAGGTTGCCACGGATGATGACATGTGCCGTACGTTGGTTGCCACAAATTCTTCGCCAAACCACCACCCCAAGGCCACCATATTATTGATGCGCTTCCTGAATGCAGCCTTACGACAATTATTTTCCCGCGACGATAAACCCGAGCACAGCCATCAATATGGAAGAAGCAGAATGTGCTTTCGTCAGCGTTGTACTGTCCTTGTTTAGTGCCGACTTCGACGTTCAAACTGATTGGCACTCTGGAAGTTGGTGAGTAAGTAAGAAAATGTACAACTTTATGAATAACAACTTTTGGTTTATTGCATACAGCGACGTTTCTATGTAGATTCTTACACAGTCATCAAGCCGGAGTGACAACAACCAAGTGATGAGAGGCATATATGCATGGCTGATTTCCATCGCTGTGTCAACCTGTTGCCCAAATGCAAAGTGCGCAAGTAGTGTGGCGTCGTCACGCGTGGACTGACTGATCTTGCTCTGTCCTGTGTACGGACACTCTGTTTATAACGTTCAAACAGCCAGACAAGGGGAAGTTGCAATCTGGGGGTGGTTGGCACCTATTTGCTTTCTCATGCTTTGGCGCTCTCTGTGTGTTGTGCAGTTAAACCTGGCATATATTTCTTATTTTTTGCTTTTTCATTATATGTTTTGGCGAGGACATATCAGGTAAAGAAAAACTGTTCATTGGTAGGGAGTTGGGATAAATGAAGAGGCAGAGAGACTGTAGAAATGTCTCCCAGGCATAGATCATCTGTGTGTGAGGTTTTCTTATACATGATGGCCAGAGAGTAGTTAGCCAGAAGATCTTCAAAATTGCTTTACATTTCTCAGTCGTTTGATAAGGGTTACAGCTTTCAACTTCAAAATCTGACGCATTAGTGATGCCCGATGCAATTCCCTTTTTGATGTGTACCATATGTCCCAGGTTTATTTACTTCACTAGCCTTCGCATGTGTTTGTGGCACCAGTGCTTTCTACAGAGTTTTTGTTTGATTGTGGAAAAGTAATTGTCGCTATTATTTACATCAAGGTAGTATTTGTTTTGTTAATAGACTTCGGTTCATATTGTCAAATTAGGAGATAAACCTACTTTATTTAAAAATGTGTTGTAGTCTAACTGTAGATAATATGGGTCTTTTCTTTATCTGGGATCAACCACCTTGAAGTATGGCTGAATATCCCCCTTTTAAGTTGAAAACGAGCTAGTATCGTACAGTCTGAGTGACTGCTAATTTTTGTGACTTATGATTGTGTGGCCCTGAAACGTTTGTTAGTGATTAGTGTCAGAATTACAATTATTTAATTTACGCGGTTTGTGTTCATGCGATGGTATGATGTTTTGCTGTTCTGCGAGAAGCGTACAAGATTGAATACTACTTTCGATATTTCAACAAAGTATAATATTTTTTTAATTTGAAGTTTACACGATATACATTGGACGAGAGGTCGGTCACATGACCGCGAAATTAACGTTCATAAGTGTATGAACGATACAATTTGACGTTCATACGTTTTTCACGAGATCGTGTTCTTGAAATGACGTAAACACTGACGGACTACTCCGACATTCCTGGGGAAAACCCTGGGAATTCCCTAGCATGAAAACATACATAAGCGTTCTTTCTGATCATTTAGAACCTTTATTCTTGGTCTCAGCGTTTCAATATACATTGAGAAAATGTCAGAGAGCGTGACTGCATTATTGTTCACGAATATTCTCGCTGCGGCCTATCCTAATGAACAAACGAAGAAATGCACATCTAAACTATCTTAGTATCGACTCAGTCCGTGCCTAGGCTGACATTGGCCGTCTCCAGCAATCTATGAATTTACCTTAGTGTCTGTTTGACGCATCTTTATTCACCTTTTAATGATCGGCCAGATGATCAATGATGACTAACACATGTAACCGCCACAGGTTCATTAACAACTTCAGAAATCTCTCCCGTCACGTTTATCGTGTTGGCCATTTTGACGTCTTGTACTTGATGTAAATGTATTACGACGCGCTGTCATCGTGACTGACTTACTAAGGTAGTTCTTTACAGACCTTTCTCATCTAATGAGGATATGATTTGAACACATGTGCTGCGTAAGATGTTTCTGAAGAGCAAGTTGTGCATCCATACGCCCATGTCACCTCTCTTTTTTAGGAACTATTTTACTCCGCGATATAGCTGGTTGTTGTGTGGTTGTAAGTGTAAACATGAAGTCACACGTACTAAATAAAATTGTTTAGATCTTGGCCTACATCCTTTGAGGTAAGAAATTGTGATAAAAATCCGACGTTCATACAATTTGGCCCTCACTCTATGAAGGTTCGTACTCCAATGAACTCACACAAAGTGAAGGTCAATTCTTAATTGTATTATGTATAATTACCGATGAATGCGTCATGGTTCCACCGTATTCACAACAATTAAAAATATGAATACCTCTGAAGGTCACAAAAAAGGAATTGTTCCTGTGTTTTATAGATACGACTACCATGATTAAATACTTGAAGGTCGCACCGTAGCCATCGGTTGATGTTTAGTCATCCTTTATGTTTTAATGTGTACCTCTCACCAGCCAACCAGAGTCGAGTATTCATCAAACCACTACTTTTGTTTTGCTTTTGTTCGCATTATATTTAGATGCTGGTGGTTATACTATAACTTTAATAACAGTGCGATGATACCGAAAATAAAGAAAAAGTACGAAATGCCTTCTGATTTTAACTATCAAAGATTCGTTTTCATGCAGAGAAAAGCAGCCCATATTGCCATTGATATTACTAAATCAATGGAGTAAAAGAAGTACCACCATATCAATTATCATAGATGCCCGTCAATAATGCCACGATCCGACAACAATCTCAGGTTGCCATGTATTTCAACGCCTTTCTACACAATGAAGATAGTTGGATAATGAAACAACATAACATACTTTGACCTTGTAAAGCGTTGCCTTATTGCCCTGTGTTCATTTAAAACATATCGCATTGTTGTATTATCGCGATGTTGTGTTTTCGTTAGATGGCGTACATTTTGCTTAGTTTAAAAAGGCGCTTGCCCAAAAATCCATACCAACATATGTTTTCTGAATAATTCAAACTCCATAAGGATATTTTCAACCCCTATATTCCATACCATTTATGTTTTCTGAGGAATTCATTTGGCCGAAAAAGTCCTCTGATTGGAACCATTTGTATTTATAAATAGCTTTAAAAATTATTAAACATATCAATGTCATTTTCACAGAACAGATGTTACATGTATCTAGCCTCAAGGGATATGGTTTTTCATTTAAAATATTTCTTTAACAATTTGGGAAACTTATTACCCTGATACATTGCAATTTTATGATAGGATAAATAATTGTTAAAATCAACGTGTAAAATCTTAATATTTTGTGTGTAAATGACAGCTGCGCTTTATTGTTTATCAACACTGACTGCTTTAGAATGTCTTTATCTGACCCATAACCGCCAGGAATTGATTGTACCTTTTGTATTAATGTGTATTTTCTGATTTTACTTAGTTTAATATTGCTTTACATTATATATTCATTTCTGAAGAAAATATTAAACACCAGTATGTTGACCAGTAATATTCTGTCAAATCTAGCACCCTCTATCACCTATCCTCAAGCCTTGCCTGTGACTTTTCTGCTTTGTTTGTGTGTTGCGCAGTCATCCATATTCCAGCCATATGTAAATGTTATATCCCGGAATCCTCTCGGGGGCATATCATTGAGATTTTGCAATGTTAACAGTCTATTAATAGGCCCCACTGCAGCCTCTGTGAGCAGATAATTAATCAATACAATCATGATTATTTGCAGATTCACGCACTCAGGCCCATAAGTTACTACTAATTAAATCCAAATAACTTCACTTTCTCTATTCTGTTATTGATGATTGGTGCACAACGTATAAAGGTTGAAAACTGTATGTCTTTATGTCGTTACTCAAAGTTCGGAATTGAAACTTTCGTCAATAACTTACACTACAATGATAATAAGGAATAAAATGTTAAATACTTTTCTGACACCCTGGTCCTTGTTTCCCAGCTGTACATCCACTCCTACAGTTGCCAGTCTCCTTGTCACATACTTCAGTTGTATCCTGACACTGACACTGCTTGTCACAGTCAGAGCCAAACCATCCATCGCTGCAAACTTCAAGTATTATACATCTTTTATCTCACCTTACACACGAATGTCGGATTCTGGTTGGCAGTTCCCCACTCGAATTGCCTGCATTCATTCCATTTGAAAGATACCATCCGCAATGTTGTAACCCTCGAATTAATTCTGTAAGACGCCAATCTACGGATATTTACGAAATTTTCCGAATGAAAGATATCTGGATGGAATGATAAGTTTGTTTTCTGTCGTCCACAAATGAACGAAGTGGATAAATGCGTGACAATGGTATTCTTACCGCGTTGGACTAAAGCATGCATGAACATGACAATGAACTCCAATACGTCCAGATAATACGTTAGTTCATCAATGCGAACAAGGAACTCATATTTTTCGCATTAAGTTCTTGCTTGGTAATATTTCATTATTCACAGGATTTAGGTGCGTGGTTCATGTACCTTCTATGTTAGTTTATGTAAATATATGAACATAAACTAACATAGAAGATACATCAACCAATGTACCCATAGAGACCGACGGACAACGTATTATTTTTGTACACATGTGTAGCTAAATGCTTTCCATAACTGATGATAAAGTATAAATCAAACATATAGTTATAGCTTATATTTCAGCAATTGCAATGCCTATGATACTGATTTCGTTTGTTATACCCATTAATGAAGTCATCATTGACAAACATGACCGACCATATGTTCTAGATTTAATATAGAATGCATTAAGACTTGGAAGAAAACATTCAAACATATATGACATCACCCATAACTTAAAGTCACCACTATGGCAGCAGTTGTGTTGTTCATGAAAGCGTTACGACAATACATTTTATTGGAATAGATGGGTTTTTAATTACAGGTTACCTTGTCTCTGGCATCCTGGTCCTTGTTTCCCAGCAGCACATCCACTCCTACAGTAGCCAGTCTCCTTGTCACATACTTCAGTTGTATCCTGACACTGACACTGCTTGTCACAGTCAGATCCAAACCAACCATCACTGCAAACTGCAAGGACATCAGTCTGCTTTTGTTTATGTTCATCAAGTACTTTCCTAAGTCAAGACTAATGATTGATATGATAATATTACCCGTATGACACTTCGTAAAGGGGTAACAAAACAAATTGTGATACATATGTATCATAACTCCTTCCTGTTATTTGATTGAGACCATGAACCTTGACCTTGTTCGTAACTATTTTCATCTATTTCATTCATAAGTTTACAGAACTATCAATATCTCATGAAAACGAGAACAAATAGTTTATCAAATGAAGATTTTTTCTCTTGAAAATAAATGAGGCAAAAGGGTTTTACAGTTGGTTTTGTGGGAAAACTTAATATTTGTCGATAAAATACACATGAAATAAAAAATATACAAATTTGCTGTTGTCTACGTAAACAAACATGGCCGAAAGACTAGCCCCACCGATTTGGTGAAACGTGATGGCAAAAATATTGGAAGGGTTGTGCACATTATGAGAACACGTAACATATTTATTGTGAAAACAACCCTGGGAGAAACCAATGAGATGTCTTCATGACTACATATTGAAAGATTCATTATTTAATTTTCCGATGAATTTTTTTTTTTATTGAACTTTATGTGAAGCATAGTTTTTTCCGTTGGTATATACAGTCTTTAATTCACTTATCAAGGTGTCCAGAATTAGGAAAAAGAAATGTAGTGTTGCTATTCTCAGCAAAAGGACATGGAGAAATGGATATTAAGCCGTAGTCATAATGGTCGAATGTTGCTGAGTGCGGCGTTAAAAAACAACACCCTTTAGGAAACTTCTATCTGTAAAGTAATGTCATGTACATGGAATTCATTGTTTGTACCCGCATCAAGTTTGTATTTCTCGAGCCAGTATACCACAGAAACGAACGTCCGTGTACACATATGGACCGTAAGGTAGTAAAGTTCCCAAGCTGCACAAACTAATGAGAGAGCAATCATGTGAAATGCATTTATCCAAGCTCGTGCTAACAGTACCATTATTTCTCCATCGTATCAAACTCACCAAAAACTTGAACCTCGCACAATGTCAGAAATTGTCCGCTCATAGTAATGGTAACATTGTTCCCTCTAATGACGTGTGTGCATGTGACGTTAAAGGGGTTTGTGACAGATCCAAGTGTGTTGTCAAGTGTTGTTCCATTCACAGCATCACACGGGCTGCCATCCACAAGTACCTGCATGTCCTTGTTGTGTTCCCAGACTATTAGGATGAAATGAAAGATGAGTGAATGTTCACGTAATATTAATTCAAAAGGCTCTCCCTAGATTTAGAATATTGTGATCAAATATTATCTGAAGGTTATACCCTTGATGTAATAACGCCCAAAAGCAAATTCTAATTTATCGGTAATATTGAGAAAAAGTCTTTTTAATCGATTTTCTTCAAAGTAATTATTTGTTTTCATCAAGAAACTTGTTGATCACATTCGACCGTATATCTGTATATCAAACGATCGGTCCAGTGGGCACCTTATACCCTTACAGAATTATTGGCCAACCGTACATGACAAACTCCCTGCACACATGGCATCTTGGCCAGTGACCAAACGCAATATCTCAAATATGTTAATAGCTTATTTGGTAAAACAACCGTCGACTCTATGGTCAGTAATCATATTAGTATTGCCCTACACATACAAACTTACCATCTTTTCTTTTTATATTTCAATTCAAAAGCCATGAAAATATGTGTAGAACCCTGTAGTTATGTGAATAGTTAGCTGTTTATTATAAAAAAAAGCCACAGTGTTTAATGGTTACTACAATTTGACTTCTTCTTGTGTTGCATAATAAATATTTTTTGTAACTTTCGTTATCAAATAAAGTGGAACTATGCATGTTGATTCATATTGTCAGCTACACATCATGCCACAGAGCTAAGGGAACGGGGCGAGTTAATTAATGTTTCTTACTGTCATTGCGCAGGTAGATTCTGATCCTGCTGATATTAAACACCTGGTGATCATCAAGGAGAACCTGCCAGCTTGCAGTCCCACCAACTGCTTCATTCGTGTGAGAACAACTCTTGTGGTCCCATCTACTGTCCGTGTTCCCATCTACTGCATATGCAGCACAATAGGGGCCACCACTGGGATAAGTACTACTTTGTGTTGCATTCTTTTGAAACGCAATATTTTCTGTAATCACATGAATAGAAACAGTTTAGAAGCACACCTTTGTGTCATTAAGGTTATTTCAGTTTTACTTTTGCTACTCTCGTCGAAGGACTTATATGTGCCACCTAAATGTATTGCTCTAGACGGACAACCGGGTAAGAACAGCAGCCTGTGTTGCTTATAAGAGGCACACAAACGTATCGGGGGCTCAGACTCGGTGACCTAGTTAATAGAGTGCCATTGTCGATGGAGTGGACCTTTGTTCACTATATCAATCAGATTCGATTATTTACAATCCGCCGCCATATGGCTGATTGTGGCGTTGAACAAGGGAAAACTCTAGTGAAAAAGTCATGCATTGTTGCCATGACTTCACATACAGTTTCTACAACAGTAGATCACTATTCATATGGTTATTACTCCAAACGGTCAGAGTGACACAAAATGCATGAAGTATCAGTAAATGGAACTCTCAAGTGACTAACACATGGCAGTTGACCTTTTGGTAGATTCGACAAACTATACCCCCTGCAGGAGCCAATTGTCATTAAACCGTAAGACATTTTCGCAAATACAGTATATGTTTAGCATGGCCACATTTTCATAACAAGCGGAGTTGAAATACTACACCAATATGCTTTTCAAGCTGAACTGCTATTATGAATGGAGTAACACATAATAGTATATGTACCCGATTGACTCAAACGTCGTTGTTTGTGTGCATGGTATTTGATTAATCTGTCCTTACCCATTTGGCAAAAGCTTCCGTACCATGGTGATTTACAAACTGGCCCCGATGGAGGTTTTGAACATGACGTATTCGGGAAATTCAAGCAGCCATTAGAGCAGTGACATGATTCTGCAACACAGAAAAGGGTCACTTTGTACAACCTTGGACATAGTATCAAAACAGCTGATTAATATCTACGTCTATAATGACATACACTGTTCAAGGCTGGTTTATATCAGGTCTTGTAGAAGAAAAACAGCTCGAAGTGTATTTCTTGTAGAATATTCACATTGTAACTCGAACTACAATACGAACCACAATAACATTTTGAGTTTACGGTTGCTTCTTCCAAATAATATGTGTGATCTGTTGATGGACAAATGTTGATAAAATGTCTACCTGTTTTCTCTGAAGGGACTCACTCGCCGATTTTTCTCTTATCGTAATTGTAGCCATAAAGTTCAAGGCCCACTTCTACAAAACGATCTTAGCTCTACTATTATCGTAACTCCCATGCTCTAATGTAGACTTAAGATAATGGAAGCGCGAGATCGCTTTGTGCAAGTGGGTGTTGTACAAGGTTTAATGTCATTTTGAAAAGTTTGGACGGTGGAGGGTTAGGGTGGTGAGGATTTTGGTGGTTAGTAGATGGTGGAGTTTGTGTTGAGGTAAGGGCGGATGTTGTTGGGGGAGGGTTAGCTGAGAGGTTTGGGTTGAGAATGTTTTATGGTGAAGGGTTAGGGTGGTGAGGGGTTGCTTGGTGAGGGATTGGGGTGGGGTGGGCTTGGACCATTTCATATATTCTGGGTGTATCTATTGTGGCAGGCTATCCAACCCTCTCCCGACTTTATGTCAACAACACACTGCCCCTAAACTGCATATATCGCGAACCAATTGTAATTTGTAAACAAATCAGCAATTCGGGTGAAAGCTGATCTGTCACTAGACATATTTTTGAAGGCACAATGAACCATAATGTAATTCCAAAACTTCAGCAAACCAAAATATCTTTTTCAATGGCAGTTTATTTATCGTTACGACAGCTCAGGGATTAGAAGTCAACTGCTGCAGCAAACTGTCTTTGGGGAAATACATTCTCCCTAATTCTCACACTTCAAAGGCTGCTCAGATACTACACTTCTAAATGCACATACTTTCAGGATATATTCATTTGAACAAAGATAATTGGATTGTCATTGTTTGAAATAAGTCACTGAACATATTGTACCAATGTTTCCCCAAGCGGATATTATTCCGGGGCAATTGTTTTCCCTAGGCAGCTATCGTCAGTCCAATTTAAGTTTAAAGTTTGCAATTATTGTCTGGCGTGTATATAGTATTACCTTTCTCTTTACCAAACACCTGCACCTCACAAAGTGCTAAATACGGTCCTGCCATTACAATTGTGACATTGTCGCCCTCTGTAGGTTCCGTACAGCTGAGTGTCACCGGGTTGGTTATCAGATGACTTGTAGAATTTCTGATGTCTGCCACGGGTAACTTTCTGCATGTATTACCACTGACCAGTATTTCCACTGCTTCATTGTGGTCAATGTCTGAAATAAATAATGCGTATAAACTTTACTGTATTGTCGGAGTTTTCACAGTTGGTTCATTAATCAAACGCTAGGTAACATAACTTACTGTCATCACGGAGATAGATTGTTATCCGGCTGATTAGGAACGTTCCACCAAGAGGAACGTGCCAGCTTGCATTCCCACTATTAGGTTCGTTTGTGTGTGAACAACTCCGAAGATCAAAGTGTGTGCTGACATCCCCATCAACAGCTTTACTGGCATCATATGTAACAGTAGTGTCTGGCCACGTGCTGCTCTGACTGGCAGGTTTACCACGTGCGATGTTGTCTGTAAGCAAAACGATAATTTGTTGTCACATTTATGATATTAAGTGTGCATACCTGTATGTATATTGGTGATAGCTAGGCGATATACATGAACACATACTTCATGTGTATTGAAACATAATAAGTATTAACATATGCTTAAGTGTACACCATAATTTCTTATAAAGCATACCTTTGTGAAATCAAGGAAACCGATTAGTTAATAATTGACTTCAATTTTCTTTCGCTTTTATGGAGGTATGAACATTAAAACCGATGTGCACACCTTCATAAATACAAAAGCAATCTGATTAATAGTCAAGTCAACAATAATAACATCACAGACTGCGTTCCTAATCTATAAATCAAAATGACATCGTTCCGCGCAATTATGCAACACGGGGAATGCTGAGCACGTCTCAAAATAGCCTACTTAGCTGTCCGCTAGTTTTACGAAATCATAACGCAAAATGTTAGCTTATCATATGTCATGGTATATCGCATGCACTTTATATTTTTGCTTAACCCTGCTTTCTGCGTAGTTGGCCCATATTCGTGTTTTGAAAAGTAGCCGCATGACTCATCCGTGAACAGATTACCCGTTGAATAACTTCACGTGCGTACTGTGCGACTGCATTCTGCAACGTCTGCTCAACTCCTAGACACATGGTCTACTCCCGATAGAAACTACTATTTTTCCTAAAACACCAAAGATACATTGACACACAACGCATACATCTCAAAACCGTTTTATTAGAACTGTATGAGTCGATCGTCTCGGGGGCTCCCCTCACCTACACTGAACCGAGTTTGAAGACAGATTTCCCGTTGAATGCTGATGTGATGTTTGGAATAACCTGTGACGTTTGTATATATGTAAATGCTATAAAGATTAGGATTTCATAATCTGCATCTTATTGTTTCCTTAAATCGATCTCGGAGAAAGCAGCGGACTTTATTGCAAGGTTGCATCTTGAGAGAACACTCCATGGTCGAATCATCATCTACAAATGCCAAAACCCACCCATTTCAAACGTGTCTAGCTCGTTCGTCAGAAACGCTTTGAAATATACTGGTAATAAAAACTTATCTAACGGTGAGTCGTTTAGTAATCCATATTTACATGACCTTAGTAACCTGATGTGATTTACCATATTCCTTATTGTATATCTATTGTAATATTTGAGGTTGTGTGCTTATGTGTCATCTAATGGTAATACTGATAGGACTATGCAAAATCCAAACTTACGCATTTGACAGTACTGTCCAGACCAGTCTGTCACACAAACAGGAGGTGACACTGAACACACGTCAGGTTGAGGACTGCATCCATTCTTGTAGTGGCAACTTGATCCTGTCATAAAAGTAAAATATAAGTTATGTACATGTATCGACAGAGTAAATTATGTGATGAAATACATGGAATGTAGGACAGGATTCGAATAGTTTACTCTTGCTGTCATACGATAGTACACGATCAACCATGTTGTCTAGTCTGATCACCCGACGTTTAAGTCGCTTCTCACAACAAGCATAGGTTGCTAGGGGCCAACCCCATTAATATGAGAAACGGGGAATAATGCTGAAAAAATGAAACATATCGTACCTTGTGCAGCATTGACATACACGCCGTGCATGATCACGAGTAGATAGATAACGAAACTCATCTTGCACAGGTCAGGTGCTGAAAAATACTGAATTATTTTTAAAACAACACAAATGAGAAAATTGAAAAATATATTAGAACGATAACAATAAAGAATTAAAGACGTTATATACAGATTACCAAACGACTCTCATTTTGGTACAATGAGTGTTTTTGGTTTACTTAAATGTATCCAACGAGTTAAAATAAAGGAAGAGACAGCGTACAGCATGCACACGAAAATGTAAATATTTCTATAAATAATTTCTATGTTCCGTGACGTTGTGTTCTGCAAACTATTCCGGCTGTACGCTGGTGTAGCAGGCTCTAACCAATCCCTTTCTCCAGTGATTTGAGCCCAGGCTGAGTTCACTCGAGAGTGCTTTAAAAAGCCTAGGCTAAGGTCCCCACTCCTCTACTTGGCCCAAAACACTCACTCTATGCTCCGATCACTCCACTCTGCTAGTCCCAAAACACAGCCTCCAGGCATAGGTCTCTCACACCAGGCTCACATCACTCCCTGTTTGGCTCAAATCAATTCCCTACATTTTTACAGGATTCTACTACTTCTGTTCTGTTTCGGTAAACTGTTCTGAAGGTTTCAGATGTTTATATGACTTTCTTCTTACCTGAAAAGGGAGTAGTGATTGTCGACATACATCATTATGGCATCATCGGTATTATGAATAAACACAATTGGGCCGTTTGGACAAATCTTCTATAGCCGGATGTGAACAAAACAGCCCAGGCCCAAGTCACTCCAGGGTGATTTGAGCCGGGGACAGAGTATCACCTCCTACACCGACGGGATGTATATAATCGCGTCTGGAAAATACCATCCAGTGGCAATTGGGATGCGATGACATGCATCATCAACGTTAGCTAGCATGACCACCCGATCGCGTTGGTTGCATCTTACCTTCAGGCATGGGAGCTGAACATGCTTAAACTGTTACCTATGGTGAATATGGCAGCTGTCCTCTGCATGTTAAATATTTTGTTGACAGTGTTATTGGTTCTTGGTTGTACATTACATAAATGCCCACAAACAGATATTCTCTACAGTGTAACTCTGTGTTACTGTAAGTTGTAGCAGGATCACACGGGGTTCATGGGGTTTTATGCTTCCCGTCTCGTGGTATGACACCTAACGCGGGACGCATAAAATCTCATGTACCCTGAGTGATCTTGCTACAACGAATATATCTTACCGACATGATTCAATGTGACATTGTAAAAGAACAGCTGTTCGTTTCAGCTGAGGTTAACTTGTGTTATGTCACGTGACTTCCATTGACTCAGAAAAAGCGTGCAGCTTTTAGTTTAGAAGCGGGGTAAAAGGGATTTATTCTGTCTCTCAGAAATCCACGTTCAGCATCTACCGTTCGTAGCGGGGTAAAATAGATTTATTCCCCCGCTGAGAAACTGATTATCCTCCAAGGCCGGTTACACAGTATATGGTAGCATGATAAGACATTTTGTGAGAGAAAGCTTCCAAATTGGTGCATTTGCGGATTTCGCAAGTATTCGGATATGATAATGTTTGGGCAAATTATTGTAAGAAAAAGTTAATTATTGTTCAGTGCATAGTTCAGGGGAATAGTTCTCTTAGAATACACCTTTCTTTGTAGTTTATGCTTTATTTGAATCACTTTTAGAATGTGAATTATATTTTACTCAATGCAGTAAACAGCCCACTGTACAAAAAACAGCAATGCAGTTTTGGGCATGGTTTCAACATATTATGGTGCAAACAATCTTCGTAGGAGCATATTTACGTTGGATGCTACGGTATCTTTAATGCAACAATTACTTGACGTAGCAATTGTGAAGTTTTTTTCCGAGATCAATGTCAGGAAAATATATTTGTTTTATGAAACGAAAAACACATACATAATACTAGAATCACACAAAAACAAACTTCGTTATATCACATCGGTTCAGAGTTGGTAATGGGAGACCGATAAACGCTACAATAATATCCATATGACCATATGATTTTTGAGAGCCATATGCCATATGTTGCAATATATTGCAATTGTCGCTAAGTACTGTAGCAGCGAAAATTCACAAATAAGAATTGGATCGGTGACAGCGTTGAGGACAATATTTCTAACGTGGTATACTTGAAATACGATATTCAAAAGGTAAAAACTGTCACATGCTTTTTGCCTTAGATGGTACTATCCCTATACCCGCTGGATTCCCTATATTCGTCTGCGAGTCTAGCGCTAATTCAAAGTCTCTTGCCAAAGGTGAGGTGAGGTGAAATTGGGTTTAACGTCGCGTCCAAGATTATTGCACTTATATAGCGACGTGCATGCACGTGTATGTGTGTGTGTGGCTGCTTGTACTAGTCCGGACTGATGCCGATTTATAGTGCTAGCTCACTGAGATATCATGCCGCAGTTTAACATGAATACCCCACTCAGACACAGTATACTGACTCCGAGCCGACCAGTCCTTGTTTTAGCCCCTTAATGCCGAGCGCCAGACAGGGTAACAACAAGTACAATCTTTTAACGTCTTTTTATATGACGCGGCCCGGGATCGAACCCTGGACCTTCCGCTCTCCGGGCGGACGCTCTACCACAAGACCACGGAGGCGGTCCTCTTGCCAAAGATATCATTTATAACAAAGATATTTTGTATCACTGTTTTTATCAGTATCCGCAACTGTAACCAACATATTAAGTAGGTCTACACCTCCATGTCTATGCCTCTACTCTATCTTTCTGAAAATCAATAATATATCAGTGTGATATCATTCTAAATTATACCCACAATAAGGTGGTGTTGCCAAAGCGCGTGCTAATATATTGCGGGAACTAGTTTCACTAATAAATATTGAAAACTTCCCACATCCCTGGGATCATTCGATAACATTGCATGAAAGAGATGATAGATCACTGAGAGGAGCTAATGCACAACGGATGACCCCAGTCACCCTGTTGCTAGGATGACGTCACACCACATTGTTTCGCCGGTGTATCTTGCAACAAAATTTCCCAAATTACGTCATAGGGTATAGTGACGTGTTTGTGAACTTTGCATGCAGGGCCCCGTTCAACAAAGCGTTCGTAGAGCAACTACAGTCGTATGTCTATGTAAACGATAGGAGCGCTACAATAGCTATGTGGATCGGACCTCTTATTTCTGTGGGTAGGCCGTTGTATGGTATCAAATTAATACATGTCAAATCTCAAGACGTACAATATGAAACGTCAGTGCAAGAGTATAACCAGTCTTAATTATCCGCCGAAATAGAGTTCCTTGGGCCTAAAGGGCAAAATAGCTGTGACAATTATATGAATGGAAAGTCAGTGATGACAGCAGGTGTTCGCGAAAAGTATGTCTATTTAACTAATTTTTACAAAATAATCAATACCCTGCAACCCAGCTAGCTCTATGGCCCAGAGTGTCAGAAACTAATGACTCCAACCTCGGAAATAGTTTTACGCTACAGACTCTAAATTGTAGAACGGCAAGCTATGCAAAGTCTTTAAATTTTACCTGAGAAATCCTTGCCTTTTGCGTATACTAAAAGATTGAAAAAGTTGATGAAATGCATTGCAAAAAGTTTGATTCAAAATTCACTGTCGCCGGAGACTTGGCTGCAGTGACCTCTCCACAGTCATGCCATGTTTGATATGCTAATCCAAATTGTCCTTGTGGCTACCACGTTGACGATGCATTCTAGTACTTAATTACTTGTGCCAAAGGTTACAACAAAGGGAACGTGATTCTCTATAGAAATCGACATGCTACAGCAAATATTGATTTACAAATATTAAAATCTGATTTTTCTTACACAAAATAACCCCATCATCACTTATCTCAGACATTATTTTATTATTGATGACAGTGTAGAACATTATGTCTTTACAACCCTGTTTAGCCCATTTTGTGAAATAAATATGTTCAGAGCACGCTTGTGTCATGAATCCATATCTTTTTGTTACAAGCAACCTACAGTTCTCTCCAGTTTCTAGGCCACTCTCACAAATTTATTTTTGAAGCCATTTGCGAAACGTGTGATTCGGTTTCTACGATGTTACGATCATATTTTATCTCGGAAATTGACCTAATGTATCGGGAATAAATGATATTCAGAGCAAAATCGCAGTCAATTTGTTCACTCAACTTGTCCTTTTAGGATAAAGGAAGAAATTGTTCCCACATGCTGTCATCGATTGTATTACATTCTACTTCACAGATAAAGTTGGAACATCTCTGTTGCTACAATATTGATACACCTTATAAATGGAGAGCCATGTTGCTTCATGTGTATTGTATTTACGTCATTCCAAGTTTACTTTGGAATAAGACATGTGTAAGATCTCGCACTTACAAAACAATTACTCATAGGTTTTGTGTGACTGCACCAACGAAATGTCTTCTGGACCTCAAATGCTGTCTTCACCAAGCTAGATCTGTCTGACGGTGACAATTGACCGTATCGCTGGACGCCGAGGCCGGATATTGTGACCCCTCAATCCGTTGTATACGGTTCTGCCACTAATCGGCCTCAGGTAAAGAACCGTCCGAGCTGTTAATATGACAGTTGGTATCGATTACGTAGACGCACCATCTGAATATGGTAGTCTTGTTGGCCCGTGACAAGTCATGAGCGTATAAGAGATTATATTGTGTTTCGATGAACATTAAAATGTGTGACAACTTCGTTTTGCGCCATTCCTGTTTGCAGCTTTCCCACTCAGCGGAAACGTTGATTTCCAGCAAGTCATGACTTTAGTGGGCGTTATTTACGATTAAACAAAAGTGTCTTATGAGCGCCTCATAACTTAACAATCATTGTGTGTTATTCACAGAACAAAAACACGCGTGGGAGTAACATGTTCCAAATAAAAACGCAAAGATCCAACTTGTGCGCCGTGAAACCAAAACCTTTCATCAGGAAGGGAAAACCGATCACTAAGATATAACAGCAAAGTTTCAGAACATGTAGTATTAGCTTTGGCGGGTTGCCTAGTTGTTAGAAGGTTCGCTCGACACGCTGAAGGCCCGGGTTCGATTCCTCACATGGGTACAATGTGTAAAGCCTATTTCTAGTGTTCCCCGCCGTGATATTGCTGGAAAATTGCTAGAAACGGCGTAAATCCATACTCACTCACTCACAATTAGCAATTGAGGTTTCGTTACGTTCACTTAATAGGTTAAGTTTCTTTTCAGTGAGATCTCTTAAATGTCATCTGATATGTTAACAGGCATTGGCTTTTGAATACTTGTTACGGAAATTTAGCTTGCATGCCATGAACAGCAAACTTGATACGCAAAAGTTGCTGAACGTTTTCTAGAGAACCAGTTTCGTGTTCTAGTCTTGGGAGGTGAACAAAACGTTCACCATTCACCCTGAAAAGCCATTTTCGAATTCCCATATTTGGTTAAATGTGTGAAAAACATATTTTGTTTCACTTCCCCTGTAGATCGAATATTGTTAAAAGTGGAAATCCCAATCTTATTCACCCACTCCCCAAACCTTTAACCTGTTATCGACTATAACAACAACGTGATTTCTAACTTGAAAGGGGGTACTTCACAATAAGGGCCAAAGTCAAAAAGATTTCTATAAAAATATTTATATATAAAGTTAGTGGATCTTGAAACCCTCAAAAGCCAAAAGTGTTATGAAGACATTATGATTCCATTATCATGCAAATCTGAAACCAAATTGCTGTTTCAAACATACTGAGTTGCACATAACATTGCAAAAGAAATTACATATATGTTCTCATAATGTAAAATATTGCATCCTCATGCTTAGTGAAGAAGAATATGCGGGATTTGGAATTTTACACATTGATCAGTATTTCTGTGCCACCTCAATGTGACTTAGATCGAAGTGGAGCAGATCAGAGACTTGCTCCATCTTTGTGAAAGACAAGTATGGTGCTGAGAAATAATAGGTACGACGACACTTACCTGTTCTAACGTCTCCTGAATCACATCAAACCAGCCTGTGTTGAACAAGGAAGTGCAATAGCCTCTTATCACGAGATGGTGTCAGAATGAACGACCCATCCTTGTAAAATATGTAGTTACTCTGCAATGTTTGTCCGACAATGTTGCCACACGTGACTCATATGATAATGATAACATTTTTACTTTATTAGCACACGAACGGTTGTCAAATGACCTTTCATCAACAGGTATTTATAAAACACATACTCATGTACCATTTGTTTTCCTCTTATATAGTGGTGTCTATCGTGTATCAAATACTCGATTTGATGACGTGCGTTACTCTACGCCCATGACACATAGGCATATAACATTATAACCTTATGCAGCAGGGCGTGGAGTCATCCCACAGATGACATCCTTACCTTGTCAGCTTGCTGACAGGGTTAACCTCTTTGGTCATGTGTACAAGGCGTCCGACCTCGGATCAGAAAGTCCATGGTTCGAATCCCATCACGGGACTCGGAAAATTTATGGCCGCTACATTGGCGCCCAACGTGGGGCTGAGCATGTTCATATTAAATTTGAGGGTACAATGTGTGAAGCCCATTGCTGGTGTCCCCCGCCGTGATATTGCTGGAATATTGCTAAAAGCGGCGTAAAACAATACTCACTCACTTACTCACTCATATTAAATTTAAGGCAAAACAAGCCTCATTACCCTATTATGCGGGCCGGGACGTGCCTTCTATTGACTGAGGAGTATGTAGCAGGGCGTGGAGTCATCCCACAGATGACATCCTTACCTTGTTGACGGGGTTAACCTCTTTGGTGATGTGGACAAGGCGTCCGACCTCGGATCAGAAAGTCCGTGGTTCGAATCTCATCACGGGACTCGGACATTTTGGCCGCTACACTTACAACCTCCCCCCCCCCCCCCCCAATATAAAAAGAGAAGAATTTTTTTAATCAAAATATGTAATAATGCCAATGCTTGGCTTTTATAACTTGGGTAGTTTCCGTGAACAGTATAGTTATCTGACTCCTCGCAATAATATGGAACCGATGCAAGGCTTGACACATCCGAGTTGGGAATGCTAGCGAAAAGAGTGTGTATGTATGTGCTTTGTACGAGACGCATTTGTTTTAGTACGAACGTAATGTGTATGTACATACTAACGAATTCAAGTAACAGTGCTTCATAAAGTTCAATAAGAATATTTTTCTGAAATTAAATAATGCATCTTTCAATACATATCCATGAAGATATCTCCTCGACCTTAAGGTCGTGATACACCATTTGCACGTGCATGTTTATCACAACTCATGGGAGAACACAACTAATAGCTGTTAATAGCAATTTGAATGGCGTACGCTACCGGGACGATATCGGTGTCGTGCCTGGTTAGCGAAAATCCAATTTTCCCTAGTATCAGTAAAGCGAAAACCCAAGTTGGGGTATTTGTCCTACGAAAGCGAGAAATGAGTAATTGCTATAAATCACCGGATTACCGTAGTTTAGATTAGTGCCCGGGCTGTTCAAACAAAATAGAGAGTCGTTTCGTAAAAAAATAATACAGTTGGATGTTTCAACACAGGAGAAGAGATGATCACTCTTTTGTGCAAAATGCAGTGACGTAACGTCACATTGTAGCAGGATAATGCCGCTATACATGTTGAGGCAGCGTAACATTGCTGTACTGTCATTGCTGTTTCTCCAAACCTCTCCCCATATGAGACGTAACGACGCCTACGACAGGACCAAAACCATCCGGTAACGCTCGCTCAGCTGGGACAATCTTGGGTTGACATTTAGAACAACATCCCCAGGCTGTAATAAACTATCTGTCTGTCTGTCTGTCTGTCTGTCTGTCCATCTGTCAATCATCTGGTGTATCAGCACAAATGGTAGTCACACCCGATATTGACATTGTTAAATGAGTTGTTACACTTGTTTAGGGCGTGTCTCTCTGTCTCCTGTTACCAGGTATGGGTTTTCTCAATGAATTTGCTATTTTCAGTAACATTTACACCACTTTATATGAAACACAGTTACTTGTTTTCACTAGTATACATGTATGTAATGAAATGTTCAGAGCAGTGAGCTTAACACTACATTGTATAAATTACAGATACACGTGCAGACAGATAGACAATTTTGTTCCGAAGACACATGGTCCAGAGTGCTCGCGTATTCTTTAACAATGATTGAGGTAAATACAGACTAAAAATATAGCAATTTCTTTTACCATGGATGAATCAACACTTGTCACGTGGTTGTGAACACACAGGTATAGGTGTTATACTGGATGTCTTCACTTTGTGTATATTCTCACAAACATAATAGTCCCAACCAACAACAACAAAATAGGAAATTACAAATGCATTGACGATTTGGTACATACTTAAAAGAATGATATGCTGATCTAACGATGCATCACTTTCGCCTACTTTTCAATTGAGAACATTTCACCACAACGCCACAAAGCAAGGACCAGCTATGGGTTGCTAGGCAACAACATATCACCATACCACGGTGTTTGACAACAATTTATTTAACCAAGAGAAACAAGTTTTTGTTGAAGCATCAAATTTATTCCCTTACCACTTGATATGTTTATAACTGTCACATTACGTCTTTCCGTAGCGACGTCGGATTGTTGATAAGCCAGCATGCTATTCGTTGTGTGTAAAGGGTGAAGGAAGGCAACCCACAAATCTAACCTGAAAATGATAACGATTACTGACCACGCGGGACAGCAGGCACCCACATAGACTACGTAGGAATCAATGAGGAAAGACACATCAAGCTTCATGATACGGAACATTTTGTGTATATTTTTTATACTCAAACGTGCTATTGCAATAGTTTTCCTTGCATAATACGGACTCACAAGGATGGAATAAAGAGCGTTTGATTGCTGAAAACAAGAAAAACGTGCTGTTATCAACGTGCAGTTGAACCCAGGATCAGTGTGTTTAACCTTTCTCTTTTAAAGAAATAGCTACCTGTTACGTTACAAACATGTTCATGAGTTTTGCATAAATATCGAACCGTCCTATCTTTGCTCAGGGTGTCATTTGGTGAATCATGAAAATCAAACAGTAATGATACCAGGTATTAGCGAAAAAGGCAACCCTCACAAACACATGCAAAGGTAAGTCAAGTGTTTACTCGCCGTAAAAGCAAAATCTGATGGATAACCAGAAGATAAAACCGACAGCAACTATTTTGACACCATCTATTTTTGTATGCGTCGTCATTTGCCTAGAACAGACTAATATTTAATAAATGCCGTGCTGTAGCTGTTATTTTATTTACTACACCCAAAACCTCGTAAAACAACAAACAAAGCATGTCATAGGAGTTTATGACAATCCCACATTAATATTCTGATGGAACCCACATCGATACTTTGGTCTAAGAATTCGATTGTCCAGGTCGACGATAACTCGATATATATCCGATGGTCTCTACGACTTCGAGCGGCATCTCACAATGCGAAATGTTTAACCCATGCTGAAACCATAGAACAAGGAAGTAAAATATCGTGCTATCTATTCCAATGTTTTATGAGGTAGCCCTTTTCTGATAGCCCATCTGTCCTTCACTGAGGGTGGCCATTGTAACAGATGTGGAAAACCTGTAAACTTGACAAACTTGAAAACAAGTCACCACCCAGCCACAAAAGCATTCAGGCACACCCATGTCCCGACGGAAAAAAACTTCATGTGTCACTTCGTGACCCCTTGTATTGATATTGTAACATATGTCATTGGAGGATTACAAGCAATGCTTGGGCGTGTTATTGTTTAGTTCAAAAGAGTGTCATAAAGGGAATCTTGTCTCAAAGATAAATTCCCATGTTAACCAAGGTGATATACTTCATTGCGTGAAAAGAATAATGTCAATGCCCAATGAAATGATCATATAGCAAGCATTGCATTACTGAAAGCTGTGATACCTGATACAACTGGGCATAAAGAGTAAAATATCGGTGAAAATAGATCACTGATAGACAGTGATAACACCAGGTGTTCGCTGAAAGGGTACGTATGTCCTGCCATACCGCTAGCATCCGCCAATCACAATATTTGCACAAGAAAGTATGTATTTGTTGCCTGCCAAATGACGTTTGACACCCATGAAGGTCATATTGCCTTTAATTGCACATGTCAACATAAAAGGCTATCTATATCAAACGGATGTTTGAGTTGTACTAAATGGGATCCTTTGCGCTTAATGGGATGGGGTTTCTCCAAGCAACCTTTTATTGATACCAGTACCAGCTTCAGACACACAAACATTTGTTTTTATACATGAAAATGGCATCGGATGTATTCCCGTCATCTGTCACTAACTAAACATAAGTCAAATTGGCCGCGTGGCACATGTTGGCATCCTATCATGATTGCTCATCACGTTTCTTGACATGCGTGTTGGTGTTTTCATCATCACTGCACCCACGTTGTACGTCATTGCTGTATAAATTTGCCTCAGCGATGACGTCATACACGGGGAATTGCCCCCGAGTATCCAGGGTCGCGTACTGCTCGTCTCGTTCAGCTTTGCTTTTGGCAACCTCTTGTTTGAGTCTAAAAGACAATATGACAATAAAGGATCACATCACTTTCTGTTTTTATAAGTTGAGAGAGTACGGATTTAAATACTATGAAGCAATTCAATGTAGCTAATGCACCTCCTGTTTACACTCTTCAAAAAAGGAAACGCACAGGTAGATTTTTAGTAAATCTATTGTACCTAATAAAGTCGATATTTAATTTAACATCATAGATACAAATATGAGTCACATGTTGTCGTTGTACAAAGGCATTGAAAACTGTTCATTGTCTTGTCACATAAGGCCACAAGGTTGCGCTGAACGCATTATTTCTTGCGACCGACCCTGGCAGCAATTACCGCTCTGCATCTCCTCGGCACTCATTGGATAAGTGTACGAATTCTGTCCTGCGGAATTCTGCGCCATTCTGCTTGTAAGGCGTTGGTCAGTTGTGGGAGTGTCTGTGGCGTGTTCTGACGTTGAGGTACACGTCGATCAAGTTCATCCCATATGTGTTCGATTGGGTTGAGATCTGGAGATCTGAACGGCCAGGGTAAGACGTTGATGTGGCATCATGATTGGAAGAGGGTGAGGTTGAAGAATTTGATACATGTAGCGATTTGCTGTCAAATTTCCCTGAACCACAACCAAGTCATGCACAACCAAGTCTCGTGGTGACGGATATCTCCTCCCCCCCCCCCCCCACCCCCCCCCCACCCCCCATCCCCCCACCCCCCACCCCCCCCCCCCCCCCCCCCCCCCCCCTCACACACACACACCATGACGCTACCGATATCGAAATTGTCGAATTCACGTACACAATGTGTGTCAAAACGCTCATTTCGACGACGATAAACACGTTGTCTTCAATCTCGCTGGTGGATAATAAATTGACAGTCTGGTCCGATATCCTCCTCAAACCAGGGATGCGTCCAGCAGTCTCCGTATATGTGGCAATGCGATGACGTAGGTGGAACAGCCTAATGTAGCGATCCTGTGCAGGGGTGGTAACACTTGGTCGGCCGGTTCTCGGACGGTCGGCAGTGGAATTGAACTGTGTGTATCGGTCCCAAAGGCGGCAAATTGTGCTGTGGTGGACGTTAAAGTGGCGAGCAACAGTAGAAGATTCCCCTCTTTGGATACGTCCCATGGCGATGTTCCGATCGGCAGCGCTGACTCTCGACATTTTCGAACTTGAAAAATGTTGACAATTGAATGACAAATTATTGGCTCATGCTTGCCTTTTCATAGCCACAACCACGAGTTACGAATGCCACAACTTGCACGTGCATTTGGTTTTACATTTTTCCTCTATGACATTTTTGAACAAGTGTGAAAACAATGCCGTTTCAGTATTGCAAATGGACAATGGCTGCGTTTTCACGCACCGTTTGTCGCATATCAGGCCACCAACATTTTCCAATTGCATATATCCAATTTATATACCGGATGTTTTGTGTAGTCAGGTTCAATGAACTACATACTGCATGTTTCTGTTTTTGAAGAGTGTACATTGTTCATGTGAATGCGTAACTGTTACCATTTAAACTTAAAACAATTTAATTAAACATTCAAACCATGAAACCAAAGAAAGGTTTATGATCTGTATTTTACGCGAATAATTGAAGACCTATTGTTTCGACACAAAGGAGATAGATAGATAGATAGATAGATAGATAGATAGATAGATAGATAGATAGATAGATAGATAGATAGATAGATACCAATAAAGTTAATCCTACCTGACAACAAGTGTTGTTGTTACTGCTAAACATACAAACAGCACCGCCATCACGCAACACACAACGATGAAGCGGACGTCTGAAACAGTAAGCCAAGTTTATTGATTAGTTCACATGTTATGTGGGTGTATCTGAACGTCAGTTATGCGTATCCTTAAGTCGCCTCAATATGTAGTGTTTAATCATTTCCATTGTCAGCCATATGAAAACACATTTAATGTGTCTCATAAAGGTGTCTGAATTAGTCGTGCTTGCTTTAGTTCCAATATCATCAGTTTTGATTGGACTCGTAGTGCCTTGTGTGAAAATCAAGTTGATATACACAAGGAAGGGTTTTGCCTGCCTCCACTAAATCAGACAAAGACCGCATGTTCTTTAAATTTGAAATTTGCAAAGAAGAGAATTGATTCCTTAAATGTAAGTAACATTCTCAGACAAAACTCAGTTTCCCAAAATGTGCCACAGTATTTCCAATTTCAGGAACCACCAACAATTTTATTTTATTACACGAACCCCATTTCATCCAGGTTGTTCAATTATAGGAAAGTGTTGGAATACGTGGACTTGATGTAAATTCCACTCATCATACTGCTACCAGCCCGTAGGTTATATAATCACAGGTGACTTCTCTATTGTTGACAATAACAACTTTCGTCAGTTATTCAAATATGGTACATATATAGTGAGCAGCCTTTTACAAATTGGGAACAAAACTTCAAAATCATTATGGATGCTGTCGAAGCACAAGCCAATAATAAGTAGGCCAAAAGAGAAGAAGAATGTCTTCCAGGGTGCGTTAAGTCAGTGTATGATGTTGTCATTCGTATGCACAAACTGAAAATAGAAAATAGAATTGGAATAAATCCATTCTGTCCCCGCCAGATGTCATCCAAAGTCTGGCTGCCCTTCATCATAAGTGTGTAATTGTCCCACAAACAAGGCGTCAAATAACATAGCCATTATATGTAAGCGTTACAACATTAATTATTTGATCAAAGAACATGATTATTAGTGACATATCAAATAAGACCAGTATGCTAACTGAGGATGAAACCTCCCCAAACCGTGCTTAACTACTACCAAAGGGTTTGCTTGACATTGTACACATCTCAGAAAAGAACCAGTTTCAATTCTAAAAAAACATTTGATATTTCAACACCACTATCCCACATGACAAACTGAAGGAGAAACTTCATTCCTTGATCCACCAAAACTTGGTGACCATTGATACAGTTTCGTATCTATCGTGAGAGGTTCAGGTCAGTCTGTCAAAAATGAAAGCAAACGCCATCTGAAGTTTACTGAGAAAACAATATGCGAACTTCCTCATTGATTTGGGAAATTTGGAGGTAAGACATTTAGGCAAGAAGTAGACATCCCCATTGGCACCAATTGTGCACCCCTTCTTGCTGATCTGTTTGTTTATGCATATGAATCGGTAATTTGGCCAAGAAATTTAACTTAAGCATCAGGTATATCGATTTTCTAATATCGTCCAATAACAATCAAATAACCAATTCTCTTCCACTGATTTACCCACCTGAACTTGAAATAACGGAGACCAGTGAGACCGCCCCATCTGTTTCATATTTAGATCTTTGCATAAAGATTTAGAAAGACAAACACTCTCCACAAGACTGTATATCAAGAGGGATTACGTCAACCTTCCAATAGTCAACTAATATGCCCGCAGCTCAAGCCCTTGATGTCTATATTTCACAACTTTTGAGGTACCAGCGGGCATGCTCTTTCTTCCAAAAAACGCCATACAACGCTTGCTCAACATTTTATGGTTGACAAATGCAGAGGAAATTCGAAATTTGACGCGTCAGTAACAAAGAATGATGTCAGATGCCATTCCCTATTTTGACTTGTATCATATGTTCCCGTGCTTTTTTACAGGGCAATTGACTTGCCTTTGCATGTGTTTGTGACGGGTGCCACCGGTAGGGCAGGATACGCTCACCTTTTCGCGAACACCTGGTATCAACACTACTTGATAGTGATTCATAAACACCTGCTCATGATATTGTCGGAATCGTACAATCGACTCTACTTTGGGCAGATATTTTTGGTAAGAATATGAAAAGTCGCTTTTGACTATTTTCGAGTTGTATCACGGCGTACCAGTTTGATGTGGGAGGGAAATCCCAAAGTGCAGGTCTCAGACATTTTTAACTTTGGTTAAACCCCCGAGAACGGGTTTCGAGGTAACAAACCTAGAAACATAATCGGCGCGATCCGGGATTCGAACCCACGATCATAGGTTTCCCGCTTGTCCAAGGGACGCAATACAGCGAATTGCGGCGCCTTAAGCCCCAATGCGTTCAAGATAACTATACCATTGTCATAAAAGCTAAGGAACAAGCCATACTTATGTAAATTTAAATACGTTTTGTTCATGTTGAACTATGTTATTGATTGCCTACCTGAAGCAACTCCCTTGTATTCTGTTGACGTTCCTGTGCGATAATAAGATTTTCCTTAAGCAAACGTAATTGAGTGAGATTTATCCTTAAGATCAAAAGAGCACCTTTCACGGTAAAAATATCTCAGAACGAAGTTACATGAGATCAAATAACAGATCAAAATGAAAAATAAAAGTTCATTTAAATTCCCCTTTCTCTTATGAAGGCACGAAGTTATTTTTGTCATGAAGGCAACAATACCATAAAACCGCCACGTAGATAAAACCATAATCACTACTTGTTACAGTCAGTGCCAAACAAACCTTCGCTGCAAACTGCAAACTCTAATATATGTGTAGCTAAAACCTTGATAACATTTGATAACATATTACAATTAAAACTATTGTTTAAAATCATGTTCAAACTATTGTAATGCCTTACAAGTACTAGAATAAAATGTAATATACCTTGCTGACACGCTGGACCTTGTTTCCTTGCAGCACATCCACTGCTACAGTTGCCAGTCTCCTTGTCACATACTTCAGATGTATTCTGACACTGGCACTGCTTGTCACAGTCAGAGCCAAACCATCCATCACTGCACACTGCAAGGACATGAAATATTTACGCTCTCACATTGGAATCACAATAGTCACTTGAACAATCCTAATCACAAAATTTCTGACTGTACAGTCTGTGTTATTCAAATACAAATGCATATAGAATTAAGTTGATACTAAACTTTAAGTTTGAAGAACGCCCAGTGGATGATTCTGTCTTACCTTCTTGACACCCTGGTCCGTGTTTCCCGGCAGCACATCCACTCCCACAGTAGCCAGTCCCCTTGTCACACACCTCGGATGGATTGAGACACTGGCACTGTTTGTTACAGTCAGAGCCAAACCAACCATCACTACAAACTGCAAGGACACCAGAATGCATTTGTTGATACTTTCCGTTGTCAACACTAACAGTGGATGGTTGTATGTGTCCCTTGATCAAACTAGCTGCAAGCTCTCACTGCCTTGGTGAATACTTTTCACTGAAACTTACCACAGCAGATTGACTAATGTATTTTAGCATAAGCAGAGGTCTTAAAATACATCCGCCGATATATTGTCACTTAAGAGTTTTTTACAGTATGGTTGTACCTATCCAGCTCTATGAATACAGTTAAGTCTGGAGTTTTGAGAATATTAGCTCTTTAGAAACTGTGAATATGCGTTTTTGTTTCAATATTGTGAGTTCAGAATTTGAAAGTTTCAACTATGAAAACTTAAAGTCAGTTCTCGTCACGATATGGCTGAAATACTGCCGATGTGACGTTAAATATTAACTCACTCACTCACTCACTCAAAACTTAAAAAAGTGAGAAGTATAATGTTTGGGGAAAGAATTCACATTGTACAATCACCATAATTATCAACACCCAAAAGCTCTTACTAAATGATGGTAATCTATAAATTGCCAATGAATGGATATCGCTTACAAAATATTTTTCATGATATATAGTCACATCAAAACTTGATTAGTAAATCACACTTGACATTTCTAAATGAATCTGGACTCAATGCCCTACGAAAATAATCAACACTAGCCTATACGCTCAGTGATGACAATTCCAAACGGAATGGTCGTTCGTGGAAATCATTTGTTAATAATAATAATAAATATACTATAATACGCTAGAAAATGCACAATCTGTAACATAAATAACACCGGAGCAGGATAGTACTGTCTGTATAACTGTACTTCATTAATCCCAAAGCACACAATTTGAAGATACGTAATTTGAATATGTACATTTTGTTTACCTTATGTGATATAAATAATATTTAGGAAATATCAATCTTGCAAATATTTTCAACAGTTTACCAGAACATTGTGTTTCTTTAAACTAATTAAGAAGATGTATATCCTTTTATGTGAATGTATACTTGTACAGCTATTAGGGGCCTGGGTATGAAAATGTCTTCTTGTAGGTTTATAAAGGCGAATAAGTGTATTACAACAGTACTCTAAAAGATTAATCTAAAGTTGCAGCCTTTAAAAATGGAGGAATTCTTTCAAGAAATGAAAAGTGGTATTTTGGAGATAATCTTATTAAATGTGTTACTTTTTATAGGTATCTAGGTTTAGGTATAGTGTTCTCAAAAAATGTCTCTTGGAATATACACATTTTGAGTGCCTCGCTATGACTAACGAAGGCACTATTTGGTACATGCAAATTACTACTCTTACCATATGATGTTTTCTGAGGACTATTTGATAGTAAGGTTGTGCCAATATTATTGTATAGTGCCGAAATATGGGGTTTAGAAGTCAATTGCAATAGTGTTATTGAAAGGGTAGACATGCAGGCATGTATCACAATAGTGACTTGAACAATCCTAATCACAAAATTTCTGACTGTACAGTCTGTGTTATTCAAATACAAATGCATATAGAATTAAGTTGATACTAAACTTAAGGTTTGAAGAACGCCCAGTGGATGATTCTGTCTTACCTTCTTGACACCCTGGTCCGTGTTTCCCGGCAGCACATCCACTCCTACAGTAGCCAGTCCCCTTGTCACACACCTCGGATGGATTGAGACACTGGCACTGTTTGTTACAGTCAGAGCCAAACCAACCATCACTACAAACTGCAAGGACACCAGAATGCTTTTGTTGATACTTTCCGTCATCAACACTAACAGTGGATGATTGTATGTGTCCCTTGATCAAACTAGCTGCAAGCTCTCACTGCCTTGGTGAATACTTTTCACTGAAACTTACCACAGCAGATTGACTAATGTACTTTATCATAAGCAGAGGTCTTAAAATACATCCGCCGATATATTGTCACTTAAGAGTTTTTTATAGTATGGTTGTACCTATCGAACTCTATGAATACAGTTAGGTCTGGAGTTTTGAGAATATTAGCTCATTAGAATCTGTGAATATGCGTTTTTGTTTCAATATTGTGAGTTCAGAATTTGAAAGTTTCAACTATGAAAACTTAAAGTCAGTTCTCGTCACGATATGGCTGAAATACTGCCGATGTGACGTTAAATATTAACTCACTCACTCACTCACTCAAAACTTAAAAAAGTGAGAAGTATAATGTTTGGGGAAAGAATTCACATTGTACAATCACCATAATTATCAACACCCAAAAGCTCTTACTAAATGATGGTAATCTATAAATTGCCAATGAATGGATATCGCTTACAAAATATTTTTCATGATATATAGTCACATCAAAACTTGATTAGTAAATCACACTTGACATTTCTAAATGAATCTGGACTCAATGCCCTACGAAAATAATCAACACTAGCCTATACGCTCAGTGATGACAATTCCAAACGGAATGGTCGTTCGTGGAAATTATTTGTTAAAAATAATTAACTAAAGCAAAATATTACACTTGAAAAAAGACGAAAAACACCAAAATAATGGTATTTTTGTCACATCCTTAAAAATGAATAAAAGGTTTAATTAGAATAAAATCCCTCATCCTCGTGAAATAGATTCAGCACCATTTGAAATTAAAAATCTCAAACCACAAACCACCTGTTGAAACAGGAAAACGGAATAAATATACCATAATACGCTAGAAAATGCACAATCTGTAACATAAATAACACCGGAGCGGGATAGTACTGTCTGTATAACTGTACTTCATTAATCCCAAAGCACACAATTTGAAGATACGTAATTTGAATATGTACAATTTGTTTACCTTATGTGATATAAATAATATTTAGGGAATATCAATCTTGCAAATATTTTCAACAGTTTACCAGAACATTGTGTTTCTTTAAACTAATTAAGAAGATGTATATCCTTTTATGTGAATGTATACTTGTACAGCTATTAGGGGCCTGGGTATGAAAATGTCTTCTTGTAGGTTTATAAAGGCGAATAAGTGGATTACATCAGTACTCTAAAAGATTAATCTAAAGTTGCAGCCTTTAAAAATGGAAGAATTCTTTCAAGAAATGAAAAGTGGTATTTTGGAGATAATCTTATTAAATGTGTTACTTTTTATAGGTATCTAGGTTTAGGTATAGTGTTCTCAAGAAATGTCTCTTGGAATATACACATTTTGAGTGCCTCGCTACGACTAACGAAGGCACTATTTGGTACATACAAATTACTACTCTTACCATATGATGTTTTCTGAGGACTATTTGATAGTAAGGTTGTGCCAATATTATTGTATCGTGCCGAAATATGGGGTTTAGAAGTCAATTACAATAATGTTATTAAAAGGGTACACATGCAGGCATATAAATATTTTCTTGGTGTTACATTGTCAACCTCGAGTCATTCGTGGTAAATGTGGAAGGTATCCATTATAATAGTTACAAGCATTGCCTAACATATTGGTATTAATTATTGTCCATGCTAGTTTGCTATGTTCGTACCTTGCTATCTGACCACTAAATTAATATTTTTCAGAACATCATTCCATCGCTAAACAACCGAGATGGCAAGATTGTCAAACGCTATATTGTAAAAGACCTACTCAAATTTGAACTCCTCAAAACAACATACCACATAAGCGAACGGTTGTTTACACATACATGTACACATATGAACATTCAGATAGTAAAATTACCAGGCTGCAAAACATCATTAGTGAGCAATCATTTATAATCATGGGAGTCTAGTGGGACCCCTTCGTCTGTTTCACATTAGTATCTATGCATAAGGATTCAAAGTAACAAAAACAAATCTCCGCAAGATTGTATGACCTTTTCGCGAACACCTGATATCATCACTATTTGATAGCGATTCATAAACAAATGCTCTTGATATAGTCTCAATCAAACAATCGACTCAGCTCTAAGCAGATATTTCTTATGAATTTGAGAAAGGATGTGTTACTTTTCTTTATACTTTGTCTAATTGAACAGAAGCATCGAATATGAGCAATGATACAGTTGAGCTGAATTTGTTTATATATTATATTCCTAGCTTCGTGTCAACAATACCATTCGGAGCCAAATACTGTGGAGATCGATTGTATCAAACTTACCCAAAATTTGAACCTCGCATAACGCCAGAAATGGTCCATTCATAGTAATGGTAACACTGTTCCCTTTCATAACGTCTGCACATGTGATGTCAAAGGGGCTTGTGCCATATCCAAGTGTGCCATCAAGTGTTCCACTCGCAGAGTTACATAGGCCGCCATTCACTAGCACTGTCATGTTCTTCCTGTTAACCTGATCTTGAAACCATTGACATGAAATGATCAGTTGGTAAATTTCTTAAATATGACAGATTATTGATATTGCATAGCCATTTATTGTGTAATGTAAGGCTACATGGATATGTTGCAAGTTTTATATTGACTAAATGTGATTTCAGTGAGCTACAATGACGCAGTTCAATATTACCTGAAGGAGCAGACTGAGGTGCAATGACGCTCAAAAATTAAATAAATCGGTAACGTTGAGAAAAGGTGACATTTATTGATCCCTATCAAGTAAATGTTTCCTGTCATCACGACATTTGTTGATCCTATCCGACTGTACTGCTGTATATTCCACGATCGGTCCAATTTGTACATGGAACCCTGATATAATTGTCAACCTTCTGTACATGACTAATTAACTTCCTGCGCACTGTCTTCTGATAAACTAGTAGCTTATATATGGTAAGACAAGCCAGTGGCTGTATGGTCAGCAATTAATATGAAATTAGTATCCTACACATACAGAAGTACCGAGTGTTTTGTTTCATTATTTCAAAAGTCATGCAAGCATTTGTACCCAAACAGTCTGTAGTTATGTAAACAATTGTTACCATCACTACGCAGGTAGAGTCTGATCCTGCTGATGTTAAACATCTGGTGATCATCAAGGAGAACCTGCCAGCTTGCAGTCCCACCATCTGCTGCATTCGTGTGAGAACAACTCCTGTGACTGAAGTCTGTGTCCGTGTTCCCATCTACTGCATGCGCAGCACAATAGGAGCCACCATCGTTATAAGTGCTACTCTGTCTTGCAGTCTTTTGAAACGCAATGTTTTCTGTAACGAGATATATCGAAGTAGTTTACCAGCACACTTTATGTAATTACAAGTCATTTATTTTAATTTTACTTTTGCTACTTTCATCGATGACAGGACGAGATTTTGTTTAGAGCTATACTTGCCCTAAAAATGTAATTTCGCCTCTTTATGGGTATTGACGTTGTGAGTGTCAAATATATGAAATAACGGCATGTATTGTTGCCATGACGTCACATACAGTTTCTACAACAATAGTTCACTATTTATATCACTCATATCCTTCCTGCAGTCTGAATGATGCAAATGTATGAGTTGTAAATAAATGGTACTCTAAAATGAATAACACCTGCCAGGTGACCTATAGGTAGATTCAACCAATGATATCTCCCGCATAAGCTAATACTTGTCCACCAGTACAATACGTTTCGCGCGTACCCATATTCAAAAGAAGCGGAGTTTAAATATCACACTCATATGCATTAAAAGCTCAACTTCTGTTATCAGTGTCGTAATATGTCACATTTTATTTACTTGCAAACCCACATGACACAAACGTATGATCTTTCTTATACACACTACTAAGTGCATGTGTACTCAGCAGCCAAACGAAATTGTTATGAAGATTACTTACACCCCTACACATTATTCGATTAATCCGTCCTATCCTTATTTGTCTCACCCATTTGACATAAGCCTCCGAACCATGGTGATTTACAAACTGGGCCCGATGAAGATGTTGAACATGACGTATTCGGGAAATTTAAGCAGCCATTAGAGCAGTGACATGATTCTGCAACACAGAAGTGGTCACTATATACAACCTTCAGCATAGTAATCTAAAAACTAATTGAACAATATCTACGTCCATAATGAAAAACACTGTTTAAGATTGGTAAATATCAGATACGTTGTGCATTTCATGTAGAGTATGGTGGTAGTGGTTTAGTTGGTGTGGGGCTATGGTGCGGAAGGGTTAGGGTGTCAATGGCTAGAGTGGTCAAGGGCTAGGGTGGTGAAGGGTTAGGGTGGTGAAGGGTTAGAGTGGTCAAGGGCTAGGGTGGTCAAGGGCTAGGGTGGTGAAGGGTTAGGGTGGTGAAGGGTTAGAGTGGTCAAGGGCTAGGGTGGTGAAGGGTTAGGGTGGTCAAGGGTTAGGGTGGTCAAAGGATAGGGTGGTGAAGGGTTAGGACGGTCAAGGGCTAGGGTGGTCAAGGGCTAGGGTGGTCAAGGGCTAGGGTGGTCAAAGGCTAGGGTGGTGCGGAATTATGTGGTGAGGAATTAGGGGGTGGGGGGATTTGGGTTGTCAGGAGTTAGGGTGACCAGGGGTTGTGGTGGTGATGGTTATGGTGGTTAGGTGTTATGGTGGTGATGGTTACGGTGGTGATGGTTATGGTGGTTAGGTGTTATGGTAGTGAGGGTTACGGTGGTGATGGTTATGGAGGTTAGGGGTATGGTGTTAAGTGTTATGGTGGTGATGGTTATGGTGGTGAGGTTATGGTGGTTAGGGGTTAGGGTGGTGAGGGTTTAGGCGATAAGGGTTAGTGTGTGGAGGTTAATGTTGTGTGAGGTAAGGGTGGTGAGGTGTTAGAGAGGTGAGGATCTAGGGCTAACGTGGTGAGGGGACATGGTTATGAGGTGTTAGGTGGGGAGGGCTGCTGTGGTGAGTGATTGGAGGGGTTAGGATTGTGAGGGGTTAGTGTGGTGAGGTTATGGCTGTGAGGTGTATGGGGGTGAGGTGTTAGACAGGTGAGAAGCTAGGGTTATCGTGGTGAGAGGCTATATGTGGTGAGGTGTTAGGGTGAGGAGGGCTTGTGTGGTGAATGACTGGAGGGGTATGGTGGTGAGGGGTTAGTGTGGTGAGGAGTTAGGTGGTGAGGATATGGTGGTTAGGGGTTAGGGTGGTGAGGTTATGGTTGTGAGAGGTAAGGGTGGTGCGGTGTTAGAGAGGGATGGTTATAGTGGTGAGGGGGAAATAGTTATGAGGTGTTGGGGTGGGGAGGGCTAGTATAGTGAGTGATTGGAGGGGTTAGGGTGATGAAGGTTTTGGTGGTGAGGAGTTAGTTGGTGAGGGGTTAGGGTGGTGAGGGATAAGGATAGTTAGTGGTTAGTGTGCTCAGGGGTAATCGTGGTGAGGGGTTTGGGCGACAAGGGGTTTGGGTGGTGATTGGTTTTGGTGGTGAGGAGATCATGTGGTGAGTGGTTTGGGTGGTGATGGGGTAGTGGGGTTAGTGGCCTGGGTGGTGATGGATTTTGCTGTTGAAAGGCGATTGTGTGAGTCGTTTGGGTGATGAGGAGTTCGTTTAGAGAGTGGTGAATTTATATTACTGTGGAATATGAGCAATATATACTCTTCAAAAAAAGAAACTTGACATAGATGTAAAACCACTTTTTGCCAAATATCTAAAATAATTACATTAAATGAGAACCAATTAAGTCAAACAGAAAGATGATGTGTCTATAATTCGCGAAAATACATGCAAAGCACATAAACGTAGCGTTTGGGGATCAATTTTACAGCTTCATCCAAAACGCAACCGCCTGTGAAAAACGTGCAGAAAAGGATCCTGCATTTAGGCATGCAGGCCCCCCTGCTGAATGGATATAAATATCCACATCAACGGCTGTTCATACACTCCTTATAACGGCAGTAGAGGCGGTGACAGAAAACCAAGACTGAATGCAGCTCAACGGAACAACGCCGTTGGGAGATTACAAGCTGGAGCAACTCAGCAAGAAGTGGCCAGGCACTTTGGCGTATCCAGACAGACAATCTCCGCACTGTGGACCCGATACAACAACACCAACAGAGTTGACGACAGACCAAGGGTGACAACCCAAGCACAAGATTGATACATCCGGCTGCGACACCTCCGAGACCGCACTACCACACAGACCCTAGGGTACGCAGAATATCAGATCAAACGGTACGCAACAGACTGAGGGAGGCTGGACTTTTTGCACGAAGACCTGTTCGACGTCATGTATTGACCCAACGTCATCTGGCGGACCGTCTGCTTTGGTGCCAACAGAGGGTAAGATGGGCACGTGCAAGGTGGAGAAATGTACTGTTTACTGACGAGTCCCGTTTCCTACTCACACGTGCGCGCACGTGTCTACAGACGTCGGGGTGAACGTTACGCCCCCAACTGTGTGCAGCAGGTTGTCCCATTTGGCGGCGGGAGTGTCATGGTATGGGTCGGAATTCATCACGGTGGTAGGACGCCTTTCGTGCATGTGGCAGGTGCATTGACAGGTGTGCGTTACAGAGACTTGATCCTACAGCCTTACGTTCTTCCTCACGTCAACGTTCATGGCGGACAGTTCCAGCAGGACAACGCTCGACCGCATTTTGCACGTGTTTGTCAGGACTTCTTACCACAACAACATCCAGAGATTACCTTGGCCAGCCCGGACACCAGATTTGTCCCCGATTGAGAGCTGACATTTTCTGTACCCCTGTGACATTAACTGTATCGTGTACGTGTGTCTGTCTAGGTGACACGATTAATGTTTTGAACATTGTGTACATTGATCTTCAAACAGTGTTTCAATTATGGTTTCTGTGTCCTATTTGAAACAATCGCATTATATTACATTTTGAAAGTCACAGTCAAGTTTCTTTTTTTGAAGAGTATTATTTATGTGACATAAGCCAACATGTGTCATAAAATACCACAAATTGCCAAACGCAGAATATGTTTCCATGAGATCAAATACAGTTTATTTATCGTTATGATAGCTCCAGGATTAAAGGGCAACTGCCCCCACACTCCCTACACCCCGTCCCCAGAAGACACAGGACACATATGTCTAGAACCTTAGTTCTGTATTCAAATCTGCCACTAAATCTTTAGTTTAAGAGGCACTGTTCACAACCCTACATTTCTAAATACACATATACATATTTCAGGACCTACACATTTCAACAAAGACAGATCGACATTATTTGAAAGAATTCACTGATCATGAACATTGTAATATTGAAACAAAGTTTCCTCAGACACCGTTCCTGTTTATATCATTCGGGGGCAGTTTGCGTCGAGGGATGGGGTTTGGGTGGTGGCAGTTTTCAAGGACAGTTAAGGGTGCGTCCTAGCTGATATACCTAACTCATCATACTAAAATAAAACTCATTTTAATTTAACATGTAATATTATTACCTTTCTTTTTACCAAACACCTGCACCTCACAAAGTGCTAAATAAGGTCCTGCCATTGAAATTGTTACATTGTCGCCCTCTGTAGGTTCCATACAGCTGAGTGTCACCGGGTTAGTTATCAGATGATATGGAGAGTCTCTGATGTCTGTGACGGGTAACTTTCTACAGGTGTTACCACTGATCAATACTTCCATTGCTTGATTGTTGCCAATGCCTAAAATAAAACATTTGTTCCAGGTACAATTACTCAGCAAGGGGAGTCTACTGATACAGATAATATCTCGAACTAAGTTCGTTCTTGTTACATAGAACACTTTAAAGATATCGTAGTCACTGACTACCTTAGTAGTCTCCCACCTTAGTGGTTATATAGTAAAATCATTTGCAAATGATTTAGTCACCTACGTTTCTGGTTGTACAGTACAATCGTTTTTGAATGTTTGCAAGTTGAACAATACATGGTAAAAGAGGAACATTATCAGCTCTGTAAAATATTACGTAAACTTCGCCTTACACCACAAATTAATATCTTTCGTTTAAGCTCCTGTTTGACTGTAAGCTTTATCAGCTCTACTTATAATCGAAAGGGGTAGGCCTGTGGTTAAAGTGTTTATTCATGACGCCGAAGGTCATGGTTCGATTCCGCACCTAGATACAATGTTTGAAGCCTGTAGTTGGTGCATCCTGTGTGGTATTGCTGGAATATTGCTAAAACGACTTTACACGGCTTTAATAAAACAAAAGCATAACCGAATAACTTACTGTTTCCACGGAGATAGATTGTTATCCTGCTGATTAGAAACGTTCCACCAAGAAAAACATGCCAGCTTGCATTTCCATTGTTAGGTTCGGTTGTGTGTGAACAACTTCCATGAGAAAAGTCTGTGTTGACATCCCCATCGACAGCTTTACCGGCATCAAATGTTGTAGTAGCGTATGTCCACGTGCTGCTCTGACTGGCCGGTTTACCACGTGCGATGTTATCTGTAAGCAAAACGATATATATTTTTAGCAGAAAGATATTAAGCATGTATACGTGTATTTGTGATTTCCAGGTGTTGTGATATGGACATCTGTATTTTGAAAAACTAACCTCACCAAACCCAAGGTAGCTTTTGTTAGCTGACATATTCTAGTACACATCTATTGTAATAATTCATGTTATGTATATAGGGAGTTGCATTATCCTTCACCTTATGATGTGAGCGAATGTTCGAATCTGATAGAACAATGTTTTATCGTGAAATGAACCACTCTTCGTTCTTCTTCTTTTTTTTTGCGATTTATCGCGTACCTATCTTACATATACTCAGACGTTTACCACTTTGGTGAAACCAACGAAAGGGAATGGTGCTGACACAGACAAAAACATTTTGACGGCGAATGATAGATTTAGAAGGACGCAGCGACTTGCTGCCGGACTGTGCGAGTCGTTACCTCTGTTATCATATACCCTTAGAAAAAGAAACGCAAAGCCAGATTTGTGTGAGGTATGAAAATACATTTACACGAGGAACCGTACAAGGTATTGAGCCAACATGTCGTGGAGAGAACACTTGGTGATTGTAGTCATCTCAGTTAACGGTACATAGGAAAACTGCAAGGTGAAGGTCAGCCACCATCAATAACGCGTATGTCCCCCGTTTGAATCGATAACGGCCTGACATCTCCTGCCCAGGGAAGAGCCCGAGCATGCGAATCACATCCTTGGGAATGGTAGCCCACTCGGCCTGCAACGCAAAAGCCAACTGCTGAAACGACTGGGGCTGTGGATGACGTTGACCTAGCCGTCTATCCAATTCATCCCACAGGTACTCTATCGGGTTCAAATCCGGGGATCTGGATTGCCAGGGAAGAACATCAACGTTGTTGTTGTGTAGACAGGCTCTTGTGACCCGTGCTGTATGCGGTTGAGCGTTGTCCTGCTTGACCGTTGCCGTTGGTTGCAATTGGGAGGACGTGTGGTTGGAGAATTTCGTTGAGCCATAAGATTGCCCTGGATATGGACCAAACCTGTCCTGCCATGATGAGAGATAGCCGCCAACATCATAACGTTACCCACATCAAACCTGTCCTCTTCCTGTACGCAGTTTCCGGCGTAACGTTCTCCCCGACGTACGTAGACCCGTGCTCTTCCAGGAGGAGATATCTTGATTCGTCGCTGAACCAGACATCTCTATCGCAGTTGAGGCCATACCCTGTGTTGACGACACGACTGCAGTCGTTGTTGACGATGTTGTCGACTCAATATGACGTGTCGAACACAACGTCTTGTTCGTAGACCTGCTGCACCTAAACCGTTTCGTACGGTCTGGTCGGAGATTCTGCGCAGTCCGGGTATTTGGGATGCGGTTGAGGTGGCTGTGGTCGTCCTGTAACGTAGGTCACGCAGTCGGATGTAGCGATCTGCGATCATGAGCGGGGGTGATTACTCTTGGTCGTCCCAACCTTGGCCGATAACGTTGGAACCGATCCGATAGCGTTTGATGGTAATGGGCGTTACATTGAAAACCCTGGCTACAGCTGATCGAGATTCCTCTGCCTGCAAGCGGCCGATGACGTTGTTTCTTTGCACTTCTGTCAATCTTGGTATGTTGTTGAACTGTCACTGTTCGATTGAGGCAGATGCCAGGCAATCAAAAACCCTGCACTTTGATACCGTTCTTAGTGCTGCTGCACGTGCAGCACGTGCAGCTGCATGGTGCTGTTGTAAATTCACTGGATTCGTTTTTCGAAATCGTACGTGTTTCCCGACGAAAGGTTTGCATGTCCTTGTTGTGATCTTTTTGATCCGGGAAATTTGTCACTGACACCATAACACATTAAACACATTTTTGACCCCTTGGTCCGTTAATTTTGCTTTTATGGCCAAACATATCCGTTTTGCATTTCTTTGTTTGAAGAGTATATATGAATATTTCATTACCCTCCACCTAATAGGAGTACTGATAAGATCATTGCAAAATCTAAACTTACGCATTTGACAGTACTCTCCAATCCAGTCTGTCACACAAACCGGATGAGGTACTGAACACACGTCATTGCTAGCATTGCATCCATTCTTGTAGTGGCAACTTGATCCTGCTCCTAATGCAACAAATAAGTAATTCCTAAGATGGAATAAAGGACGGGATTCGATAGCTTTCACTGTCCAGCTTTAATGTTGCAGGCGAAACAATGATCACCGACAAATACAAACCTTGTGCAAATATGACTAAACTTGCATGCTTGAGTAGAATGCTGAAGAAAATCATCTTCCAGGTGTCTGTCAGAACGTTCTTTTCTGAAAAATACCGAATAAAACACAAATGAGAGAAATGCGATATGACTATAACAATCAAGACGAAAGTAAGCATTGCAACTTTAAAAGATTATTAATTTTCAATATATATTTTATTGCCCACTGTTCTAAAATGGTTGGTGCACATTTGTTATTATAATGGACGCTTTTTTCAGGCGTGGAAAATTGATTTTACGTTTCAATGGGCTAAGCTGTCTGGTCAACTTGTTTTGACAACATGAATTGAAGCGCTTCAAACCTTTACAGCTACACAAATGACGTTATATTTCTATCTACCACTCATAGAAATGCACTGGATTTAAGTAGTCAATGTTTGGTGACACTTCAAAGAACGTCATTGTTCAACTGAAAATACTTCCTCCAGGACATTTGACCACGAATATGTTCAGTTTAATCTGTAAAAGAACATTTTGTAGTTAACGAATCAAGGGCATTCTATACAGCACGTGAGGGTTCAAATAGAACACTGATGTCAGTGATAATTTTAATTGACAGATAAAGAAATGATATTATTCTACAACTAGACATATGTATGTTTCATGTCAAACCAACTAGAAAGTAAGTTTCCACCCTTGTCGAACTAGGCAAGAACTTCGTGGCTATTACGAGTTATGTCCCTTCTATGTCCCTCCTTTTGACCAATCAGATTCTACTTTCATATCACTTGCACATGCTTCAAACAAAATGGCGGCGCCCAGTCAAGGCTATTTGATAGATAATGAAAATCTATATTGTAGTAAAACGTGTCTTACCTCGCGAATTGCATCAATCACTTGAAAACATCTGTCGAAGCCAAGGTTACGGTACCCGTGCTTTGCAAATCCTGTACGGATCTGAACGGCAGCCGTCATGTTGTTTACGGACCTGATGTCGATTTCGTTACGCGATTTTGATTGGACTATGCACAGACTCGTTAGGTCAGCCAAAATATAACTCAGACGTTCCAGCCTAGTTCGACAATGTTGAAAACTGGTCAGTTAACTCCCTTGACTAGAGAAGACGTATTCTATTACAATGGGTAATTTTGCTCTAATTTTCAACCCCATGTAAATCATGTTTCTGAATATTGGTTAGATATTGTTATAGGTAGCTTTAAGTACATTTGTTGGCTTCTGATATCATAGAAGCGATACCAAGGCATATCACAATGTTGATACCAAGCACGGTATTGTGTATTGAAAGTAGCTCAGCAGTTCACAAAGGTCGGTCAATATCCATTCTGTTGTCGCAATATAGTATTCCTTTTTTCCCTCTAATCTATCACAAAATAATGAAGTGTCATGTCTCGTATTTTACCCACAAGTCCTACATTACTCATACTCTAACACAGCGGCCATTTGCATAAGCGTTTCATTAATGGGCCAGTGGTGGTTATACAATCTTATACAGTAATCACACAGACTATAAAACCAGAACAACATTTTGTAATAGATAAATTTGACAGTTATAGATACAGCCAATACTACTTTTGAGTCTTTGTCAATAATAAATATAGAGTGAGATTCCAGTTATTATCTACACCAATAACATGACCAACTCTTAACAACAATCATGTTCTGCCTTTGAGGAACCGCTTCTTCGGTATGACTTCATCAGCATCAACTACACCAGGACATGTCAGCCACGTCACTGTATCTATCTATATCCTTCTGGGGGGTCACGTTGACACGTCACGACTCGATGCTACGTGAACAATAACATGCATACAATGTCTTTTCGACCATCTACAACGAATTTCATACAAATTGTGCCAACTACATGTATCGTGCTTATGCTTATTTGGAGTGTGTTATCTTGCAGTTATGCGTTACTAGAGATGTGTGTATGTCTCGGCTGTGGCAAAGTGATTGGCTTACTATTATTATTAACCCTATCAGGGATGTAGAATACATTGGCAGTGCTGGACGGAGGGTACTATTGCAATATTGAAATGATTCATTGATTCGTGAATCATGTGCATGACATTTATTATTTTTACTTTATTTCTTATTTAATTTATTTCATTTCATGGTTTGGATATGTTACACTGTAGATTATCTTGGTCGAATTATTTGGTATATATTATGTCAAGGCATTATGTACGATGTTTTTAGACAAATTGGTTCATTTATACCACGGACCTATATACAAGTCCGTGTTTATACTAGCTTCTAGATTAACTCATTTAATAGAGTAAAAATGAAACTGAATGGTAATAACCTCTGATAAGATATGACAGGGATTGTATATATATACAGATTAGATACATTTTTCAGCTACAGTTACAAAACCAGCTAGTCGTTTATTAAAAACTTTGAGGTTTTTTTAACTGTCTGAAGCATAATTATTTGTTTAAACAATTTCGGGAACAATTATTTTTTCGATAAAAATCTCTCTCGTATCGCTCTTATATGGGTGCACCCATCCTTCTAGAAACTGCGTCTCGAATCATGTGAATCAACAAGCTCCTCACAGTGCAGATGTATCTACCGGGAAGGTTACGAAGGTGCCAAACGCTGGGACGGGGTTTGGACAAATAACACACAACTGAGGGAGTTAACTCTAAATTAATAGATGTTAAGGTCAGAACCAAAACTCAATATTGTACGGTCGCTTCAATCAATTTGCAAGTATGAAATAGCGACAGTTTTAACACAAAATCAATTCAGGGGTAGCAAGACAAGTAACATCTATGAACAGTCATGCGCACATTAGATTATATAAGTAACTCATCATTGAAAGAGTGTACTTCAAAACGAGGGTCATTTCTAATATATTTACAGTTACACATTAATTCTTTTATGCCACGGATGATATTTACCTTAAATAACCTCTTCTAGGACATGATTGTACATGGAATTGTGTCGTGATGACATTAGGATTTCATTATCATGCAAATCGGAAACCAAATTGCTGCTGGCAAAACGTGTTGTACAAAAATGTGAAAGAAATGACACACATTTTCATATAATGCCAGATATTGTGTTCTCAGTTTCGGATCTTTATCCAGGAAAATGCGCGGGGATTTGGGATGTAACTCCTCCTTGAACAGTATCTCACTTATATCACGGCGTGTGAGCTCAATGTGAGACAGCCGAAAGTGAATCAGGCCAGACACTTATACCACCTTATAAATAATAGTATGGAAGAGACCTACCTGTCCCCTTCACATCACCGTGATTTGTGTTGAACAAGGAAGTGAGTCTCCTATCACAGGGTGTACGGCTATTCATGGCGTGTAAAGGGTTAACAGGGAAGGAGAGGAGGTATTACACAAATCTAACCTCAAAATGATAACCCTTAGTGAACATGCGGCACAGCAGGAAACCCACAGCACTAAAGACCACACAAGAAACGATGAGAATGGACGCAACAAGATTAAGTATAAGTGATATTTGTGTATATATTTTTCATATTCGTACGAGCCTTTGCAACAGGTAGTAAAGGAAACAAACAGAGTTGATTGCTTAAAACAAGGAATTAAAATGACCTGTTTTTAGTCGCAGTTAGGCAAAATGTTTAACTCTTGTGTTTTAAAGAGTTGGCTTCATTGCATGTGACAAGCGTGAGCCTGACGCTGTCGTATCTTTTCTTAGGACGCCTTTTAGTGAATGAGGTAGTGATGATATCAGGTATTAGCGAAATGGGCACTCATTGCAAACACATGAAAAGGCAAGTCAAGTGTTCACCTGAACAAAAATGAGAATGAGCGATCCTTTCCTCTCACATCAAGCTGACACGCACTAATATAACTGAAATATGCTCCGTTAAATCGGATTAACTGTTATTTGTATATAATATCAAACGAAGAGGTGTATATGTAAAATATAAATATAGTGGTCATTGTGTGGTTATAGGAATCATCGTGTTTGGTGAGGGAAATGTAATAGGAACCTGTAATAGTATGCCTTCCTTTTCTCTTTTCACTGTAAACACTGGCCTGGCAGGCGTGTATAACCTACTGCATATCCTGGTACACAAGTAAACGTAGAACTCCTGTAGTATACGGTTTGATTACAGGCATGTCATACACCATGATGCCCACAGAGTGGGTTTGTTGTGGATATAAAGTATATATGGGATAGGATATCATTGTAAGCGGGGGCTTCTTTATGTGTTTGCTCGAATTTGCCATTGAAGGTCAAGCTCATTCTTTAAGACAGTCTATTTCACAACAGTTGTACTGCAATAGGCACGTGTAAGCTCAACTGTGACCTAATGTGTTAAAGTGTAAATGCTTCAGGATACTTGTTTCTGACAGGGAAAGATTTGTGGCTTTCAAAGGTGGTGATGGGATTGGTTCTGTTTTTGCCTATAACACTTTGAAGTTACATTTGGGGTGACGTGAAATGGGGATGTAACGTCGCGTCCACGATTATTGCACCTATTTAGCGACGTGCGTACACGTGTGTGTGTGTGTGCGTGCGTGTGTGCGTGCGTGCGTGCGTGCGTGCGTGCATGCGTGTGTGCGTGTGCGTGTGTGTCTGCTTGTGCTAGTCCGGACTGATGCCGATTTATTTTGCTCGCCCACTGAGATGCCATGCCGCAGTTTAACATGAATACCCCACTCAGACACAGTATACTGACTCCGAGCCGACCAGTCCTCGTTTTAGCTCCTTAATGCCGAGCGCCAGACAGGGTAACAACTAGTACCATCTTTGAAACATCTTTTGGTATGACGCGGCCCGAGATCGAACCGGAAGCATATCTTGATTCTAGAACACCATCATGCGCATGTCACTTTGTGACATGTTTTTGTATGCGTCATCAAGGCCCAGCCCAGACTTGTATTTACTGAAGGCTGTGATACAGCTGTCATGTCACTAACAGAAACTCAAAACTCCCGCTTACTTCTTATTGTATCAGTATTGGTTCCTATGAATCTTGCCTGCTTGCGTCTAAATGATCGGGTGGTCAGGCTCGAGGAGTTGGTTGATTGCGTGCTAGCGGAGGTCGTTGCTCATAATATCAATCACTGGACAAGACTCGATTGTTTACAGGCCGCGGCCATATAGCTGACATATTGCTAAGTAGTGGTTAAACCGCAAACATACAAAACATTACCATGGGGGTTTATGACAATACAACATTAATACCCTGATAAAACCCATACCGGCACTTCGGTGGTTTACATAGATTGTCTCGATCTCCGGATAACTCGATATATTCGATGGACCTTAGGGCTGCGAGATAAAGAGGTTTCCAGTTTCAATGTAAAATGTTCAGCCCAAACTGAAACCAGTGGATAAGGAAGTCAGATTGCTCGGCCCCTTTTTCTGATAACCGTACCTGTCCTTAACGACAGGTTGACAAACTGTAATGTATGGGGAAGACATGACAACTATATCCGTTAACACTCCGCCTTTGATAAACTTGAAAACACGACCACCCAGCTATCAAAGTATCCAGGAACACCAACGTCCCGATTGAAAATAATTTTAACTTTATGTGTCACTTCGTGACCCATTGTATTGACATTGTAACACACACCATTGAGATTTATATAGACTAGCATTAAGTCTATGAAATCTTATATTACACAATACCTTCTCGACTCTAAAATTAAACAAATAATTTTCGCCGATGCTGATTTCATATGTATGTATATATAGATTGTTTTTTTGTTCATAAAATAAATATATTCCACAGTCATGGTGCAGGACTAGGCTTTATACTGTATGCAAATTGGGCTATGTAGAATATAAGCATCATTTTCTGTTTGTTTGTAGGACTTGACTTGACGAATTACATGACCTCTATAGCCCAATCATATACTCGAGATTTCCTACTATACATGCATTTGATTTATTGATGTAATTGATAATGTTGATCCTGTAAACAAATCTAGCAATGTTTACTTTGAGGATGTGTAATTTAGGAAACACCAACACAATACATGCATGACTAATGTGGCTGTTGTGAAGTGCTGTATCCTGGGTCGATGACCTATTCTGAAATATAAGATGGCTGCGCGATAAATCGCAAAGATCAATGAAGAACGAAGCGTGGTTTATTTCACGATAAAACATTGTTCAATCATGACGTAATTTCTGGAGATTCGAACATGCGCTCGGAACTTATATATGACGATGTTATTTTTGAGAGGGGAGTGTGTAGTGAGTTGTTCCCCATAGATGTAGCTGGGCAACGCAGATAAACGCGATGGCCGAACAATTGCATCCCAAAACGGGAGAGATATGACAATCGGTATTGGGAGACAAGGTACAGGTAATCGACGTGAGGATTGTGAGAATATGCTGGAAATACCCACCTCTTCATAAAATGGACTTTCTGACATTTCCGAGGTCGGATTCTATTGAGGGAGTCATTATTATTTAAATATGGGTAAATATGTTTAAAGCTTGTACAATTTATCGTCATCCTTAAAGGGCTGTACATAATGTTAATTTCTCCCATAACGGGGCTTGATCTTCAATCCTCGTTCTAATCGTGGCAGATAAATCACTCGTGTGTAGATTTTTCGGTAACAACCGAACACAGTGGTTAATCCTCTATATCTCATATAAGAAATAAACGACACGTGGTCCTTGTTTATCGTACAAAACAACTCCCACTCGTCGTTTATTTCTTGAATAAACTAGGATGAATTAATATTGCACTAAAATTGGATGCATCACGTATTATTGTCTTTTACAGAAGCAATCGTCCGTACCAGTTAGATATGCCACAGAGCACAGGGCATAGTGGAACCAGTTTAAATCGTACGTGAAGTCCCCACAATCTGTAACCAACCATGTTGAATATACATAAAAAGAAGGATGTTTCATTGAAGCAGATTTTTTTCCAGAACTCGAACGTTACCCTGGATTGTATTTGGTTGATCAAAACTTAGATAATATATCAGTGCTTAAAGTGTCTTATGGGTTTTCACTGCAGCCACAATAACGCGTACAATGTATGTGGAAAAGTTGTGAAAGCAATCTTATTATTTGAGACAATATTTAACAAACAGGTTTATATATTTAGAGACGATATGACACACACACACACACACACACACACACACACACATCCTTTCACACATAGAGGTAAGATGTATCCGGTCACATCCAGGTCCATACATTGTACCGTCCTGGGACACGGGCTGTGGGAATCATGTAGACAGATGTTGGTAAAATCATCCTTGCTAAAGGATAAGGATACCTACTTAGGAATGCTATTAATAACTCACCAAAATCGTTCAGTACTTAGGCGTTACGTTAACACCATGTTTCCATCAATCATTTCTAACACATTTTGGCTTACGTTCTACAATGACGTACTTGGCACCATCCCCGCCATAACGTCCCTGTGGGCAGTCTTTGTCAACATAGGACTTCTCCGATGATTTCTGGTTGATACAGCGCTCGACTTTACGTTATCGCAAAATACTTATATGTACTAAATCTGTATTAGAGAGTTTACTTCATGTATATTTGGAATGTATTATAAAGTTGTGACATATTTCTGGTTGAACATTGAAACTTTACCACTGAACATACGTTAAGGACAATGGAACTAATCACATAATCACTTCATCCCATGTATCCAGCATCACAAAACATCTTTCATTAGAGGAGAGATATACAAAGTTGAAAGGTCCATAGCTGTACAGAATTATCTACAATTATTTACACTGGACTTTCAACACAATAATACAATTAAAGGATAAAGTCCTGTCTACCTGTTTCATCTCACTTCTCATCTTTTCTCAGTTTGGCCAGGTGATGATGCAAATATTTCGAAATAATTTTGATTTTATAGACTTTGTGGAGTCGACAGCATTTGCATTCCTTTATTTTGTTAGCAGGGATAAGTCTTGGCTATATGCACATTATCAGTCAAGTCAACGCGTTTGCTGTCCACATCCACTCATTCAGGCCATGACACCAAAGTAAGATATATGGAGTTATGTCTGACATAACCTCAGTATTGTGCTGGGGTTCTAAACATGTACGTTCGGATCCGAGGTCGAACGCCATGCCCACATGACCAAAGAGGTTTAAGAAATGTCTAGACATGTGCATTTTAACACTAAAGTGATTCCCTGTAGACGGCCAACACAGTGATGTCAGTGTAGGTGAGCTAATAACCATGACCAGTATGCGGAGATGGCAATGAGCATGCGGGTGCAAATGAGCATTGTGGTTAGAAGGAACAGTTGAAGCAGTATGTATGCACATATCACAATAATTTGACAGAATTATAAGGTAATGACGGCAAGTTATTACAACTGCGAAAGAGCATTTTTATTTAAGCAGTTATCTCTGGACAAACAAGTTTCACATACGCGATAAGAAATAGTTCCAACTTCAGAGACTAATGGAATGTAGACAAAGAATTGTCAACATGATCTGATACATTGTTTGATAGGCTTTACTTGGAAGTTAACGGATGACAAAATATGACAAAAATATTATTTGAGCATATAGCGACGGTGGTCTAAGAATGATGGACATTGAATCTTTTTATAAATGCTCTTAAACTGTCCACCTTCAAACGAAATTTAAAAAAGTGAGTGAGTGAGTATGGTTTTACGCCGCTTTTAGCAATATTCCAGCTATCACGGCGGGGGACACCAGAAATGGGCTTCACACATTGTACCCATAATTTAAAAAAGAATACAGGTAGCAATAACATCTTTCCCATGACACATATTCTCACTCGGTTATAATATTGATGACTGCTTATCTCATATGGACAGTCTTTATTGGAGAGATGTTTTGACTGCATGGGGCATAGGTTATAGAAAACATGAGGTTGATCATGATGATATAGAACAAATCATGGTTCAACCGCTCTGGTTAAATCATCATTTTGTATCTTCATATATTATGAGGCATTGGTTGCCTCACGGTGTTCTCTTTAAAAGAGATATTTGTAATGAAAATTAAACTGAACTACAACTATGTCTTTTTGTCATGGCATTAAATTGGTGTCGCACTGACAGTGTGTTACAGCTTGTTTTTGACGGAAGCACAGACGTGTCTACTTAACATTCCACTCAAGAACCAGGTTTCAGAGAAGGCTCTACAATGTTACTGTTGGCGCACTCTCATATTCATCCACTTCGGCAACACCTTACATTTCCTTTTCGATATTATTATGAATATATTGTTTATATATTACATATTTGAATATATTTTGTTGTTTTCAAGCAAATATGCCCCAAACATTATGAATTTGGAAACATTAGCAAATGAGCCGGTACCTAATGTCTGGTACACTTAGCCTTGCAGGAGCCTCATCTCACCATCCGGGCATCCGACACCCTGGTTTCCAGCACGACAGCTCCCCGTGATCTTGTCGGATACTTCAGCTTCATGTTGACACGTGCACTGCTCACTACAGCTATTGCCAAACCAGCCACCACTGCAAGCTGAAAATATCAAACAGTCTTGACTCAATCAGCATTCATTTGTGAGCAATCATTTTCCTTTAGACAAAAATAACAAACACTTGAAACCCAGGGCTGCGTATTATTCTAACATAAATACATAGAGAAAAGATGTGTGCAAACATAGGCAATATGTAAGGCTTATCAATACACATGTTGAGTCATAAATCATTTTCAAATTTACTTCTCAATCGGAGGGATGTTTCTGTAAAGCATTCAATCATAATAAGTTATTAATAGAACGCATTAAATTTCAGATCGATTTGTTTACAATTGCTCACTTACTTTTGCAATAGGTGGTTCAAAGTTATGCAGACATCCATGTGCACAGAAACCATTAGTTTTATTCCATGGCATACCAGCCTTGCAGTAGCCTCACTTGTGCTCACCTCTTGTGTATTTCATGATGGTTGTGCCCTGAAATGTCACACCGTTAGACCACGAGGGAGAAACATTAAAGTGTTGTATGACACACGAGGGTTGGGGACACTGGCTGGGTTGCACCAAAACATGCGGTTTGAAATCAGTCACTGACGTGAGAAATTAGGTCAATTTAACAACATAATCATGCATAAATAAATGTACAGAAGGTATTGATGAAACAAATTGAATTAGCTTATAATCGGGACTGATTATACTCAACAGCTTTCGTGTGCAAATGCTGTGTACAAGGTTACGATATTGCATAGACACTGCAAAGTTGTTTGACTATTTCAGTTGTTGCCTGACGAATAACAAGTGTTATTCATCCTATGCACATGCTTCCATATATACGCCAACACTTTTAAATATACTACCTGTGTAAAACAGTATGAAGCCGAGGAGAGCCAAGTCTTACTCGCATCCACACACATAAGCATGTTACAGTAAAGGTGAATAAACAGTGGTAATGCAGTAATGAATGAAACCTGAAACGTTACAAACTTTCTGCGAAGTCCCATACATTTTCTGCGAAGTCCCATCCAGTTTGTGCGAAGTCCCATCCAGTTTGTGCGAAGTCCCATCCAGTTTGTGCGAAGGCCCGTTCAGTTTGTGCGAAGTCCCGTGCGAAGTTCCGTTCAGTTTGTGCGAAGTCCCGTCCAGTTTTTGCGAAGTCCCGTTCAGTTTGTGCGAAGTCCCGTCCAGTTTGTGCGAAGTCCCGTTCAGTTTGTGCGAAGTCCCGTCCAGTTTGTGCGAAGTCCCGTCCAGTTTGTGCGAAGTCCCGTCTAGTTTCTGCGAAGTCCCGTCCAGTTTCTGCGGAGGCTTTTCTCATTGTAGTCTGAGTAACAGAAGAACATGTGCCCACATAATACATAATTTATACAATGTTTTAAGTAATGTCAACACAGTTATATCATCAATAAATTAATCAATAAGTCCATGGATAATGTTTTGTTGCACGTTCATTGTTTTGTTTCCATTTTAACATTCTATACTGTAACAGAGTAGGAGAAGGTTTTGGGCTTCCTCTAGACAAGTACTAAAATAACAACTGTTGTCTATAAAACGGAAAGGTTCTTATGAAAAACATTGACTACTAAGTTCTTTTCACACTTTCCAATTTAATTCATTTCCATTTTTTTCCGTTTTTCGAAACTGTTAAGAAAACGTTGACATGATCAGAAGGTAATGAGCCTGTTGAATTTTACCCTGTGAGATCTGTCCTATCTAGCACTAATTTGACCCCTTCTCCGTGTTCAGCCATTTCCAATATCCCCCACTAGTTATTAGAAACAGCTAGCAAAACATTAGCTGGGATATTGCCGAGTGCGGCGTTAACCAACCAACAAACAAACAATTGCATATATACCAATAGAGTATGGTGATTGTCTCTCAACCCCATACCTCCACCTCCGTGGTCAAGTGGATACAACGTCTGCACTGAGAGCAGAAGGTCGGGGGTTCGATTTCGTTCATACCAAAAGACGTTCAAAGATTGTACTTGCTGTGCACTATACATGTTGGATGAATATAATGCACAATTCACGATTGTCAGTCAGAAAACTGTCAATGAATTCTCACTTTTCTTCAAAATGATTGAGCTGTATGTTTTTTTGTATAAGTATGCTTCGAATACGGGGAGATGGGGTGGAGCATACCCCTGCACCCAACCCCTCCCCAGCTTGATTCGTGTATGATAATATCACAAGATCAAGGGGCTAAAATTATAAAGTCTAAATGATGGTCAATAATGAAGAAAATAGCGCAGCAAATGAAGCTGGTATTTGTCAATACTTGTTGATAAAAACGTTAAATACCCCTTCTTACAAATAGTTGATAACTATTTATCATTACGTTCCCGCTTTCTAAACTATTATTGGTTCAGCAACATAACATACCCATCCGTGATGCGGATGTCTAATGTCTATTTTTCTATTCAAAACAACCTATATATACATTGTCTTACGAATTCCACACGACAGAAATCCGATTTCGTTTCTGAATCCTACATTTTGCTTTGCAAAATTACTAAATGGAAAACAAATGCATTTTGAAATTTCACGATATAAAACTGTATGCTGATATTACAGTAATATGTTTCATTTGTTTTGAAACCAACGATGTCTTTGTCATGTGACATGTCATATGTGCGCCAGGAATAATAACGTTGCAACAAGCTGATTTCCGGGGAACTTCATTCCTAGTTTTGACTTTCCTTTCAAGATGGCGATTCAAACATTTGGCGGTCGACTGATCTGACAGGTGATTTTCCCGAACGCGTCTTTGATTCGTGTTTTTATCATAAGCGTAATTGTGTTCAGACCCGAGGATCACGTCGTTCAGCCGATACTGATCACGTGAATCTGGCAAGTCGGGAAACTCAAGGCAGTGACTGTCAGTGTGACGTGAAAATGTAAGGACATTGATCAGCTGTTGATGTGACTAATGCATTCAGCGCATGTGCCTTGTTGACAACGGTCAATGATTGGATTATGCAAAAGCAACTATCGGGTCGCATAGAACTGCAGAAAATAACAGTGTAGGTGTTCACCTAAAAATAAACATAAACGCCTACAAATGGGTGTGCAACACCAGAGACCATAATATGGTCTCTGGCAACACAAACACTTGTTATCAACATGATTAAGGTTGTGGAAGCCTCGGTGGGTTAGATCGCTGACTTTGTGTGTTGGCGGTTTATCCAAATATGACATTTGTAAGATGATCAAGGCAAGTTCTTCATATCTAAGATCCTGATGATGTTTCAAACGGGTGCAACTGAAAATATTACCATGACATAAACATGATAAAAGACAAAATACTTTATGGATGACAACTTCTTTTTTTTAACTTTACAAAGAATAATAATAGAATAGAAGGGCCCGAATGGAAAGTTGTCATCCATAAAATATCTTGTCTTTACTGTTACATACCAACTTCTAAAAATGCCAATCAAACAGTTCCATGATGGTGTGTACACCCATGTGGGTTCAGACAATATATCATTTGGGGTATTGAAAATGCTATTTAACTTTGATTTGACTCTTACAAGCTGTTGAATGGATCTCTAGCATAATAGGATGGACATATAATCATGATAATAGAGGAATAATAGAGGATGCCTGAGTGAAATAGAAATATTGTTTTGACAGATTCATATAGACATGATATTATGGTATATTGCGTCGCTGAATACATAAAATGGAAGTTGTACAAATGTAGGGATAAATATTTATTTACATGTGAATATAATAGGCCTTCACAATTGCTTGGATAACTGGTTAAGGTTTGAAGAATATTCTGGTTAAAAAATGTATATACTGATATTCTTTATCTGTTTATTCTTGTTTAATTATTAATAATCAAATATTATTCATTAGCAGTTACATTTATGAACCTATCAATATTAATATTGTCACAATCTGATGCATTTACTATGAAGTGGTTATAAAAAGACACTGAATCGACAGTTTGCAACAGTCCACCGATGACATAACCCGCATGGAGCTATATTACTAAAAAATCCCAATTTTGAACATGTTTAACAAAATAGTTTGTTATTTTCCTTTTTGCCTGCTAGCATGGCTAGAGGAAGATGTATTGTTAGGTAAATCCCTGTTCAATTACTGTTAAATTGTTAATGTCTCCCAACGTTAATGCATGCATGCCATTATCCCTTTCTTGAAAGTCTTTCTTTTGTTGTAGACCCTGATGCACTTGCATGAAATCGAAAACAAGGAACCATGGGAGAAAAATCTGATGGAGAAGCGGAAGATAGCCTGCTTGAACAGATTCGAATTCTTGAAAAACAAAAAAGCGACTTAGAGAGAAAAAGGAAGGAAAAAGATCAAACAGAGAAGAAAAATCGTGAACGCCATCATTTACAGCAGAAACTCCGCGAACTGCAAGGGGAGGTAACTGCTTTACAGGACCCATCTCCAAGTAAGAGCAGGAGTTCTTACAGTGGGGAGGAAAATAGAAGGGCTGATCTGCCTTCCGTCAACGAGAGTCAAGACCGGATTAAGGCTTTGCAAAGACAGTTCCTTGACCCTTCACCTTCTGCTGGGTCATCAAAGTCAAGGAGGTCAAGGGGTGACTACTCCGATGAGACTTCTGATGATGATGGTATGAATTTTTGTTGTTATCTTGACACTTTCATAGTTTATTGTAAGATACTCTGGTGACCAAGTCATCTAAGTTGATGCAATTGACTAGAGTTGCATCCCTTAGGCACATCAGGATCCTATGATTGTGAGTTATAATTCCAGATTTGACCTGTGTATGGTTCTAGGGTTGTCAGCCACATACCTGTGCCAGCAGGTTTTAGCAAAGTGGAAAATGTCCCCGACTGCACAACATGGGTCTTTTCCCCCCATATCTCATTGCATTAGGCTATGCTAGGACTTAAGTTGATATGACTGAAAGTTGATATGACATGTCATCATTCTCATTATGTATTAGTGGTGTAACACTACGGCGACACAGTATTGTCTTTATATGAGGCCCACGATTCAATACATTGATTTGCTACCCTTGTATCGCGTTACAGAATGATACATTTCTTTACAAGTTCTAAAAACATGTGAATGATAACAATCTGTTCAACCACCAGCTGAGGCAGATTCTCTAGTATTTCATGATTGGACATCTATAGCATGACATTCACAGTACCATCTACCAAAATGTTTCTGCCCCACAATATCCCATCTCTGATCTCTGAAATTAAATAACAAATGTTCAGGGTGGTGATTCACCTGCAACAAGAACTAATACCAACTTGTGTAATAAAAGTATTGTATCGGGATGTGAATCGTATCACACCCATATCAATGGGTGACTTCAAAGCTGCATCTGTTCATGTAATGCCCTGAGGATGTCACATGCCGCCTCAACTCAACAGAGATATATATATGTCTCGGTTATGAAATTAGAATGGACAATTTGTGATAATATGTTATGGTTTTGTAGAGATGACTTGTATTTCCCTGGTAACAGGACAAGTAAAGAGTAAAAAGCATTAAACAAATGCTTAATTTTAAAATGTGAAAGTAATGTAATTTAGAAGGAAAAAATGACATAGAAAAATCCAAATTTTTCTGTTGCAGTTGACGATGTTATGAGTGGGCGACACAAACAGGCCATCCAGCTGAACAGAGACATCCTAGTGGAAAACATGATGTCAGACGATATCTTCAACGACCTGATCGCCAACAAGATCCTCACAACAGCTGATGTGAGTCGCATCAAAGAGAAGAACACCCGAGAGGCCATCAACGAGGAACTACTAAACAGCTTGGTACGCAAGTCAGACAGGGCGTTCTACGTGTTTGTGAAAGCTCTGCGGAAGACCTTGCAGGAGTACCTGGCTAACAGGATTGATCCCATCTCAAGTGCTAAGAAAAAAAAGAGAAAAAGACAAACAGGTAACCATGGTAACACTTACCAATGATGTATCTTGACCTCCTCAGAGACGTTTATTCGGCCCCAAGTTTGCAACAAATGTCAGTAAAATTTCTTAATTAACATGACAAATGTTGATATAGCTAAACTTATGTTTGCACAAGATTAATCATTTCTCCCAGTATGCAAAGGGAACAGTTTGGTATCCTACATACAGCGATAGAAACTGATGGTTTTGGACCAATAGTTCTTATAATGATAACATATAGAAAACATCCTTGCAAAGGTCAAATCTCCACTAGTCCTTAGGATACTTTAACTATAGGGTAGTCTTTCAAGGACGCAGACAGATCCTTGCTGACAGTGTTTGTTGTTGTGGGGGTGGTTTATCGTCAATTCTTCACGAGTTTGTATACATTGGATGTCTTGACACACTTACCTCGTGTGTTGATACATATCACAATACTTGAGTCATGATGCGATATGTATTGCTCCACTTTATTTGCTCCAAGTTTCTGTGAAATTCTCCATTTTCCATGTGTCCCGGCTAGCAAGGTTGCTATCAACCAGTTTGTGTTTAACTTACTTGACCGGTTAATTTTGGTTTGTCCTGGTTATTTTATGCCATTGTATACAATTTTGTATTGTCTTAACTGCTACATGGTAAGTATGGTAAGGTATATCTATCATATTTAATATCAAGACTCAAGTTGTTGTAAATATGTTAAGAAAATCAGTTCATTAATCAAATACGATGGTATGTCATGTGTCATATCATGATTTCATCAGGTGTAAATTTGAATGCATCATGACTTAGGATAAACTTTTGCTATTTTGAACCAACCAAAGACGCAATTGGGAGGGAACCAGTGAGATCTCAGACCAATTGGCGCTCATTAATGTTGGCAATATTTCTCATGCAACATGCCGTAGCTGTGCAGTCTCTACACTGGCACTTTCATTCACCGTCAGGCAACGTGTGGGTTCAACATGTTCAAACAAGTCCATGAGCGGAGTAGGGTTCTTTTGACTTCCGTGAGTTATACATGACCTTGTTTCTAGTAGAGCGATGGTACTCCGATGCATCGAGGATCACAATTTTCTACTTCTCTATACAAGTATCTATCACAGTCACGCAAAATAAAAAATATTGATTCTTACCTTTATTCTTTTCTGTAATACCTGTTACACCAAACACTCGTTAGAAGTGAAAATTAGTAGTGAAAACGTAAACACTTTCAATTCTGATCCACTGTGCCATACTTGACACTGCCAATTGTCATTCACAATTGTGCCAGGTATGTCACCATCCTGTCTATGAAAAAGATGGCAGATAAGAGCACATGCAAGTATCGTGATACATGTCTCGTCCCAGCCCTACTTGTTTCATTACTTGACTTGAAAACAGACGTGTCACTCTCACAGCAGCCCTCTAAGTAGCGACCAATTTGGTGGCCACATGCGACTCAAATCTATGATTGGCAACATTAAATGTATCTACTGCTCGCCACTTTGATACCTAAAATTAAACATAACTGGCAACAACATCTGTTTAAGATACAGGTTTTTATTGTCATTTTCATTTATCGATCATGACCACTTTCTACATGATCACTGATTCTTTCCATGCCCTTCATTTATTATCAAAACGTACAGTACACTAGACCATTTCATTACTTTACAGGACCCTCATTTTGTCTGCAAAGGCCCTTAACATTAATTTTTGATGGTCCTCTGGACCCCCAGTTTTGTAAGTCAAGCTAAAACCCTGAGATATCAGTTGGCCCCTAAAAACTTACGTTTGGCTCCTAAAATATTCATGTCAGCATGGTTAGGAGCAGCTTGTCTCCCTGACCAAAAAAACGAACTTCAAGGGCTGCCATGTGTATTCACTTGTGATAGGCTAGTAAGCTAGAATTCTTGTCCAGGCTGGGTGTATGAAGTCTCCATACTGCCTAAACAGGGTCAACTGAAGATTATTTCTTAACACCTTATTGTTACTATAGTATTTTAGAGTGAATAATCATATATGTACAGTGTAATTATGACCTCGAACCTGATTGGCTGTTTCAGGGGAGCTGAACGTGAACGTGGACTGCGACGAGGTGACTCCACTCAACAAACGCCAGCAGACCTGCACATGCCAGGAGGTTGAGGAACAGATTCTCATCATGGCCAAAACAGCGTTCCGGAACATCCGGCGGAGGGATGACACGCCTGCAGCATTCGAACAGTTCCGCAAAGAACTACGAGAAACAAATACTGTGATTAAAGATTCCATGGAAATAATGCACACACTGAAAATCTTGTGTCGTCATGGTGATATGACAAATGTGTCTCACGGCAGTATTCGGTTCACATTGATCTGCTCGTCAGTGTTTGTTGTGAAGGACCTGTGGAAGAAATACATGTCCGGGGAACTGCTGAGGATATTTCAGAACGGACTTGTGACAAGCACATTGCGGAGAAGGTGTCATGCGAAATCTATACGACTGTGTGTCAGGATTGCAGAAGAGGAATATGTTCAGTGTCTCAGTGATTTGGGTAAGTTTTCACATGACATATCAATATCTCTTTTAATAATCCTACTTTGGGTCGTCCTCATTGGTGTATAGTTTAATCATGTTAATAACACTTTCAGATTCCTATATTTTGGCAAAATGCTGTAAATGGTTAATAAATAACAACTGATGCATGGCTTTACTGTACACAAAATATTGCGTTCTTTTTGCAAAAAAATGAGAGTAGGTGCAAAGAGTTTAAATTGTGAGTCCGGTGGGAGGCATAAACAGGATAAAACATTGCCGTCTGAATCATTCAATTCATCACCATTCATTGCATATTACCATGATGACTGTGAAATATATTTATTTAATGAAAAAAAAAGCAATCTAGATATGTATACCAGAGCAAGTCTAGCCAGCTCTAGCTAGCTCTATTATCAGGAAAATTATTTGTTTAATTTTAGAAGCAAAAAGAATATTTTGATATATAAGATTTTATAGATGTAATGTTAGTCTAGGTAATTTTGTTAGAAAAGGAATGCTTTCTAAATAAACATCAGGCACCAGAACATATTTTATTGAGCTATTATCATGATTCTGATTCTAACACTCCTACAAATGGCCTAATGCATAAAATTTCAAACCTTGGATAGTGTTATCATGACAACATGGACAAGAATTTATCTGGACATGCTGAGAGGCCGATAATCGGCTCCGGGCCTGAAGCATTGTCAGTAATAAATTCCCAAATTGGAAGGGTGTTAGTTTGGAACCCCAGATAACATGGATAAGTCTTTGTAGTGAGTCAAGGAAGGAAGCACTCATAAAATGCCTGACTGGTGGCCGAGTTGATGCTGCTGTGTAAACATGGTTTAGTTAACATGGTTAAGTTAAGGGTGTGCATTGTAACCAGTCACTGGTAACATGATCATGAAGACAGCATGTATATTATATATGTTCAAGTCTTGACCAGGCAAACCAGTGAGTGATGATATGTACAAATTCCTGAATATTAAACCAATTCAGAACACACATGATACAAACGAAATATTGAACAATTTATGAATTCTGAATGAAATCTGAGGGATTGGGAAAATTACTGACATTTGCTGCATATTTGGGGCCAAATATCGGCCTCCGAGCAAGTCTAGATAAATCGCTGCATACTGTCATGTTTACATGGTTTTGTGATGTTCCGATTACTTGAACATGTTGAATTAATTCAGTGCAATTTTCTGTTATGAAACAAATAATTTTGCCCTCTCAAGTTATCAACATTTGTAATCAAGTCACCAGTGTCATATGGACAGGGTGCCCAAAGAAAGATATGTAATTACGAACAAAACTCTTGAGATAAGTTTTGTTTTCTAAGAAGGTTTATTCAACTATTTACTGCTTAGTACTCAGGGGAACAATTGCCAGTCTCTGTTTTGAAACATAAACCTCTGAAGTAGGTTTTTGCATGTGTTTTTGTAAGGTGCATGCTGGCACATCCAGATAGCGATGTGCCTCCCACCTTTTTTCCCAGACATCTTACATGTTACCGGTAACTGTGCCCTCGGCCAAGTCATTTTCTGTCTTCATGGTCTTGACTTGGGTATAGTCACTGTACCCAAGACCATGAAGACAGAAAATGAAAATGAAAAATGTGGATTGTACACTGTATTACAGTGTCTTCATGTATTACAGTGTACAACATGTACAATCCACGTTTTTCAAACTCCTGGATCTGCCTTTTGTGTGATCTGGTGATGTACTTGTACTGAATTTAACACTGAAAAACATCTGAAAAATGCCAATTTATTCTTTTCTGTTGGGATGATCCAGTCATCATCATAATTTTACAACCAATTCCTAACACTAGCAGTAATCATGGTAACATTCCCCTACTTTCAGAGATTCCATCTTCCTGTCAGGTTCTGTGTGAGAGACCAAGGACGAAGAAGTTGCGGACATCAACTGTCAGAACTCTGCGGGTAAGCACAGCAGCAACCATATGTAGTAGACATGATACTGATAGATAGCAGACAGGTGACAGACATATAGATCTTCTGACTCCATTGTCCCACGGGATCCCCTCACCTACACTGAACTGAGTTTGAAGCTACATTTTCTGTTCAATGGAGATGCATGACGTTTCAGTTTATTAATTCTATTATGAACGCTACGTAAGAATTGGCTTCTTTGTGATTCTTATAATCATCATGATCATTCTCCAAAGTTGAAAAAACTGTCTATGGTGAATCATCAGCTACAAATGTATTCATATGCCGCACTTATACCAACCCCTTTTTGCAAGATTGAATTTTGATAAATTGCAAAGTTAATGCAGGTTATAAATAAATTACTCTACTCATCCAAGTAAGATACCATTTATGTTACAACTTTTCAAAATGTATCTATGAAACTCCTCTTCGCTCATTAGATTTTGAAAAAAACTTGTAATACTAGAAACGGTATCTCACTGTATCATTTAGTCATACATGTCTATGTCTTCAATGTTTGAGTTGAGATATTTATACTGTTGTGTATATATCATAGTCTGGTATTCATACAACAAACAAATGAAAATACCTAGAATTTTCTGAATATGAATTGGACATTAATTATTATTATTTTACACATGAAAACACAAAATGAACAAAAATAATTTATGGAAACAAAACCGTTGTAAACAGTGTTCCCGTTTACTGGTAATTACCAGTTTTTTACCGGTGAAATTAGGCTTGGACTGGTAATCCATGTGACCGCCAGTCTCTGTGGCCCGGCAAAGAAAGTACCTAATAAATCTTTGTTGTTGAACAAAACATCGGTACATTTTTCAAACAAAGTCAGCTTGTCTGTTAACATCAGGGTTTCCACTTGTCTATTTCTGGTTCAATATGCAGTTGTAGCGACTTCATCTCGAAATATTAAAAAATAAAGAGAAAATTGTGACTGAAGTTTGTGTAAATGACGTATAGATCTAACTAAGTTACTTCAGCATGTTCAGAGATGACATCTTTGCACTGAACATGAACGTGGTTATTATTATTTTACATGGTGCGGTCTGGAAGCGTAGTGGTTAAAGCGTTCGCTTGTCACACCGAAGACCCAGGTTCGATTCCCAACATGGGTTAAATGTGTGAAGCCCATTTCTGGTGTACCCTGCTGTGATATTGCTGGAATATTGCTAAAAAAAGCATAAAACCCAACTCACTCACTCATCCACTCTTATTTAAATTATATATGGTGAAGCTGCAACCAAAATAACACAATATTGGAATATATTATTGCTCATAAATTAATAGTTTCAGATACAATTCTTCTGATCATTGCATCAAAATTCTAATATCATATTTAGTTATATTATTGGGTAATATTTAACCAAATCACTGGTAGATTGTGAGAAAACGTGTACAGCTGTTTGCTGTTTCCGGCTTAGTTTACAAGAAAACACGCACAGAGTAATCTTAATGTCTGCATATAAGACAATTCCTAGAAGAACTTGGGTGTATCTCAAATTTTAAATTTGTATTGACAAAGTTTGTTATCACCTGTTTGTTTACCTGACTTTGGTGAAGAGATACGATGTAAACAATTTCTGCAATAGACATAGGCGGGTGCACATTATACAATAGACGTAGGAGGTGCACATTATACAATAGATGTGCGAGGGTGCACATTATACAATAGATGTGCGAGGGTGCACATTATACAATAGATGTGCGAGGGTGCACATTATACAATAGATGTGCGATGGTGCACATTATACAATAGACATAGGAGGTGCACATTATACAATAGACATAGGCAGGTGCACATTATACAATAGACGTAGGAGGTGCACATTATACAATAGACATAGTTGGGTGCACATCATACAATAGACGTAGGAGGTGCACATTATACAATAGATGTACGAGGGTGCACTTTATACAATAGACGTAGGAGGGTGCACATTATACAATAGACATAGGAGGGTGCACATTATACAATAGATGTACGAGGGTGCACATTATACAATAGATGTACGAGGGTGCACTTTATACAATAGACGTAGGAGGGTGCACATTATACAAAAGACGTAGGAGGGTGCACATTATACAATAGATGTACGAGGGTGCACATTATACAATAGACGTAGGAGGGTGCACTTTATACAATAGACGTAGGGAGGTGCACATTATACAATGGATGTATGAGGGTACACATTATACAATAGACTTTGGGGTAGCACTCTGGTGCTTTGTGGCGGGGTTCTTGTTGGCTACACTGCTAGTTACAAATTAACTTGCTTCCAAATTAATACTCGTGCTTTTCAGCGGGAACCTTTCCGGGGTTACCTGCTTCTCAGTGGGAACCTTTCCGGGGTTACCTGCTTCTCAGTGGGAGCCTTGTCTTTCCCGACTTTTCAGCCGGGGAATCGTAAAATAACATACGTTGGGGCAAACAATTGCCACGTATATGGGCCCGAAGGCGGAAGTCGTCTTGTCAAGCAGTAGCTGACAGTTAGGTCCGCAGCGGTAGTCGCATAATGGTTTTGCTAATGGCGCCGGGCAGTGGGATCTGCTCTGGCCGGCTACCTGGGGCCGGGCAGCGGTAGTCTGACTTAGGCCAGAAGCGGTAGTTGTTTTTGGCAGCGTGGTTGTTGCCAAGCAATGGTAGCGTTTAAATATGCTACCGTCGGGGCCGGACAGCGGCAGCAGTCTCAGGCCAACAGCGCTAGCTGTGAATCGCCGTTGGCCACGCTAGTGGCCATGGCAACGGTAGCATTTTGGTATACCCAACTAGCAGCTTAGTAGCCCACTAGTACCTGCACACCCTTGGCCATTTAACCCAATCTCATCTTGTGTTTTTATTATAGGCACGGGCATCCACAACTCGGTGGCCCGTGCCTCTCCTTGGCGTATCGTGGGATAAACAATAGACGTAGGAGGGTGCACATTGTACAATAGATGTACGAGGGTGCACATTATACAATAGACATAGGAGGGTGCACTTTATACAATAGACGTAGGAGGGTGCACATTATACAATGGATGTAAGAGGGTACACATTATACAATAGACATAGGAGGGTGCACATTATATAATAGACATAAGAGGGTGCACATTATACAATAGACATAGGAGGGTGCACATTATATAATAGACATAAGAGGGTGCACATTATACAATAGACATAGGAGGGTGCACATTATATAATAGACATGAGGGTACACATTATACAATAGACATAGGAGGGTGCACATTATATAATAGACATAAGAGGGTGCACATTATACAATAGACAAAGGAGGGTGCACTTTATACAATAGACATAGGAGGGTGCGAGTTATACAATAGACATAGGAGGGTGCACATTATCCAATAGACGTGACGTAGGAGGGGGCACTTTATACAATAGATGTACGAGGGTGCACATTATACAATAGACATAGGAGGGTGCACATTATACAATAGATAGATATGATTTGTTACCTAGATGTTATCACAATAAGCCAAATGTCTTAAAATTCCACAGTTTGTTTAATAGTACAATAATAGGTGTGTTAAAAGTCTATTTACTCGTTGTTTTATTGAAAACAGGATATTAACTGTATTGCTATAAATTGTTGTAAATTGTATATTGTAAATATTCTACCCACCTGCTATGTACCTTAAATACTGTAAATCATGAAATTTATGCGTCTCCAAAAGAATGCAACCGCTGGCCCCTAGCCAAAAATGCGACTCAATATGAATGCGACACCCCCCTCCTCTTACTTACTTACTTAAATTGGGAATTTAAAGTGCGCTTTCCGACATATGTGTCTGGTCGAAAAGGGTATGTCCGAAAAGGTGAGGCAACCTAGGTGGGGCTTTTTAGGGCTGCTTACTTAATTCAGAGAACAAATTTGGAATTTTGAAATATGCCATGCAAAAGGTGGAGGTGGGGGGGGGGGGAATGGAGTTTGTGTGTTTTTATAGGTTTAGAATTTTAGGGTTTATTGGCAGCTTGTTTGTTGTACTTTGTTAGATGTGGCCGAGTAGGCCTGTTTTGATTAGATATATGCCTAGTGCTTTAAATGTTTGTAAGTCATTTAGAGGTTTTAGTACCATATCTTGTGTCATTTGAGTAGGGGTACGGTGTAATTTTTTTCTGTGCATAATATTCAAATTTCTTTTTTCCCAAAATATTGAACCCGCTAGAGGGGCGTGCGCATTATACTCAAGAAAATACATGAAATACATGGGCCGATACAGCTTTTTTGAAAAGGGGGGGTGCACAATTAAGATCTATTTATTGTCTTTGGTGGGGTGCGCCCATGACATACGTTTAACAGTTTCAAAGCCAGTTTGTTGTTTCAGTAAAACATACTGTATTGCTGACAATTTGCTATAACAGTAAATAAACACCTTATATCTTCTTCAACTGTACTTGTCACATCTTTTAGAGAGCAGAAAGACATCAACTTGGCTTAGCTTGTACCAGTAAACACTGTATCGTGATACGTATCATATCACGACCCCTGTATACGTATCGCGACCCTCCCGTATCTTTACACCTCTACCATAAAAGTAATAGTTTCAAATATGTCGTAAAGTGTGTAAAGTATGCAAAAGTTCCTGAAGGACGACTGATAACACGCCACGCCATTAGCTCACTTAACATCCAGTGAGGTGAGCAAAACTTTGGATATGTGATTCCTGATGATAGAGATTTTCCATTATTAATAGTACATACGCACGTCTATACTTGCGCCTATACACATATATACATATTAATGTATGTTTCTCCTTTTGGTAACTTTATAGAATAGAAATAATATATAAATTTATAGAATTGGGGTATATTTTTAGTCTGCATTATATTTATGCAGAATGTTTTTTAATATCTATGCAAACATTGTTTAGTGTCTGTCTTTTGTTGGCATTAGAAAGTGTTTTGTCAGGGCCCCACCACGGCAGGTTGTGCGTAGTAAGTATGGTTGTCACCACTTTTAGTCCAGCCATATCACAACAGGAGTCGTCAAGAATGGACTTTAGTTAGTAAAGTCAAGTAAAGTCAAGTAAAGTCAAGTAAAGTCAAGTAAAGTCAACTTAGCAACTTTGCAGATTTTTTTACTTTTGGACATAGTCAATCACAAATGCTTGACCAACATTAGTTTTGAAAAATGGAAATAGTTTGAAGCAGTAAAACAGACAATAAAAAACAACAGTCGAAATCGTCCCCCAAACGAAAAATTCTGGTAGTGCGGAGAATTTCCTTACTGTTGTTAAAACGGGTGCTTGGTTTTTGACGCACTGCACAATTTCAACGATCATGATGCACATGACAATCGGGTCGACACGCAGTCTGCCTGCTTTTGCTTCTCTGCTCATCCCTGTGATTACTGTGTCAACTACTTATGTCACCTTAGTAACAACACTGTAGATGCAGGCAGCTGTTTACTCAGGGGATTAGTCCCTGACAGGCATTTATTGTGTGGAATAGGGCCGAGGGAAGTTAGAAACGCTAGTCACCGATTGTTAATTGTTACTTTAATTTTTCACAATGCCAAGATCAAATGTCGTATCCAACATTGAACACTGTATACAATGTTGTTATTTTTGTAGGATCAACAGAAATATCAGACATTATATGTATAACATCTAAGAATCACAAGACAGATAAACGTGGCAAACATATCAGCCAATGACAACAGTTGTCACCCCGTGCCGGTAGCTTTAGGCTACGCCCTCAAATAGGTTTGTTTGGAAGCCAATTACGGAGTGTGTGATTTCAGCACGTTCACTTTGACATGTTAACCACTTTTTACGAATAAAATGAAATGTTCTCCAGGAAATTGACTAAATGAATCAAGGAAAATTGATACTCACAACAAAATACTTGTTCTTTAAGACATTCCATGTGAGGAATTCAACCATGGCTTTGAGCCGATGCTGCAGAAGCAACTAGCACTATATCAAGAGTTCCAAGGGAGCATGTGTGCCCTATTGACTAAAGCACCTCAATTTGTTTGGACAGAGAGACTTTCTACAGAATATCCCTGGGACAGAGGGACTTCCTTTCCAATATCCCTGGGACAGAGGGACTTCCTTTCCAATATCCCTGGGACAGAGGGACATCTTATTGAATAGCCCCAGTACCGAGGGACTTCTTATAGAATATCCCTGGGACAGAGGGACATCTTTTTGAATAGCCCCAGTACAGAGGGACTTCTTATAGAATATCCCTGGGACAGAGGGACATCTTTTTGAATAGCCCCAGTACAGAGGGACTTCTTATAGAATATCCCTTGGACAGAGGGACATCTTATTGAATAGCCCCAGTACAGAGGGACTTCTTATAGAATATCCCTGGGACAGAGGGACATCTTATTGAATAGCCCCAGTACAGAGGGACTTCTTATAGAATATCCCTGGGACAGAGGGACATCTTATTGAATAGCCCCAGTACAGAGGGACTTCTTATAGAATATCCCTGGGACAGAGGAACATCTTATTGAATAGCCCCAGTACAGAGGGAATTTTTATAGAATATCCCTTGGACAGAGAAACTTTCTATAACACAGACCCAGAACAAGGGGATTTTCTGGATAAATTTCATGCTGCGTGGTTATTCTACGAAATGAAGGTCCCCTAAAAACATGAGCATGACGCCACTAGGGTTTATGAGGTGTGTCTCACTTGCTTGTTTCTTCCCTCTAGTCGAGAGGTCTGGGTCTGCCCTCGGAGAACATCCCATGCAAGAAGCTGTGTCTGTCTGCAGGATCCGGCCAACAACGCCGGGCCTTCAGAGAACTGTGAGTTACTGATTATTTTCAAACTTGAAAACATAACTTGCGTTATTATACTGGATATATGTAACTGAATGACCAGTAGATCACGGTAAGAAAGCATGTCAACATGATCAAGGTGATTGATATTTACGAATAAATCACAAAAGAATTTTGACCACTGCATTTATATTATAATTGTCAATTTTCACAAAATATACATTTAAGTTGACATTTTTTATCCGATCTCACACTATGCATATCCTTTGTGGAAACATGCTTGAACTTTGCTTCCAGCTTGTAAAACAATAACATTTGTCCGAACACCCCCCAGAATCATTCTATGAATGACGACATACATGAAACACGTTCAGCATGTATTCCTATTCTCATGCTGTTTTGTTTGGGTAACGTGTCTCGGAATTGTCAACACTGATTGATCGATTGTTTTATCACATTCACTTCACTGATCCTTGTGTGTGTGTGTGTGTGTGTGTGTGTGTGTGTGTGTGTGTGTGTGTGTGTGTGTGTGTGTGTGTGTGTGTGTGTGTGTGTGTGTGTGTGTGTGTGTGTGTGTGTGTGTGTGTGTGTGTGTGTGTGTGTGCTCAATTGTGTATTATACACAAGAAATACATCAGTGATACTGAAATTTTGTTGTGTCTGGAAGGATAATAAAAAGAGGACTTGAAGTATTAATTCAAGGTTGTTGTTTTTTGTTTTCTATTTTTGAGGGGGACAGTAATTTTGGACAAAACAATACAGTAATTAAATTTGAAAAACATATGATGTTGTGTGTATGTGGCTAATTGGTAATGTCAGGAACTGATTGTTTTGATGACCTTCTGTTGCAGTCAAGCCAACCAGTCTGTGATGTCATCAGGCAGGGTGGACAAGATGGAATCTCCCACAATGCCATTCTATGATCTCCGGAATAGAACACACCAAATGTACTCATGATACCTATATTCTTTTCAAAAAAGAAAACAAGAATTAATTTTATTAAAGTAGTGTTCCATTTACAATAACCATTTTAGAAAGAGAATAATGTTTTTGCATGTCATCTTCGTAATTTGTATAATATGGGCAAACAGTTTCTATTTCGACACAATCTCATTAAATTAAAATCAGATCTTTTACTCGATGCATTTTTTTCTCTGTGAAGATCTGCGGAACCCCCAATAGGTGCTTGCTTCAGGGAAATTTCTAATCAGTCAATAAGCTTTCTGGCTTCTTTAGTCTCAGTACAAGCAAGTGAAGCGTTCAGAGCAGCATAATCTGATTTCTGTGTCTTGAAATTCAACATAAGCAGTCAGTTCTGAATGGAAAATGATGTATTGGCTTTGAAATGAATAAGGAATCATAGTGTGATTCATAACCATACCTGGGGATTCAGAAGTTTGTAATCTCAATGAAACGGAAGGAGGCAAACTACTACATGTTCTAGATTATTATTATTATGCAGCACCTGGAGAAATGACATTCACATGGTATGAAGATAGATCAAAAGTAATCTTTTTGTTCCAAACAGCACACCTCAACATCTTTGCCAGTGCCTTTTGGCCTGTTGTCAACATCTAGATTGAATACTGGGCATGAAAAATATATTTTTACATTTCACTGTCATACCATATGACATGCTATGTGGTGTATTAGTCTAGGGTTTAGGCATTCAGTCGTTATGTCGATGGCCCGGGAATATAAAAACCATACTCACTTACAAGCTCTCCAAATGTCTTCATCTATTGTTTTGTATTGATACCATACTCTTTGTATATCCAAATGCACCAATGCTTTGTTGAATTGTTACTCTCCTGAATGTAAATTGTCACTTGTTTTTTTTTTTGTTTACTGTGTGTGTTAAAGTATTACTATTTATTTTGATGAAATGTAGTTTAGCATGTAAGTGGTTCCATATATCTAGACTCACTCTGTTTACCTACCACTGATCTATTCCAGATACGCCTCAAGTTTAAACTGTTAAATGATCTGTACCACTGCTGAAATAAGCCTTTATGGATGTTAAAATGATCTGTACCACTGCTGAAATAGGCCTTTATGGATGTTAAAATGATCTGTACCACTGCTGAAATAAGCCTTTATGGATGTTAAAATGATCTGTACCACTGCTGAAATAGGCCTTTATGGATGTTAAAATGATCTGTACCACTGCTGAAATAAGCCTTTATGGATGTTAAAATGATCTGTACCACTGCTGAAATAGGCCTTTATGGATGTTAAAATGATCTGTACCACTGCTGAAATAGGCCTTTATAAATGTTAAAATGATCTGTAAATCTGCTGAAATAGGCCTTTATGGATGTTAAAATGATCCGTACCACTGCTGAAATGGGCCTTTATGGATGTTAAATTATCGGTACATCTGCTGAAAAATGGTCTTTATGAAGCAATAGTGAACTTCACTATTATGTATTATGATACTTCATTCATGATATCTTGTAAATCAGTAAAAAATGCAAAATTATTTGTAATTTTGCAGTTAGGGAAAACCTTTAAAATGACTTGTTTTACAGATAGGAAGATATCTAACATATCATACACTAGTACACACTGATGCTGAATGAAGTGTATAGAGGAGTTGTATGCATACTTGTAGTTGATGTGTTTCAGCTTACATGGACATCAGTAGTTTTTTTCTGTTTCTAAGGTGAACATATTTCAAACATCACGAGACAGTTTTGTAAAATTGTGTAGGTGTTTTATACTTCGCATTGTAAGGACTTTGTTGTGATTAGTTGGCTTACACATTTTCTCATCTAAGTAAACCTCAGCATTTTCATGGGAAGAACCCCACTCACTACTCATACACACGGTTTGTATAAACGTGTTCATCTTCACTACATTGTGAGCTTTGAAAATTGACTGGTTGTTGAGCATGTGTTGATTGTCTGGCTATGTGCTAATGGGATATGTGTACACAGGAAATATTTCCTTGGCACATTCCTGATATGGAAGGTCCGCTGATTCTTAAACCAGTTAATACAAAATAAAGTGCCTTGTAATGAAACCAATTATTTTTCAGGTATTATATTAAAATATTTAGGATTAATAGGTCACCATATGTTTTTTACCTGTGAATTGTACATTGACAGACTTATTTTATTATATAAAGCTTAACGAGATGTTGTTTTAAATGTTTTATTATCCTTGAGGTGTTCTCAGTATTCAGGACTGACTATTAGATATTTTTGGAGGTCCTGGGATTGTTCTGAAAAATAAGACTGCTGTAGGTTTTACACAGACAATTAATTGTTCGCTGGACATAACAGATGTCCTGAAAAAAAGTGTGTGATAAACAATATTAAATTTTAGGTCCTTTTTAGGTCCTTACTGTTAGTCTTTCTGTGCTTTGGCATGGAGAAGGAAGAACATGCCCCCAGTACCGCACGCTTGTCATGTAAGCTAGATGAAACAGGGATCGGTGAGTCTTTAATCAGAATCTGCTCAGACTTGGTTAAGGTGGTGAGCCCTAGATTATTTACACTTGAAGAATAAATAGCTGATATGCCTCGTATAATAAAGACGATCCCACTCATTCACTCACTAACCCACTCTGGGATTAATACCACCCATGTACCCAGTATGTCATGCTTCAATGGGCTATTTTTTGAGTGAGTGATTGGGAAATGACACACAGGTAACCAGGTCACATATACTAACAGCTTGCATCATTTTCGTAGTGGTTTTGCTGGCCCAGATGATTATTAATCGGCCGCTGTGATATAGATTGATAGATTGAGTGCTGCAACATAAAACATAAAGCTAGAAGGTTAACAGCCACATTATCATATCATCTTACCGAGTACCCATTCACTGCTGGCTGAACAGTGGTATATTTCGAACAAAGTCACTTGCCCAAAGAGACACCACATGTTTTACGTGTGCTTCAGTTTTGGGCAGGACCAAGGCCCTTGTAACTCAGGAGCCCAGCAGCCGAACAAACTCCCATGACTAACCTGACCTGTGGTTTAACGCCGCTTTGAACAAAATTTCAATTATTGCACAGCATGTCAGATTGATGTGGGAGGAAATCCCTAAGTGATATATGTGAATCGTGCTGGGATTCGAACACGCGATCATAGGTTTTCTTTTTACGTCTAGGAGACGCACAGGGAACTGCGTAGTCTAAAACATTAGGGCCAACCGTGTGTCATTTGAAAAAAGATGTTGGAGACCGGAATTACATTAAATAGAAATGCAAAGTGTTTGTATCTTGCTGTGAAAAAACCGTTTGGTTTATGAAAACCGACACAGACAATGACAGTACATAAACTTATTTCTAACGCAACGATGAACGATTTGTTTTTATTTCGCCATTGCCACTTTGGTTTTAGAACCAATTGAGCTAACAAATGACCACTGGAGTTTGAAAAGAGTATAACCATCTCGGCGCATGCACACCATTAATTGAAAAGGGCGACGCCAAGACAATGTGTCGTAACTGTCTTTTGGGGTTAACTGAGCCCTATTACAGTCACCTATTTTATTGTCGTTCCGTGTCATCATAGGCAAGGTACGCAATGACTTAGCATCTCGCTTAGTCAGAATCGGGTAATCTTAGGTAATCAAGGATTGATTGGTCTGCCGACTCTAACTCAGAAATGTCTCTCAGCATTCATGTACCAGCAGTGGTCTCGATCTGCCGCAGTCACTGCCAAACCCGCGCACCTCAGCTACAGTCCGTTTGACTCCAAATGAGAACGATGAATTGCAAAAATAACTCGAAATCCAGAAAAGTGTATGAAACATCAATACGGTACTTGACCATGAATACCCTGTACCCAACAAAATCTGAATTTTGTTTAATTTAAGACCCATGACGGATGAAGTTCTTTAAGAAACTATCATGTAATTTTGTATAGAAATGTGTACATGACACGTAGGGGGGACAAACCGTGGAAGGCACAGCGCAAGCACGCATGCACTGCACGTTCTGTGGTAAGGGAAAAGACGGATCGTTAGAGGGGCCGTCTCATGATAATTTCAGTCGCAATCTGACTCACTCATGCCATAGATCTCGTCGTCGGAACTGCTGGTGCCTGAACCGACTGGCACTATTATAGGTTGGACTGTTGCTGGGCGTAGTCCATCTCGTGACCAATAACGTGGCTCTATCTCGTCAACGACTGTGGCCACACAACGCCTCCATGTTTCTACTGTTACCCGACAAAGGGATTCCTTTACGAGTTGTTCAACGTCTCGTAATTTGAACGTTGTGTTCGATCGTCCAACGTCACCCTTGACGATGCCCCATACCAACTCGATTGGATTCAGGTCGCAGTGATAAGGTGGCAGTCGTAAGACAGCGTGACCCTGACCCTTGATGTAACTGTCAACTATATACACGGGGTCAGGTTTCATAGTTTTGATGATTTCATAGAGCTGTGGTTTCGTCGCTCGAGAAGGAAAGGTAATGTTCCTCCGTTGCAGCCAAGTAACCATGTGTCCTTTACGGTTATTAGAGGTTGGAGTCTTGCTTTCTGGATCCTGCACACTATGATACGGTGCATTGTCCATGACAATGAGAGACTTAGTAGGCAAAGCAGGGACTAATTTATCTTTCACCCACTCCAGAAATACATTGTCGTTCATTCCTGTGTGGTAGTCCCTGTTGTCTTTGGCCTTGGCTCTAAAGAAGAGGTCACAGTCTGGGAGAAAACCCTGACTAGCAGAACCAGCATGGAGAACTATGAGTCTTTCACCCTTTCCCATTGGTAACTTTCTACCAGACTCCTTACAGTCACCACTGGGTACCCACTGACTGCTGGCTGTGTATGACGCATTTACCCATGTCTCATCTAAGAAGACGGGCTCATATCCTTCTTCACGTTTCTGCTTGATGGTACGAAGGTAATGATTTCGGAGACGAACAATGTCAGACCGTTAACACAACACAGCCCTATTTTCTCCAGTTATCTTTTTGTATTTGTAACCAAATGTATGCAACAGCTGCCATAGTTTGTACTTTGTAACACGTAAATCATGGTCAGTTTCAATGTGTTTCTTCAAAATTCTTAGGGACAGGTTCTTATTTTCTGAGTGCAATTTAACAATTGCACGTCTGACTTGATCCCTCTGAAAACTGTCTAATTTATCAACCTTGCGTGGTTTTGACATGTTCCCTACCTCCTTGGCCTGACTATTTGTATCTCGTCGACTAACAACATTTTTAAGTTTCTGAGGGGACATACCAAGAGCTTTTGAAGCTCGTTTCAAGAATTTATTAATTGCATGAAAAGGCTTTGCTCTTTCTGCTTCACTTCTAAAGAAATCATACACATTCAACATCAACTGTTTAACATCTGCTGAGTAGCGCATCTTGTCAATGAATGAACACGGTCACTGTGTAGCACGTGCAGACCGTGCTTGCGCTGTTCCTTCCACGGTTTGTCCCCCTACGTGTCATGTACACATTTCTATACAAAATTACATGATAGTTTCTTAAAGAACTTCATCCGTCATGGGTCTTAAATTAAACAAAATTCAGATTTTGTTGGGTACAGGGTATTCATGGTCAAGTACCGTATTGATGTTTCATACAATTTTCTGGATTTCGAGTTATTTTGCAATTCATCGTTCTCATTTGGAGTCAAACGGACTGTAGTGCTGAACGTATGTTTTTAACGTGTTCGAGTCTAACCCTTCATTGTCACATGTAACAATATGCCTCAATTTGATTCGATAAAAGTTAGATCTGACCATGAACTCATGTGTGTCGTAATCATACCGAAACCTACGTGCCAGATTGAACATCTGTCTATTGAGATTGTAACTCACTTCCTGATGCTACAAATGAAAAGTATTTTACCTCATTCATGATTCATTAACTAATACGTGATAATGTGGAAACAACCCTACGAGAAATACGAAATGTCCAGAAACATTCTGATAAATGTAAACTATCCTTTCTCTATTAATTCTTTCCTAGCTAATAGTACTGTTCTCTCTCCGAACCTAATGTAATATTCAACTTCATCATTGCAACTATCAACGGTTTGGTTTGTTACAATTTTGTTACCATTTTCTAATGTTTTTGAGCCGCATTTTAACCTTATGTCAAATGCAACATTATCAAAATATTGCATTGTCGCTTTGTCACTCACTTTAACGCCCTAAAGAAATTAGGCTTGGTTCGGATATAAAATGCAGTAAAATTCAGTCTCTACCCTAAGAAGAAATTATAGGCACTTCTATTGAAAGCGTATGTGGTGCTCCAAATGTAACATTACTGTAGCATACTGTATAAACACTGAATTATACAAGTCTTTCAACGTATAACTGAAATTAACATTTGACATTACTTAAACACATGGCAAGTATAGAATTGCTTATGTGGCATTCACATTTGAAAAGTTGTTTGCATTATCAGGAATCAGATATCCCAATATTTGCTCACCTCACTGAAAGTCAACTGAGCTTATGGCGTGGCGTGTTATCTGTCGTCCTTCAGTTACTCTCCGGCCCAAATTCTGTCGTCTTCCCCACAGTAAATAGTAAAGCCAGAGATTAATCTTTCATTAACAGCACTGTCAAACACCACTGAATCAACAAGAATATAATCAATTAAGAAACACCTAAAATACTCAATTAAGAAACACCTCCAATACTTCCAAATCTAATTTACAGATGGATCCAGGATGGCGACGCAGTTTGTAGCGCCACAGTCATTGGATCCAGAACCATATCATCAAGATTACCAATTGACAGTTCAAATTTTACAGCAGAATCAAAGACAACATTCACAGCTCTAAATTATATAAATACTCAATCCAAACATAAATTGTTCATAATACAGTTATATCTCCTCCATCAGGGTGATTGTACACCGATGCAGTCATATCTACACCATCAGGGCGCTGTTACACTGACACAGTCAGATTAACACCATCACGGCGATGTTACACTAGCAGAGTCAGATCTTTACTATCAGGGCGATGTTACACTAGCAGAGTCAGATCTTTACTATCAGGGCGATGTTATACTAGCAGAGTCAGATCTTCACTGCCAGGGCGATGTTATACTAGCAGAGTCAGATTTACCCCATCAGGGCGATGTTACACTAGCAGAGTCAGATCTACACCATCAGGGTGATGTTACACTGATACAGTCAGATTTACACTATCACG